CTCAGATAAACCTTTATCTATGGTAATAACTCTTATCCTGGGAGAGACCCCACCATTTAGATTGTCTAGGCTGTTAAGGGAGGGGCAAAATTCTCTTGAGCTTGCAGGGTTTCAACTGCCTTCAGCTCAAAATAGCCCATGTGCCAAAGTTGCACATTTTGGGGAGACTTGTCCTGAGCTTCTTCAGGTTCTTTGTACTCCCCTTCGTCCCCCAAAATATGTCTCCTCTAGGTTTTCAAGTTTTCTTGCATAGACTGTGGCCCCAGCAACCCCCTTCTTGTCTTGATTCGCTTAAACCCCCTTCCCCACCACCAAATAAAACAAGTCTTAAAGTGACTTCAGTTTAATACTTTTTCTATTAATTAATTTTTGAGAACTTTTACATTCAGGAAAAATTATTCTTCCAAGTTGTTCTTGGAGGGATAGGCCAAGATATACATCATCTCCCAGAGTGCTGGGGCAGCAAGAAGTCACTAGAAATTGTCCTTTGCATTCAGCAGTCAAGGGTCAACTAAGGGCTCAGCTCTTCTCCTGAGGGTAGACATGCTGGTCAGAGTGCTTCACTGTGACCTCACTTCTACCCCTCCCCTGTCTTTTTTTTTTTTTTAAGATTTTATTTATTTATTCATGAGAAACACACAGGCAGAGACACAGGCAGAGGGAAAAGCAGGCTCCCTGTGGGGAGCCTGACGCAGGACTTGATCCTAGGACCCTGGGATCATGACTTGAGCTGAAGGCAGATGCTCTACCACTGAGCCACCCAGACACCCCTTCTTCCCAGTCTTTAAAAAAATAACCAAGAACCGAGGTTAGGTAATAAAAGTTCACATGGGTTTCCCCAAGATGTGTGTTGACTGGGTCAGTTTCCTCCTTACTTTACACAATGGTCAGTTTTCCCTCGGCCCCTTTTGTTGTAAAACTCAGGCTTCACTCAAACCATCTCATGGAGTGTAGATTGGTTTTAAAAAAAATGCATTTATACTTGCTCTCTATATGTTTTAATTTGCCCATAACCCCCCTGTACATGGCAAGAATGGGACTGATAGAGGTGAAGGGTAGCAAAACTTGCTGCTTGAAAATATGCCCCATAGGGCATCATATTTGATGCAGAGGCAACTAAGAAGAAGCAGACACAGGAACAGCTCCTTCTGTGCTTTCCCTATTTGCCCAGGAGCAGGACTAAAGGTATCTCCCTCCCCTCCCTGCCAGGAAGGGCACAGGGTAATTCCTGGAGACAACTCTAGTCCCTTATGAGCACCAGAGGCATCTGCAGTAACAAGCTCTGCTAAAGACTGGTCCTTAACCACTCTTAGTTCCTCCGTATATTTGCCTTCCCCTCAGTGTTCTGCCTCTAGGAGCTCAAAGTCCTTCTCTGACTTTTCACTAAAAAATGTGTTCTTTTGTTAACACACTCTCTCTACACACACACACACACACACACACACACACTTTTTTTTATTTCTCATGTGAGTGCTCCTATGTGCATGCTTGATGAGTATGCTAGTAAACTTCTGTTTTCTTCTTGCCAATCTGTCTCTGGTCAGCACAATTTATAGGGGCCCCAGCCACAGAACCCAAGATGGGTAGAGCAAATGATTTTTTTTTTCCTCCCCTACAGAAGCTTCCTCCAAGAAATGACTTGCATGTTATTCTCCCTCAAGATGAAAAGCAGTCTCAAGTAGGAAGGGGTCTCCTGCCTCCTCCCTCCTCTTCCTCACCCCCCCCCACCTCTGTTTCCACCGTTCTCCTCTCCCTCTAGGCTTTTGTCCCTATAAGCACATACCACTCATGGCTACCCCCACCCGTCTGATTTCAGAAACAAAAAATTTCTTAGAGCCTGTGTCTCCTCCCTGTTATTTTTTTCTACTATAGTAAAATGCCTAGAACAAAAATTTAACATTTTTTTGAGTGTCTGATTCAGTGGCATCAGATACATTCAGATGTTGTACAACCCACCTCACTATTTTCCCTGAGACTCTATACTCATTAAACACAGTCTCTGTTCTCTCCTTTCCTTTTAATTTTTAAAAATCTCTGGGACAAATAGCATCATACCAATTATAAAAGGCATCTTTATTTTTTTAAGTTTATTTTTCTTTCTAAATAAAATTTGTTTTAAATAGGCTCCACACTGGCCTTGAACAACCCATGACACTGAGATCAGGACCCGAGCTGAAGCCAAGAGTCGGAAGCCTAACCAACTGAACCACCCAGGCGCCCCCAAAAGGAATTTTTATTTATTTATTTATTTTTTTTTGTGTTGTTGTTTTTTTTTTTTGTTTTTTTTTTTTTTTATAAATTAATTTTTATTGGTGTTCAATTTACCAACATACAGAATAACACCCAGTGCTCATCCCGTCAAGTGTCCCCCTCCGTGCCCGTCACCCATTCACCCCCACCCCCCGCCCTCCTCCCCTTCCACCACCCCTGGTTCATTTCCCAGAGTTAGGAGTCTTTATGTTCTGTGTCCCTTTCTGATATCTCCCACACATTTCTTCTCCCTTCCCTTATATTCCCCTTCACTATTATTCATATTCCCCAAATGAGTGAGAACATACACTGTTTGTCCTTCTCCGATTGACTTACTTCACTCAGCATAATACCCTCCAGTTCCATCCACGTTGAAGCAAATGGTGGGTATTTGTTGTTTCTAATGGCTGAGTAATATTCCATTGTATACATAAACCACATCTTCTTTATCCATTCATCTTTCGATGGACACCGAAGCTACTTCCACAGTTTGGCTATTGTGGACATGGCTGCTAGAAACATCGGGGTGCAGGTGCCCCGGCGTTTCATTGCATCTGAATCTTCGGGGTAAATCCCTAACAGTGCAATTGCTGGGTCGTAGGGCAGGTCTATTTTTAATTCCAAAAGGAATTTTTAAAAGAAAAAATCACCTGCAGGGTGATCACTCTTCCTTATGAGCTGTTTCCATTTTCCTATGTCCCCTACCAGTTTTTGTCAATATGTAGTCCTTCTTAGTGCAGCTTTTTGCAATCTTCTGCTTTACTTGGAGGAGTCTAATCTTTTTTTTCTCATGTTAATATATTGCCTCATGTTGGACTTCTTGACAAATGAGTTCGAGATAGTGTATCAAATTAATAGACTACAACTTTAAAAAATCATTTCCCTGTTAGCGGTCTGTGATTTTTCATCATTTTGACTAATGAAGTTATTTTGAAATTCTTGGGAATAATTCCTATTCCCCTCCCTCCCTAGTTTTGGATAAAGTCCCAGGAGTGAGGCTTATTATGTCAAAGAAATGAATGGTTTTAAAAAGATGGAGGAGACCCACTAGCGAGGTATTAACTGAAACCGCCAGTGACGGAATTTGAGGGCTTCAGTTTTGCCCACGGCCTCACCGATTCTGGATATTATTACTTAAATACCTACTCTGCAGCATAATAAAATCACCGGTATGTTTCATTTAGTTAGTAAAATTACATTTTCTGCCTCATGTTTACTCCTTAGCTGTTATTTCTGCTCTTTTGCTCGTTCTATCCCTTACCAAATGACTCCACAGAGATTGGATTTCTAAAAACTTTATTTGCACCTGCTCTTTATATGCTGTAGACATGCCTGTAGGTATTTTTAATGGAATCACCCCCTGCCACATCCATTTTTCTTTAAATTCTGTGCATGTGCATGCACATCCAGCCACACACCCCAAATTGCGAAGTGTTGGTTTTTGTCATATCTGCCTTGAGAAAGGAGAACTGCACTTCCCCTTGGGGTCTGGGCGCGTGCCCAGCCTACCGCCCTTTTCCTGGTAAGTGCTTGGCTGGGGACAGAGTGTGGGAGGCAGGTTGTGAACCTTCTTCTATTTTCTGTCTGGACCGGAAATCACAGATCCTTTGAGCAGATCTAAATACTGAGGTCGCGTGGTTATAACCCATGGGCGTGTCGGACTGAACTGCTCAGCCTACCACCCCCCCCCTGTCCCACATTCCAGTAATTTTACTTTACACTGTGAACAGTCTCCTTACTTCCTCTTCCTCCTCGGCTGGTTTCCTTGCAAACAAGGCCTAGCATAGCACCTCTGATGGTTGGGGGTGCCTTTCTGATCACGTGTGACACAGCTCATTGGGCATTTTAATGTGGACTAGGAGAAAATGAATAAGCACTACAGGTATGGATGGGGACAGGGCTAACATGCACTTGACTCTCAATGTTAAGACTATATGGCGCCCAGCTCTTGCAAACCTAGGAGGTGGTGACTGATGCTGGAAGCCTTGAGGGTCCAAAGGTCCCAGATCAGAGCCAGCAGACGGCCAGTCTGCTGGTTGGATTACCTCGTGTAAGTCTGCTGGGCTCTCTGAGCCTGCCTCTTCCATCACACGGGGGCATGCATTCCTCACTGGGCTATTCTAAGGTCTGAGAAAAGATAAAACATCTTTCAAAGAGCCGTGTCTGGACTCTGGGATCTTTTGGTTGTAACCCATGACAATATGGCAAGTGCTCAACAAATCAGAACACCCCTCCTCCTCCCCCTTCCCTCCAGTGTGTGGGAATGCGCTAGATGGGCCCCATGCATGCCTTCTTCAAGAAACTCTCACACTCTCTAGAGTTCCTTCTTTGAAACTTTATTGAGCATCTGCCATGTGCTGGGGATTTCTGTGCGGGGTGGCCGGGGCAACTGAATCTGGCATCCGACCTTCTGGTTGCCCCATTCCTCCTGTCCGACACTTTGCCCTTTGCTCTGGAATCTGGACCTTAGGACTCTGTGTACAGAGGGCTTGAGGGAGCCTCCTACTGGTGGGCAGATTTCACGGGCACCCAAGCCTCTCCCATCATTCCAGTGGATGGTTGGTCCCATCAATCCAATGGACGTGTTAATGGAATCCACCATATATGTATTTTTCAGACAAAAATTCAAAGGATGGGTCTGCCTTCCTAAAGAAAAGCTGTATCCTTGGGGCCTGAGTGCCCCCAGCACGTGTCTGTGGAAACCAGCCCCTCAAAAAGGAGGCCTTCTCAAATGTCCCCCAAACATTCAGTTCCAGGGTCAGCATCTGCCCCAAAGAGGACACTCTCCCACCAGGCTTATGATGAAAAGATTTGGGACCATGAGTCTGCCTCAAGGAGTCTTGTGCCTTAAGGGAGATGCTGCAGAAGGCCAGGGAAGCCAGCCCCACACCGGGAAGACCCCACGGCAGCCCAGGCTCACACAGTGGAGGCCTCAGATGCAGCAGCCAAGCAAGAAAAAATATCTTGGGTAAGAATAGTTGCTGGAATGGAGTTCCCTCTTCTGAGGTGGGCCCAGCGGGCCAGGCTGTCTCCTAAAGAGCAGTGCAGGTGTCGAGAAGGAAGGGAGAGAATCATCCAGACCAGTTGTGAACTTTATTATCCCTAGAAGTATTTTGAAATCCTTGAGTCTAAGCCCTCATTTGCTGTAGCAAGTGTGATCTCTGAGCCTCCTGCCGTTTCATGCTGGCGGTTCTGTCCCAGCCAGGAATAAGAATCCAGGTCTTGCTGAGGAGCTGGGATTGATGGGAGAGGAGGAAGGAGTCTGAAATCATTGGCAGTCTGGTGCTGGCTTAGGGACACTCAAACTGTAAAGAGAAGAGAAGGCTGTGCTGTGTACCCAGAAGACAGGGGCCCTCTGTTTGCAGCTGCAGCAGTGTCTGGCCCAGTGTGGCCCTTGTTAAAAGGACCTCTCCCCCTTTGGACAAGAGCAGCAGGTATGGTCAGGTGGTTCCCTACACCTGTCAGCAGAGAACCAAGACATGACACCCCACCCCCATCCCGGAGTTCCCAGCCTAGGGGGAGGGCTAACTAAGCCCCAGCACCAGAGGCTTTGGGAGCATGGGGGATGCACCTAACCCAAAGTGGGTTGTTTAGGGAGTCATGCCTCAGCTGACTCCTGGAGGATAAAGAGAGGGTATCCAGGTCATGAAAGCAGCAGGGACATTTGGATGGATCTAGAATATTTGGTGACCTCTGGGTGGTTTCCCTCCACTTTCAGAGCAATCCAGCCTCCTCTGCCCCTCCAGAATCCCTGGCTCATGCTGGAGTGTGGATCTCTGCACCCTCCCTAGGCAAGCCATCATTGGTAGGTGAGTTTTTAAAGTTTTTCTTTCAGATCTCTTCTACTTCTTTTTTTTTTTTTTTCTGGCCTAAGTGGGGATGGGGTTGTGAATAGACTGTGCAGTAGAAGCAGAGACACTGTATCTTTTTATCTGGCTGCTGACCTCAGAGGGCTTCTGACGTGTCACCACCCAACTGTGGTGTTAAAGGCTAGATACCAAACCTCTAAGGGAGGTCCCACCTATCCGTCCTTTGTTGGTATTTTAGAAAATAAAATATGAACATTAAAGAATTCTATTCAGTGCCTTTTCTGTCCTCCGCAGAGAGATTCCACTTGTGGTTCTTTTCCAGATAGGCTCTACTTCCAAGCTGCCAGTCAAAGTTTACAGTCCGTGTCAGATAAACCCAGTCGTGAATGAATTCTTGCGTGTTTGTGTCTGTCTGTGCTGGTTCTTACCCTGAGAATTCTGTCTCTGTGCTCATTTTGTATAGTTACATTGCTTATAAGTACAGTGTTTATTGTCATATCACCATGCCTAGCATGGAGTTGGTGCTCCACAGACATTGTTTAGTTTAAAAGATGTTAATTGCCGTGGATAAGGGCACAGGGCACTGTTAGTACGTTCACAGTGTCGTACAGCCATCACCACCATCCACCTCCAGAACTTTTTTTTTTTTCATCTTGCAAAACTGAAACTCTGTCCCAGTTATGCAACAACCCCCTTTACCCACATCCCCCCTTCCACCAGCCATGGAGACTTTGTCTCCGTGATTTTGACCCCTCTAGCTGCCTTCTGCAAGTGGAACCAAACCACATCGGTCTCTTTGTGACTGGCTTCTTTCATTTAGCATAATATGCTCAGCGTCTATGTGGCAAGTGTCAGAATGTCTTTCCTTTTTAAGCATAACGTTGCATTATATGTATCACATATTTGCTTATCCATTCATGGGCATTTGGATCGCTTATACCTTTTAGCTATTGTGAATAGCGCTGCTACAAATGGGGAGGTACAAATATCTGGGTCTGTACTTTCAATTCCTTTGGGTATATACACAGAAGTGGAATTGCTGGATGATATGGTTCTATGTTTAATTTTTTGAGGGACCATCATAATGTTTTTCATAGTGGCTATGTCATTTTTCTTTTCTTTTTTTTCATTTCTAATATATATTTTTTAAATTTTATTTATTTATGATAGTCACAGAGAGAGAGAGGCAGAGACACAGGCAGAGGGAGAAGCAGGCTCCATGTACCGGGAGCCCGACGTGGGATTCGATCCCGGGTCTCCAGGATCGCGCCCTGGGCCAAAGGCAGGCGCCAAACCGCTGCGCCACCCAAGAGTGCACAAGGGTCCAATTTCTCCACATCCTTGCTAACATTTATTTCCTAATTTTTTTAATAGTAGGCATCCTAATGGATATGAGGTGTTATGTCATTGTGGTTTTGATTCACATTTCCCTGGCGATGAATGATATTGAGCATCTTCTCCTATGCTTGTCAGCTCTCTGGATGTCGTCTTTGGAGAAATGTCTCTTCGGGTCCTTCGACATTTTTTCTAATGGTTTTAGATTTATTTTTAGTAATCTCTACCCCCTGCCCCCAATTGAGGCTCAAACTCATGACCCTGAGATCAAGAGTTCCATGTTCCTCTGACTGAGCCAGCCAGGTGCCCCTCTTTTGACCATTTCTTAATGAAGTTGTTTTGTTGATAGTAAGTTTGCAGTTCTTCTTTATATATTTGGGATATTTACCCCTTATCAGATAACATTTGCAAATATTTTCTCCCATTTCACAGGTTGCCTTTAATACTCCGTTGATTGTGTCATCTTGTGCACAGAAGTTTTTAATTCTGATTAAGTCCAATTTGTCTTCTTTAGTTGCCTATGCCTTTGGTGCCCTATCCAAGGACTCTGCCAAACCTAGTGTTGTGAAGCTTTCCCCCTGTTTTAAGGGTTTTATAGTTTGTTTTTATATTTAGGCATTTGATGCATTTGAGCAAGTATTTGTATGTGATGTAAAGTAAGGGTCCAACTTCATCCTTTTGGGTATAGATACCTGTTCCCTGCATCCCACCCCACCTCCCCACTATTTGATGGAAAATATTGTGCTTTGTCCATTAAATGGTCTTGACACTCTTGTCAAAAATCACAAGGTTTTACTTCTGGGCTCTCTATTCTATTCCACTGGTCTGTATATACAACTTTGTGGCAGCACCATACTGCTTTTATTACTGTAGCTTTGTTATGAGTTTGAAACCAGGAAGTATAAGACCTCTAACTTTCTTTTTCAAGATTGCTTTGGCTATCATATTCCATACGATTTTTTTTTAATTCTGTAAAAGGCTATTGGGATTTTGATGGGCAGGGCTTCTTTAAGTCCCTAGATCACTGAGTAGTATTGACACCTTAATGATATTAAGAATTCCAATCCATTAACATGGGATATTTTTTTCCATTTATTTGTATCTTCTTTAATTTTCAGTGATGCTTTATAGTTTTCAGTGTAAAAGTCTTTCAGTCCCTTGGTTAAGTTTATTCTCAAGTATTTTATTAATTTTAATACTATGGCAAATGGAATTATTTTCTTAACTTCCTTTTGTTTTAGTGTATAGAAGTGCAACCAATTTTTGTGTTGATTTTGTATTCTGCAACTTGGCCAAATTTATTAGTTCTAATACAGTGTAATCTCTAGGGATTTCTGCAGGCACATAGGAGATTATATATATTTATAAAATACATATACATACTTATATGTGCATATATATATGATCATTTTTGTCTGAGAACATACATAATATCTTCCTTTCCAAATGGGATGCCTTTTTTTTTTCTTGCCTAATTGCTCTGGCTAGCATTCCTAATACTATATTAAAGAGAAGAAACCAATATAAACATCCCGTTCTTATCCCTGATCTCAGAGTAAAAGCTTTCAGTCTTTTGCCATCAGATATGTTCTCTCTGGGCTTGTCATGTAAGCATTTTATTAGTTGAAGTTTCCTTCTAGTCTCAGTTCATGGAGTGTTTTTATCATGAAAGGGTATCAAATTTTTGTTCAAAAATTTTTTTTGCATCAACTTAGGCAAGAATGTGGTTTTTGTCCTTCATTATGTTAATGTGGTATATTCTATCAAATAATTTTTCTATCTGGACCCATCCTTGTGTTTCAGGAATAAATCCCACTTGGTTGTGGTGTATAGTCCTAACACACTTTTGAATTCTCTTTGCTAGTTTTCTTTCTTTCTTTCTTTCTCTCTCTCTCTCTCTTTCTTTCTTTCTTTCTTTCTTTCTTTCTTTCTTTCTTTCTTTCTTTCTTTCTTTTTTCTTTCTTTCTTTCTTTTTCTTTCTTTCTTCTTTCTTTTCTCTTAGGATTTTGTATCTATTTTCATCAGGAATATTGGTCTGTAGTTTCTGTTTCTTGAAGTGTCTTTATCTGGCTTTGGTATAGAGGGAATGGTAGCCTCATATAGTGGATTTAGACATGTTCCCTCTTCAAGCTTTTGTAAGAGTTTGAGGAGGATTGCTTTTAATTTCTTTAAATGCTTTGTAGAATTCATTAGTGAAGCCATCTGGTCCTAGGATTTTTTTTTTCCTTTATGAGGAGGTTTTTAGTTACTATTTCAATCTTGCTAGTTATGGGTCTGCTCAGATTTCTATTCTTTCATGATTCAGTCCTGGCAAGTTTATGTTTCTAGGAATTTATCCATTTCATTTAGGTTGTTCAATTTGTCATACAATTGTTCGTAGTACTCCTGAAATCCTTTTTATTTTTGTCAAAATTGGCTGCAATGTCCTCCATTTCTGATTTTAATACTTTTTTTAAATTAGCCAATCTAGCTAAAGTTTTGTCAGTTTTTACTGATCTTTTAAAAATTTTGCTGACTTTTCTTTATTCTTTATTTCATTTATCTCTGTTTGAATCTTTGATTTCCTTCTGCTAGTTGTGGGTTCAGCTTGTTTTTTTTTTTGTTTTTTTGGGGGTGGTGTTCCTTAAGGCATAAAGGTAGGTTGTTGATTTGAGATATTTTTTTCATGTAAGTATTTACAGGAAAAGAATGTAAATTTCCTTCCTGGCATTGCTTTCTCTAAATCCCAAGGTTTTGGCATGTTGTTTAATTTTGAACAATTTTTTATTTTTCCAATTTTCCACCTATTATTGATTTCTGGTTGCATGTTTCTAGGAATTTCTTTCCATTGTGATTGGAAAAGATAGTTGGTATGATCTTAGCTTCCAAAATTTACTGACTTATTTTGTGGTGGGGTGCCTGGGTGGCTCAGTTGGTTAAGCATCTGCCTTCAGCTTAACTGAAGGTCATGATCTCAGGGTATATCTCCTGCTGTTGTTGGGTGGAGTATTGTGTGTATGTTAGGTACAATTGATTTGTAGTGTTGCTCAAATTGTCTTTTCCTTTAGTGATCTTCTGTCAGGTTATTCTATCCATGGTTGAAAGTGGGTGGGTCATGAAGGGTTTAAGGTCTCAATATAGAACATCTTTTTCTCCCTTCAATTCTGTCCATGTTTGTTTCAGATATTTAGAAGCTCTGACATCTGGTGCATATATGCTTACAATTGTTAGATCTTGGTGAATTGACCCTTTTATCATTATGTAATGTCCTTTACCTTGTAAAAATTTTTTTCTTAAATTCTATTTGTCTGATATCAGCATAACCACCCCTGCTCTCTTTGGTTATTATTTGTGTAGAAGATCTTTTTCCGTACTTTGGCTTTCGACCTATGTGTGTCCTCAGATCTAAGTGAGTCTCTTGGGCGCCTGGGTGGCTCAGGTCATGATCCTGGGGTCCTGGGATTGAGCCCCTCATCAGGCTCCTTGCTTAAGCAGGGAGTCTGCTTCTCCCTCTCCATCTGCTGCTCCCCCTGCTTGTGTTCTCTCTCTCTCTCTCTGTCAAATAAATAGAAAAAAAATCTTTAAAAAAATAATTACAGATTTATAGAAAGTTCAAAGATAGCAAGTATAGAGGGTTCCTGTGTATCTTTTATTCAGTTTTTTGAATGGTCACATCTTCCATAATTAGTAGTACAATATCAAAACCCTAAAATTGACGTTGGTAGAATGCATGTATATAATTCTGACATTTCATCACAGGTGTAGATTCATGTTACTACCACTACCACAAACATCTCCCTTGTGCTACCTCTTGGTGGCAGCCACAAGCATCCAGCAGATGCTAATTTATTTTCCATCTTTATAACTGGTCATTTTGAGAAAGTTATATAAATAAAATCTTATATGACCTTCTGAGTTTGGCTTTCTTTTTTTTTTTAACCCCTCAGCATAATGCTTTTGAGATTCATCCAAGTTGTTGCCTGTAGCAATAGTGTGTTCCTTTTTTAATGCTGAGTAGGATCCCAGGCACATAACAAAATTTAATTGTGCACCAAAGGTAGGCTCTTTTGGTTGTTTCAATTTCTGGGCTATTATAAATAACAGTGCCAAGAATAATTATATACAGGCTTTTGGATGAAACATGTGTTTTAATTTGTCTGGGATAAATGTCTAGGAACACAATTGCCAGATCATATGTTAAGTGTATACTTAGCTTTTTTTCCAGACTGACTGTACCATTTTACATTTTCCCACCAGAATACATGCTCCACAATTTTGCCAGTATTTGGTGTCATGGTTATTTTTTAAATTATTCTGATAGATTTGTGGTGTTCTCGTTTCCCTAATGGCTAATTCTGTTGAACATTTTTTTGTGTGTGTGCCACTCATATGTTCCTTTAAGTGAAATGTCTCTTTTTTCCCATTTTCCATTTAGATTGGTTTTTTTTAACTGTTAAATTTGATTTTATATATCCTAGATAGGAGTCCTTTGTCAGATATGTGGTTTATAAGTATTTTCTTTGTCTTTCCATTCTCTTAACAAGGTCTTTCACAGAACAAAAAAAATTCTAATCTTGATGAAATCTATTTTTTGGTGTGCTTCACTAACTTCACTAAGCTTTGCCTGACGTCTTTTAGAAGTACATTTTAGCCTATAGATTCAGTTGATTGGATGGCTATGAGATTCTTTAGGTTAAATATTCTTAGAACATCTGAACAGATCATATTTAACCTCTGAAATTTATCAGTAACATTTTCAGATAGCTTTTTGAAATCTCTACTAGATCTGTAGTTTTGACTTCTTGTTCACTTCTTCCTATTTCTTTAATTTCTCTTTAATTTCTCCCTCCTGCTTCCCCTGGTTTCACATTGTGGACCAGCCAACACTTTCTGTCATGAATTGAATAGTAAACACACTAGGCTTTGCAGCCAGATCTGCAGTTGCTGTTGCAAAAATACTCTGCTGTTGGAGCACAAAAGCAGCCACAGATGGCTTGTGACTAAGTGTGTGTGGCTCTGTTCCTTTAGTGTGTGTCCATCAGTAGGAAAGTTATTTTCAGATCGCTTGGTGCTAAAAATTTGTTTCATCTTTAACCTTAAATCATAGTTGAGCTGGGCATAAAATTTACTGTCTTCCCTCCTTGCTGGTGGGAGAAGAGTTGTCTGTCTTTGAAAGATCACTTATTTTCCACCCTGATATGTCTTAATAAAGGTTTATTGACAGTATTTAGGATACTTTGTGCTTCTGAAATCCGAGGAGTTCCTCTTCATTTTCTCATTCTGAAATTTCTATGAGACTCTTATGTCTTCCAGTTAGTGAATTTTTTCTTGTGTTGTTTCTGTTTTAAAATATTTCTTTTCAGAGAGAGAGCTCGAGTGGAGGTGAGAGGCAGAAAACCTTAAGCAGACTCCCTGGGATCATGACCTGAGCTGAAATCGAGAGTTGGACACTTACAGATTGGGGGCATCTGTGTGGTTTAGTGGGTTAAGTTTTAAATTTCAGTGACTATGTGTATTTAATCTCAAATTCTAGCCTCTGAAGTTCTTACTAGATGGGAAAGAGTCTTTCTTTGACTAGGCTCTACTCAGGCTCCGCAGAAATCTGTGAGGCCCTGGCTTTTGGGGGCTCCATCTCTCCATTAGCCAGGTTTAGCAGGAATGATGTTAGGTCAGTTGAGCCAGAATAACTGGTCACCTTGCCATCCACCAGGGTTCCTTTGCTCAGTCTGGCCTGCCTCCAACTAGATCCCTGGCAGTTCCATTTAGCCAGGACTCCATCATCTGTGATGGTTCCTCTTAGCAACCTTCCATCCACAGACCACCACCCTATTCCTTGGCTCTCAGTCTGCACTTTTCCCTGTTGTATTAAGAGTTGAGCCCGATCCCACAGCCAAACCGCAGTGGTCCCTATACCACTATAGGAACCCTGTGCATACAGCCTGCCTTACCATTCTTCTACAAGTGTCATGTACAAATAATTGTTCCTTTAACAAGGAGTCCTACCCCTGCGCTTTGGTGCAGTTTAGCTGTGGGAATCGGAATTGTGCACATTGGTCGACCCAGGGCTTTCCAGACACTGGGGAGAGTGTACACTCAAGCCCTGGAAGAGCAGGTTGCAAATTTTTGGGAGGTGAGTTTATGGTTGCCTGAGCTATTGTCTCCTGTGTCAGATGACTCCAGGGTCACTAGACTTGGCTTGGACAGTGGGGAGTCTTCAGGCTTCTTTTTCTCTCAATAAGTACTCCTTTGCACATAACTTTGTTTTGACTCTTAGCTCCTGCCAGGCAGACAGATACTCCATTGTCCTACAATGAGCTAAGAGAAAGGAACTAGTTTTTCCTTTGGGAGGGAAGGCATGGGTCAGCTGGATTGCCGGCTGGGGCAGCTTACCACACTGTGGAGGAGGGTCCAGGGGCACGAAGCCCCGGGCACACAAGTGGATGTAAGTGGCTGCCAGGTTACAGGCAAAGTGGAGCTCCTGGGTGCCACAGGTGTCCTGGTTGCACAGGCCAAGGAAGGGTGTGGGGTCCACCTGCAATTCAGCATCCACAGTCATGGTTCTGGCCCACTGTACCATTGGGGGTAACACAGAGGAGGAGGGCCAGAAGCAAGGTGGGGGAAACTTTTGGTCCTTTGGTCTACCTGTTGCATGGCTTCTGTTGGGTTCCAGCCCCAGCCTCACACTCACCACTCTGAAGCAGTTCCCCAGGCAGGAATGAGGGTCCTGGAAGAAGGCCCAGCAGGTGAGGCTCCGGGCTGGGCACTCCTGAGGTTTCTCCATGGCCCTGCAGTCACCACCCACCTAGTGAGACAAATCCAAGACTCAGGCCTTCACCTGGACCTCTTTCATCTTGGGCAGCTAGAGCAGGTGCATCAGCCTCTGGAGGGGATGTCCAACCCCTGGGCCTGAGAAGTTGGCTCCAGAGTATGTATGCCCTGAGCCAGTCTCTGCACTCAGCTACCACTCCCTGGTGATGCACAAACCCTAAGAGAGGAAGGGCTGGCAAACCAGCTCACCTGCCAGGCGAGGGTGAGCTCCTCCAGGCTCTGGGCCACTTTGCCATCTGGCAGCATCCACTCATTGGCCGCCTCATTGTCATTGGTACCTAGAAGGCCAGCAGACACACCTGTGGGGAAAGGGGCTGTGTGAGAGCCAGGGGTGATGAACCGTCCATGCCTGACTCCTGTGCCACCATCTGGGCTCTAACCCTTCATTAGAGGGAGAAGAGAAAGGGGAAAGGAAGGGCAGAAAGCATTTATGCCCCTCCTTAGGCCCTCCCACTGACTGCAAGCCCCAGCCTTGAGTGGCCTGGGCCGGTGGGAGAGCTGTTCATTAACCTCAGTCAGGTCATCCACTCTGGGGACAACAGGGGGATGAGAGGAGGAGGAGACTGTGGTATTACAGCAGGAGAAACAAGGCCAATGGGCACAGAGCAGTATCTGTCCATCTGCCTTTAGGAACTGTCGCAGCACTGGCATGATCTAGCAGGGAGAGATGGCCTCTGACCATCTAGCTATTTTGAGCCCTTTGGACTCTGCTTCTTTATGCTGGCTCAGGTTGCAAGCCCCAAGGAGCAGCAGCAGCCTGAGGGAGTCCCTGGACATCCCGCCCCCAGCCTCTTGAGGACCCCGAGAATGCCATTCATTGGGAATCTTCTGGCCTCAACCCTGGAAGCTGGCTGTGGTCTTGGCAAAGCCAACTCCACTGGCTCGGAGGCTGCCAACTGGGCCCAGACCCACCATGGAGCCAGAGGCCCAGAGTCAGGCTGCAGAGGCCAGTTTGCACATCACAGGTGACTGAGATGCCGTCCTCACTGGTCAGTTCGATCCTGGGAATGTCCCCCCTTGTCTTAGCAGGTGGCAGATCCAGGTGCGGACAGCTCTCCGTAGGCAGGGAGGAGTCATACAGCTTGTAGGTCTGTGGGTCAGACATGGGCTGAGCAGGACAAGGGGTGGGCAACAAGGCACACCAGGTGGGAAGGGCCTGGGGCCCAGAACATAGGTGTGTGGATGTGAGAGGAGGCAGTAAAGCAGCCTCCCACTCTCACATGCTCACCTTTAGGCTTGGATAGAGGACCAGGGTCGTGTGGTTCAGCTCCACGGACAGGGATGTGAGTCCTGAAGGGGCCCGGTTCAGCGTCAGTGAGAACGTGTTGTGGGCGAAGTCCTTGGCCAGCAGCAGACTGCCACAGTGGCCACCAAGACTCCACACCTGGCCATCGAAGGTTACCACATGCCTGTCCCCGGCCACCACAGCATGGTCTGGGAAGAAGAAATCCCTAAGGCAAGTGAGATGGGTCCCTCTGCCCAGGGGGACTCTAGGGTGTCCTCTTGGGCAGCCCACATGCGGGAGGTCTACCCCCAGCTCTTCTCCCTTCAGCACCCAGAAGTAAGCTGTCTACAGCCAAGTCGACAATACACAGAAACAAAAGGCTAATACACGCGTGAATCTTGAAAAGGTTCTGTTGGGTGAAAAGCCGTCACAAAAGGTCATGTGTTACACGATCCCATTTGTACGAACTGTCCAGAGTAGGCAAATCCATGGAGCCAGGAAGTAGACTGGTGGGAGCTGAGGACTGAGGATGACAGCTAAGGGGCAAAGGTCAGCTTCTGAGGTAATGAAAATGCTCTAAAATTGACTCTGCTGATGGAATGTGCACCTCTCTGAATATTTTCAGAGCCACTGAATTATATGCTTAAAATAAATGGTGTGGTATGTGAATTATGTGTCCAGGAAGCTATTGAAAAATAATCACTGGAAAAAAAATGCACAAAACTATGGCCCAGGGCTGCATCCAACACAAGGACGGTACCATGGGGGCCTGGTACTGCCCTCTTCAAGGTGGGCAGAAGATGGTCAGAGAAGGAGCGGTGTGACCTGCCAGGCCAGTACTGCTGCTGAGCAGTGGCCCGGGGTGGCATCTGGCTGGGCCAGAGTCGGGGAGCACTACTGGACACCTACCAGGCCCAGGAGCTGCTGGCCCACCCAGCCTCACACGGAGGGTCCTGTACACCCCTTCGTGAGCAATCAGAGCTGAAGGTCACAGGGCAGCTCAAGGTCACACGTGTATGGAAGTCCAAGACCAGCTGCTCCTACCTCTCCGTGCTGTCTAGCAGAGGAAGTAACCCTGACCCTAGGAGGGCTACTGCTTGTCCTGAGCCTCTGCCTTCCCATGGGGATGATTATGAAAACCACACCGATGCACCAGGCCCACCTGGCCCTGGGTGCCACGCCTGCCCCTGGACTTGAGATGTGCCCCAGCATCGAGGATTTCAGCTCACAAACTGCCTGTGCCTGGCACCCAAAGGAGTGAGCCTGGTTGCCACCTCCACTTGACAGAGGGGAAACCGAGTCCCAGAGAGGTGGGAAGACTCGCCCAGGCCACACTGGGGCCTGAGCTAGATGCCAACTCCCCAGGGGCCCCAAGCCCCCAGAGCTGCATCCGGTCCTAGCACAGCCTGTGGCGGCTGGCCCAGCCAGACCAAGAGTCTGGACTCAATTAGTGGCCTTCCGGCTCCAACTGGAGGTCTGCCTTCTGTGGCTCCAGCCCAGTCCAGGGGGAGGGAGTTGGCCCCGAGCCGCTTGGCGCACTTCTGTGCGGGGCCCCATGCTCAGGCTTGCCTCTTCTGGATGAAAGCCCGGATCGGCAGCCCGGCCCTAGTCCAGTATTGACCTTGGGAAGTCCACTAAGCTCTGGGCCGGGCCGTACCATGCTGGGGCTCCGAGTGCTACCCAGGGCCTGTCCGTCTGCCCCGTCCCACAGGGCAGGGGCCTTCCCGGGAGGAGGTGGCCCAGGACTCACAGTCATGGGGGCTCTCCAGGAGGAGACGCTGCAGCCGGTAGTACTCGGCCAGCACGCGGGTCCCGTACAGCTCGCGGAAGGGCCGCAGCAGCTTCTCCTCCACCAAGTGGCCGGTCACCCGGGCCACGGCCAGGGGCTCGTCCCCTGCAGGCAGCAGTGGCAGTGTCACCGTCACTGAGCAGTTTCTGGAGGAAACGAGGGGAGGAGTTGGAGACCCTGGCCTGTGTTTGCTCCAGGAAGGAGGAGGAGGACAGTGCGGGCTGGCGGGGGAGGCTCGGGGCAGATGCAACTGTCCCCTTGGCAGGACACCGATGCCTGAGCCCCTGCCTGGGCTGGGAACGGACGTGCTGCCCCCGGTGCCTGGGCTCAGCTGGGGCACCTCTGTGTGGACCCCAAGGGCTGGGCAGGCCCACGGGGGTGCTCCTTGAGGAAGGGTGGAGAGCCAAAAGGGCCTGGGGAATCCCACAGGCGAGGGAGGACCCTGTCTCAGGGTGGAAAACGGGGAGGTCAGGTTGACCGTGTGGGGTCTGAAGGAGCCAAGAGGTCTCAGCACACATCGGGGTTGGAGGTGGATGAGGAATATGACCTGCCCTGGACTGTGGGTGGAGGCGGGTGCAGGGGCCCGGGTGGGAGGGCATTTACCCCCGGTGGGAGGGCATTTACCTTCCCCCAGGAGGCCTGGGAAGCTGTCGCAAAGGCCTGCCTGCTACCTGCATCCCTTGTGACCCTTGGGCAGGAGTGTCACTCGAGGCGCAGAGCCCTGAGCCAGGGTTGCCCAAGTCAGGGCTAGATTCAAGCACAAGCACTGCCCTGGGCTGGATGCTCTGTGAGGCTGCTGGCCGTGGCCACTGCCCCTTCTAAGCACCCCCGGGCTGACGGGGCCCCTGCCTGTGAGAGGGATGCATCACGCGCCCCAGGCCCCAGGGCTGTCACTGAGGCTGGCTCTGCAGCTCCCTCCAGACCAGTCACCTCTCTGACAACAGCCAGACTGTGTACGGCCCAGGCCTCAGAATATCAACTGCCTTCTAGCCACTTTAATGGGGTACCCTCATGGCTTCTCAAACTCCGCACATCCGGACTGACACTCTGACCGTCCCCACTCCTGCCACAGAGACTGAATAAAGACCCCCAAAGACCTCCAAGTACCCGGGACCTAGGACTACAATGACTAATATGGCCAAGAGCACTTTGCAGTGGGACTAAATGAAGGATTTTGAGATGGGCTATCCAGGTGAGCCCATGTAATCAGAAAAGGGAGGGAGGAGGGTCACTCAGACAAGATGTAGGGCAGAGGCTGCAGGGGAGGTGACGCTTGGCCATCAGCTTTGAAGGTGGAGGAAGGGTTCTCAGAACCAAGGAGCACAGGTGCCCCTAGATGGTGGAAAAGGTAAAGGGGGTGGGTTCTGCCCCCGAGCTTCCCCAGGAACCAGCCCTGCCCACACGGTGACTGCAGTCCCCCAAAACTGATTTCAGACTTCGGACCTCCAGAACCACACGAGAAGAAATCTGTGTTGTTTTAAGCCACTAAATGTGTGGGTAAGTTGCTACAGCAGCAATGGGAGACTAATGAAGCCTTGATCTGCTTTGCCACCAGTCATCTGTCCTTGCTCCACAAATGGACCATCCATCCTGCCATTTGCAAGGCCCAGAAACCTCAGCACCATCTGTTCCACCACCTAATCTGATCCATCAGTAGATCCACAGGCTTGACCTTATACCACGTCTGGAATCTGAACATCTCGCAGCCCCTCCATGGCTCCCACCGCTCAGCTGAGCCCGCCACCCCCACCCCTCTCGTCTGGACAGTCACACAGAGGACCAGTCTTTACTGAGCCCCCACACTTATGTCCACACTACACTGCTGCTCTGATCTGGAGTCTCAACACCAGGGCCAGAGGGATCTTTTTAAATAGGACACAGATCATGTCTTTCCTCAGCTCAAAAACTTTCTGTGGGTTCCCATCTCAGAGTAGAAGCCACCATCCTCACAAAGGCCCTAGGCCACCTGGATCCCTATCACCTCTCGAGCTCTTGCACCCTCCATTCCAGCCCCACTGGCTTCTTCGATACTCCTCCAGCAGGCTAGGTGCATGCTCACCCCTGGGCCTTTGCACCTGCTGTGCCCTCTGCCTGGAACTCTTCCCATGATGTCCACACGGCTCCCTCCCCTGGCTCCTTCCAGCCCTTGTTCAAATGCTACCTTCTTGCAGAAGCAGACCACGGCTGCACCCTTCAAAAGGTGCCCTCACCCGACTTGTCCTGTTTCTCTCCAGCATTAGCCACCTGACATACCAAATCAGAGGCTAGGAAACTACAGCCCATGGGCCAGAGCCAGCCTGTATCCTGTTTTTGCATGGCTTACAAGCTAAGAGGGGCTCTTCTGTTTTTAAAGGATTATTTAAAACAAAAACAAAAGTGAAGACGACATGAGAGCCCATCTGGCCTACAGAGCCTGAAAACTTTACCCTTAGGCCCTCAGGAGGAAAGGTTTGCTGAGCCCTGACGTAGATAACCTAGCTGTACCTGTTCAGTGCCCACCTCCCGCCGTGGACTGTGGCCGTCGTGAGGACAGGGACCCGTCTCTCTCACTGCTGTATATACAGCGCTGCCTAAAACAGTTCCTGCTCAGAGAACATGTTCAGAAAATTCCCACGGAATGAAGAATAAGCCTATTTCCTCATCTGTGAAGATGGGGGCTGAAAATGCCCCCCAGGCAGGGTCATCCTAAGGGATGAGTGAGACCAAGGGTGTTTTAGCCCAGGGCACAGCTGGGGCAGGGAGGCAGGGAAGGACGGACCCCCAGGTACCTGGCTGAGAAGCTGTACAGAGCCAGCAACGGCTTGCAGAGCCTCCTCAGGGCCTGTGACAAAGTGGCTTCGGCCCAGGACAGCATCTGGCGGGCGGCCTGCAGGGGAGGCGGGCGGCGAGAGCCATCAGGGTCCGCCTGGCTGGGCAGGGCCACGTCCCACTCCTGCGCCCCACCTCACCAGCTCCAGGGCTGCCCCGATGGGCCTGGGCCACACGGCCCGCAACAGCTGCATGGCCTCCTGTGCCCGCTCCTGCCACAGCTCGTCCAGGGGCCGCAGTGTCACCTCCAGGTAGGCATCCTTCAGCGTGGCCAGGGGCCCTGCAACAGGTGGCTGCCCCTCACTGTGAGGCACCCCCAGGGGTCGGGACAGCAGGCAAGATGTCCCGGCCTGCATCCCAGATTTGGGCAGGAAGGCCAGCCCCCCGGACCTCCAGGAAACAGGCCTCCAGGAAACAGCTGGTTCCAGGGCACCAGGGGGTGCAGGGAAGAGCCAGCCTCGCAGGCCCGAGACCACCACCACCCCCAACGGCCTGTTCACAGCCCCGGGGAGCCCGGGCTTCAGGAGGGCTGCCTCCACTCCCGGAACCAAGGGCCTCGCTCTGCCCAAACTGCACAGAAGGTGGTTGATGCTCCACACCCTCCTTTTCTTTCTGCGAGTCCGGAAAGGTGGTGTGTGCCAGGGGAGGCGTCCTGCACGACCAGCCCCCAAAGGAAACCCTAACGCGCTTCCCTGGCAGACCAGCGTGCCATCACCACACTGGGGGAATTGAGGGCGACCCGGGTGACCTCCCAGGGAGAAGCCTCTGGAAGCTTGTGCCTGGTGCTCGTCCCTACCTTGGGCCTCGGCCCTTGGACCTCGGCCCCTGCGCCTCTGCCTTTTGCTGATCTTGCTCTGTGTGCTTTCGCTGTAACAGATCCTAGCTGTGAGCATGAAAATATTCTGAGAACTGAACCCTAGTGAGCCACGGAACCTGGGGGTGGCCGTGGGGATTTGGACACAGAGACAGAAGCGGGGTGGGAGACGAGGGCCGGCTGTTGGCCCCGGTGCTCCTGTGGAGTGGCCAGAGCTTCCCAGCATCACTGACAGGACACTTGGGGCCGCGGCTACTTAGCAACCAGGACAGAAGCCTTAACCACACAGCCACCCTGGGGCTGATCGCAGAACCAGAGATGGGTTCTGGAATCTTCCAGCTGTGGGTCTAATAGAAACAAAGCTGTAAGCCCAAAAGAAATCAGGTGGGGACTGGAAAAAAATTGAGCAGCAGTTCCCAATGAAATAAGGCAGTGGACATAAGGGATATTAGCTTAGAGACCCACAGGAATGGAGGCAGCAGAGGCCATGTAGGCTGCAGGCCTGCGAGGCCACGCAGGTCAGAGGGCTCTGGGGTCGGGCCTTCTCTCCTGCACTCACGTTCCAGCTCATTCCGCAGCTGCTCCAGCCCAGCCTGCAGCCTCTCCAGGTAGAGCGGCAAGTGGTGTGTCAGCGCCCGCCTGGCCTGGCTCTGGCCCCACAGCAAGGCCACCGCCCGGCCACTCGCCAGGACAGCATCCAGTCCTGCGTGGGATAGCTGCAGGACGGGGACCACCACATCGTCCAGGGTGCCCGCCGGCCGCACCTGGGCAGGGAAATCGAGGCAGGATCAGTGTGAGGGTCTGGGGCACCCGGCACTCCAGAAGGTCCTCGCACCTGGTGAGTGGAGGGCATAGGCCAGGCGGGGGGTTCCGGGGGTGCGTCTCCACACACAGCCTCCCACTCTCCAAGTGTGTCCCCGAGACCCTGTCGCACTACCCACCAGGCACCGGAACCTCTCCACGTAGGCATCCAAGCCTCGGACCTTCTTCTCCAGCTGGGCTCGCACCTGGGCCCCAATGGCTGTGATTCTGGACTGTGGGCACAGAGGGGCAGGCTGGGGTGGCTGGGAGGTTGCCGGTGACGGGTGCCCCGGGATGTGTGTGCAGGCTATGGGGCTGCTGCTGGTTTCCTGGGCACTGTGGGACCTAAAGGGCTTGCAGTACACCCCACCCCCGACCCCCAGAGAAAGCAGCACCCCCCGGCCCGGGCTGTCTCACCTCCACGTGGCCCAGCAGGGGTTCCTGGCAGCCTTGCGCCACCAGGCGGAGGCTCTGGTTGGCAGCCTGCAGGGTCAGGCGTCCCAGGGACGGCCCGGGCCGCCCGCCGTCCTGCAGCAGGGCCTCCGCCTCAGCTGTCCGCCTGTGGGCACACGCCCGCAGCACAACACTCTCCTCTCGGCTCCCTGGAGCCAGGAAGGGTCTTGCTGTTGTCCCCAGGACTGGCCCCGCTGCCACCCGGATGCCCACTCCGCCTCCCGCCACACCTTCTGGAGCTTTCCCCACCCATGGGACCTACTAGTGTTTGCAGGCCTGGAAGTGCAACCACCCCCATCAACGTCCCAGCCACCCCCTTCCCTGGAGGCCTGGTCTCCTTCTGGTCCCCCAGTCCCTACTCACCCCCCACTGGCACGGCTGGGCCCTTCTATCAGCCTCTCCCGCTATCACAGCCCACACAGGAGGCCACAGGGGGGGCTCTCTGTCACCTCCAAGCTGGCGGTGCCACGAAATCCTAACGGGGTTCCTTGACTCCTGAACTCTCAGCACCCCAATCTCTGTCCTGCCTGGGGCCAGGTTGGGCCCTGCCCCAGCCGTCTGAGTGTACTCACTGCCTCTCACCTTCCTCGTGGCCCGCAGAGGCCTGGAGACAGCCCTGGGCCCGCGACACCGACAGCCTCACTTTCTCGTTCCCATCGTCCACATGTCCCTCTAGCTGGGCCAGGAACCGAGAAGCTGAGGTAGAGACCCGGCCCCGCAGGCCAAGCCGCTGAGCCTTGGGGCTGAGGATCTGCAAACAGGAGGGCAGAGAGCAGAGTGGGGCCCGGGGAGCGGAAAGGCAGTGCCCACCCCCACTCCATATCTCCAGGGACACGGGACCCCCACGTCCATCCTCCCACAAGGTTCACTGTCCCTGCCAACTGCAGAAAGTACCTATTAAATCCACATCTGGAGGCCTAATAAGCCAGTGGTACCCGCCACCCATGTGCCTTAAAAATCACCGATGCCAGGCCTCACCCCAGAGACGTTGCCTTCACTGATCCCGGTGGCCCCCGACCTTGGCATTTTTGCCATTCCAGGTGCCCAGACGTTTCTACCTGTGGGCCATGTTTTCTGTAATTTCCTGAGAACCACAGCAAACGTCTCAGCACGTACAAGGAGATGGGGGTAGCGTGTGGCACAAATGCGGTCACTGGGCAGCTTACCCCAACCCTTGCAGACACCTACCCTGGCAGGAGGGGGACTCAGGACAGGTGGGTTCTGAATGGGCAGGGGGCTTGGGGGTGGGTACCCCCCTGGAGGTCCAGGAAAGGTCACAGAGGCACTCACAGAAGGAACCCTGGAGGACACCCTGCAGGTGGAGGCCCATTTTGGGGACGGGAGCCACCTCTGGTCTAGGCTCAGCTGCCCTGCGTTCCAGCCCAGGTGCTGCTGCTAACAAGCCCTACAACCCTGAATAAGCGCGTTGCCCTGTCTGTGCCTCAGTTTCCAATTCTGTAAAATGATGCAGCACTGCGGCCTTCAAAACTCAGCAGGGATCAGAACTGCTCTGCGTACGTGTGTACGGGAGGCGTCTTACAGGTTGAACTGTGTTCCTCAAAAAGGTGTGGGAGTTCGAACCCTGGTGCCCATGGAATGTGGGGCTGCTTGGAAATAGGGGGTCTGTGGGTGTGATCCAGTTAAGGAGTGGTTGTAGTGGATTCAGGTGGGCACTAGATCCCCCGGCCGATGTCCTGGAGAGACAGCCACGTGAAGAGGCAAAGGTTGGGACCACGTGGCCATCAGCCAAGGAGCGCCAAGGATTGCTGGGGCCACCAGAAGCAGGCAGAGGCCAGGAGGGACGCTCCCCTGGAGCTTCTGCTGGGAGGGCGGCCTTGCGGACACCTTGGTTTTAGACTTCTAGCCTCCATGACCGTGCAAGAAAAAAATCATGTGTTCCATCACCGAGCTGGGGGTCATGTGTTCGGCAGCCTGAGGAATCGAATCCACGGGGCCCACTATGCATGCACGTTCTAGAGAACCTGTCCTCAAGGTTTCCAGGTGGGCGGGGTGGAGCCCAGAAAGCCTTATGAAATTTCACAGTGCACGACGTGAGCTCTGGTGGGGGCATCTGCAGACCATACTTGGGGGTCTCTGTCCCCAAAGGCCACTTGCTGAGCTCCACCTGAGTCGCTGTCACTGGTGAGGGCCTGCTGGCAGGTGAGTGCCTGGCCTCCTGAACCTGTTTCTCTGCTCCACAGGGGCCTCTGCGTTGTCAGGAGGACCAAACGAGGCTGGGAAGGGCCTCTACCCACCACATGGACCCTCCCATGGGGCAAGTGGCTCACTCCTAGGCCTTCAGTCCTGGCAGGCAGGCCTTGGGGCGCTGGGATTACAGACATGGGAGCAGCTAAGGGCGTGGCTGGCAAGCGGGGGAACCGAGCAGTCACCCTGGACAACCTTGGAAAGCAAAGCTCTTTAGAAACAGCCACGCTATGGCACTGGGAAACAGGCCAAGTGAGCTCCAGATGCAGGAAAGCCATCCCCGTCCAGCGCTGGCTGCTGGAAGGAAACACGCACCTCATGAGCACCCACTGTGTGCGTGCCCTGAACAAAAGGACTCTGCAAAGGAGGTGGGATTTGCTCCCATGGCCCAGAGGAGACAACGGAGGACAGAAGAAGGAAAGTCACAAAATCAGGCTCCCCCGGTCAGGGTGACACAGGAGTGCGCAGGTGGTAACCGCGATGGGGCACCCACTGTGTGCCTGAGCTAAGCGGGCAGAGGGAGGGGGTGCTTGGACCCCCATTCTCATCAGGCACTGCTCTAAGTGACCCACACAGAGTCACATAGTTAACCCTTGCGGCGGGAGTCCCATGGGAGGTGGGGTAGATGCGATCATCACTCTCCATAGCAGGAGGTCAGCGGTGGAGCGGGTTGTCAGGAAGAGGCTAGGGGTGGGTTCAAACCCAGACAGTCCAGTCACTGCCTCTTTGGTAGGGCAAGGGCCAGAGGCTGAGGAGCTGCTTTGTCTCAGGGCTGGGGACAGGCCAGAGGGTCTCACCCTCCCTAGAGCTCGGGTCCCCACCAGGGTGCCAGCCCGCGGTTCTGACCATGGCCACTAGGTGGCAGGGCCATGCAGGCGGTGGTGGCCTGGCCCGGGAGCAGGGCCCTGGAGCAGGGCCAGGGAGCATCCTCCTGGGGGGTAGGGAGGCGGGGGACAGCCCTGACCTGACCACCCACCTCCAGCTCCCCGGAGAAGTCTGGTGTCCGAGGCTTGCTATGGTTGCGGAGCGTCAGGCTGAGCTGCAGGCCGTGGTCTGGGTCCGGGGCAAGGCCCAGCTGGCAGTAGGAATGCAGTAGGAGCCCCCTGTGGCCCAGGGTGTGCTCCCCAGAGACTGAGAGAGCCTGGAACGAGAAGGTGGGTGTTAGCGGTCATGGTCATGGAGGCTCAGGGGCAGCAGCTTCCCCTCCCCACCAAGCCCTGGCCTGATCCAGACCACTAGGGCTGTCGCAATAGCCTCTTGGGTCTCCTATCCCCCAGGTCAGCCCCAGCTCCAGCCCATAGGCCCTCCTCTACTTGGTAACCAGATTGACCTTTAAAAATGCGAATCAGACATTAACCCTGTGCTCAAAAACTCTCTGCCGTCCACCATACTGAGAAGAAAAGCTGCCTTGGCATGGCCCACAGGTCAGTATTGTCTTCTTAACCTTCCCTCCTTGCTCTCTCTAAAGGCTGCCCTATGTTCCTTAAATACCCTAAGCATGTTCTGCCACAGGGCCTTTGCACTGGCTATTCCCTCTGCAGAGCTTGGCCCTGTCAGTGAGGCCCCCTTGCAACCCCCTGTCTCCTCTCCCTGCTTCATTCCTTCACGGCATGGATCATGCCTGAGTACATATCATGCATCTTGTTTAACTCTTTCCACGCCCTGGAATGTGAGCTCCAGGGGGTGGGGTACCCCGACTGCCCTTGTTCCTGCACCTAAGTACAGGGTCTTGCATAAATAAAAACCACAAATGCTTTCTGAACGAATGGATGAATGGGGTTGGCAAACTGCCTCAAGAGCCAAAGAACACTGCTTATTGTTGTAAATAAATATGTATTGGAGCAGGGCCACACCCATTTGTTTACAGAGATCCTATGACAGCCAAGTTGAGTAATTGTAACAAAGACCATATGGCTTGAAAAGCTAAAATGTTTGCTATCTGATCCTTTACAGAAAAACTCTTACCCTGGGATGGATGGATGGGCGGATGGACAGGAGGGTGGGTGTGTAGGTGGGTGGTTGGGTGTGTGGATGGATGGATGAATAGATGGACAGGAGGGTAGGGAGTAGATGGATCGATGGATGGATGGATGGATGGATGGATGAGTAGGTGGGTGAGTGGGTAGCTGGGTAGGTGAGTGAATGGGTGGACAGGAGGGTAAGGAGTAGGTGGTTGGATGGATGGGGGGATGGATGGGGGTGGGAAGGTGGGTGAGTAGGTGGGTGCGTAGGTGATTAGGTGGGTGGATGGATGGTGGATGGTTGGATAGGAGGGTGGGGAGTAGATGGATGGATGGATGGACGGATGGACGGGAGGGTGGATGAGTAGGTGGGTGAGTAAGTGAGTAGGTGGGTAGGTGGGTGTGTGAGTGGGTGGCTGTGTAGGTGAGTACGTGGGTGAATGGATGGATGGACAGGTGGATGGATGGAAGGGTAGGGAGTAGATGGATTGATGGATGGATGAGTAGGTGGGTGAGTGGGTAGCTGGGTAGGTGAGTGAATGGATGGACAGGAGGGTAAGGAGTAGGCAGTTGGATGGAGGGTGTGTAGGTGAGTAGGTGGGTAGATGGTCGATAGATGGATGGATAGGAGGGTGGGGAGTAGATGGATGGATAGGAGGGTGGGGAGTAGGTGGATGGATAGGAGGGTGGGGAGTAGGTACGTGGATGGATGGATGGATGGATGGATGGACGGATGGATGGACAGATGGATGGGAGGGCAGGTAGGTAGGAGGAAGGACCAATGAACCAGCTAACAGACCCAGGAAGAGTGTTCCCCTCTAACAACGATGAGGCTGAGTACCTTCAATCCACGTGTGAAGCACTCTTCCTGCGTCACACGTCACTCACGCCACGTCACCCTACACGCGGGAGCCCTACTGCCTGTCCTGTCCCTCAGGTGGAGCACTGGATGTTGAGAGTACTGACCTGCCCCGCCTGCGGTCACCCAGCCGGCAAATGGCAGAGCGGAGATGGTGGCACCCGGCTAACTCACCCCCACCCCTGCACTCCGTGGGTGCTCTCCTCACCCCCCCCTCGGGGGGCCCCTGGGCCCCTTCCTCAGGACGCACTCACCCTGGGCAGGTCGCAGAGCCCCAGCTGCAGGGAATGGCGCAGCCAGTGGGTGTAGTCGGTGTCCACTTCTCCCCGGAAGCTGTGTGTGGTGCAGGAGGTGGTGAAGATGTGCTCTAGCACGGCCTCGGCGTGGATCCTGTCTGGCTGGGACGGCCAATGCCTCTGCAATGAGAGGGTGCCGTGAGGTGGGGGCTCATCCCCTAAGGGGAGAGTGGCCAGGGCCAGTTGCAGGCGGGAGGCCCCCACAAGAGTGGGTGCTGCAGGTCCTGCCATCAGAGCCCTGGCCGGGCGCAGCAGCCATTCCTACCCTGAGCAGAACGTCTGTTGGGAACACCGAGGGGGCTGAGCCTAAGGGGTCCCAGAACCCAGGGTGCCGGGCCCCAGAAGGAACAAGCCCTGCTGTCAGGACCAGCTGTCCTTGTGTCTCCATGGTCCGGTCCCTGTCCCAGGCTCTGTCTGCAGAGCAGTGCTCAGCCCCAGCAGCAGCCCCAGGTGGGGAGCGATGCCCGGAAGACCCTGACCTTCACACCTCCAAGAACCTGAGCACCCCCCCACACACACATCCTCCCTGGCGTCACCAGCCCCTTCCCTCGTCTGCTCCCTGTGCTCAACTTGCGCCGGGCGCCTTGCTCTCCTCATCTCCCAGAGCTGTCCCTACACCCCAGTCAGGGAAGGAGGATCACCCCCGTTTTACAGCAGAGAACAGCACGGCTCACGGTGGAGAAACGAGTTGCTCACGATCCTACAGCCCAGCTAGCGCTTGCCCGGGACCCCATGGCCTCCGAGCCCGGCACTTTCCACGGCAGGTGGGGCCGCCCCAGGGTTACCTGCCTGGGACCTGGCTCTCCGGGCCTCACCTCGTAGGTCAGGTTGTGCCGCACCCTGCGTCGGTCCCAGGACAGGTCAAGCTGCTCGCTGAACACGGCCGGGGTGTGTGTTAAGGCCCCACAGGCCTTGAGGGCACTCAGGCCCCATGTTTCCTGGAGCTGACGGGAGGATGGTGTGTGGGGCTCGGGGAGCCAGCACAGGGGCCTGGATTTAGGGAAAGGCCCCCGCTTGGCTGGCCAGTGCAGCCGGCACATACCTGTCCCGGGGAGGCGGCCAGGCAGCCGTCCCAGGTGCTGCTGCGCTGCGAGGACCTGTCGGTCCAGGTCAGGTGCAAGGTCACGGGCTGCCCTCCATCCCAGGCCAGCTGGACCTGCGTGGAGATGGGGGGCGGTGGAGGGGAGGGGCAGAGGAGAGGCCGGTCTGTGCTGCGGGTGGGGGACAAGAGGAGTGGGGTGGGAAGGGCTGATGGGAGGGGTAGGGGGGTAGCCCACCACCGTAGGGGACCCTGGCCTTAGGGTGCTCAGAGCCACACCCACACCGGGAGCCTGCATGGGTCCAGATGCAAGGCTCCTCCTTCTGGATCCCGATCCCCAGCCCGAAGGAAAACGGAGCCCCCCACTCGGGGCCTCTGGGGCTGCTCTGGACTGAACTGTGGGCCCTGCCTGCCCGCCCCTCACCTCACTCTCCACTCAACCCCAGAGTGCTGGTCCTAGACCGCAGGGCGGATGGCAGGTGATTGGGTGTGGAGGAGGTCATGGGGTGGCCTCCAGATGGGATTGGTGCCCGTGAGAAGGTACCCCAGAGAGCTCTCTCCCCGGCATTGGGGGGATGCGGAGAAAACCGCGAGCCAGCACGAGAGCACTCCCCAGAACCTGAGCAGGCGGGCTCCTTAGTCTCAGGCTTCTAGCTTCTAGAAGTGGGAGAAATACGTTTTTCTGTTTTAAGCAACAGAAGCCACCCAGCCTAGGGGGGTGATTTTTTAAGATTTATTTATTTGGGAGAGGATGAGAGTGAAGCCCCCACAGAAGCGGGGGTGGGGAGGGGCAGAGGGAGAGGGAGAGGCCCCACAGAGCAGGGAGCGTGACGCGGGACTCGATCCCAGGACCCTGAGGCCACAACCTGAGCTGAAGGCAGACGCTTAACCGACTGAGCCACCCGACACCCCCACCTGTGGTGTTCTGTGGCAGCAGCTGGAGCCCACTAAGCCCCCGGCTGACGTCCCCTCCCTGGCTCCTGCCCCCCCACCCTGTTCCTAGCTGCCTCGGGCTCTTCCTGAAGCTCCCCAGCACATCCCCACCTCAGGGCCTTTGCACTGGCTGTTCCTTCCCCCCCACCCCCAAATGCTATTCCTTCAGCGTGTCACGAGGCGTCCCCCTGCCATCCGTGGGGTTCTCAGCTGACAAGCTACTTCCCCCAGGAGGCCCTCCCGGACCCCCCCCCCTCACATCTGGTTAGTCTCTGTCTCCACCTCCTCCCTGCTTTCTTCACAGGGCTTATCACAACTCTTCTTTCCCTTCAATCGTGGCTTGAATTTTAGACAGGGTCTGCCTGCCTGGCCCGGCACACCTGCCGTCGACACGCACTGGCCTGCCGTCCTCCACTCCGCAGCTGAGAAAACCGAGGCTCGGAGAGGGTCCCGGGGCTGCCCGAGGCCCCCCGGCGAGCTGAGGAGCCCAGCTGCCCCGCACGGACCCCCGAATAAAGCAACGAGTACATAAATGATGAGTCGGACGTGCACGTAAGCTGTTGCTGCGCTAAAACGTGAGCCCTTTAGACGCAGGACTGCACGCCTTGAACACCACCTGGCATGCAGTAGGTGCCTAATAAGGTATCGATGAAGGGACGAACGAATGAAGGGCCCCTCGGTCAGGAATCTGAGGCTCTGCAGGAGCCCCGACAACCAGACAAGCAGAACCCTCGTCCCTGCACATGGTGCCTGGTGCCCAGCCTGCGGGCCCAGCCACGCAGCTCCCCACCCCCGGGACCCCCACCCACCGGCACCTCGGATGCGCCCCTCTCACCTGCCGGCTCTGCTTGCCGCCCCTGCGCTCAGCAAGGCCGCCAGCCTCCATGCGCCACCAGGACAGGTTGAAGGGCTGAGCCAGGGCCAGGCGGGCGGCCAGCTGGCCCTTCCCCAAGAGCAGAGAGGAGGACACCACCACCTGGGGAGGGGGCAGGCTGAGCCGAAGCCTGGCCCAGAGGGGCAGCCCCCTCCCCACCGGGTGCAGACAGCCTTCAAGGTCAAGGGCGTGAGGGCAGCTGGCTGGGGCGGAGCACACAACCCCAGCCCTGCCCTGCCCTCCACTGGCTCTGTGACCCCAGGAGGGTCGCTGCACCTCTCTGGGCTCCGACTTCATCATGTGTTAAGTGGGGCTGACTGCTAAGCCCTCACTAGGTGGCAGCCCCTGGCGTCCCTGGTGTTGCTCAGGTGTTGCTGGAACCCGATTCCAACTCCCCCCGCCCCACCCACCCAGGGCCTTTCCCACAGTTTCTTGGGGGCTGCCTCCGGTGGGGCTCCTTCCAGCCCTGACACCTACCTGGTCCTTGTCATCCCAGCGCACGACCAGGTCGTCCCGGTGTCTGCGTCGCGAATGCTCGCAGGACAGGCGGAGGCCGCTGTGCCACGGCGGGTGGGCGAGCTCCGCTGGGTGGGAGCACAGGGGGGCACATGTGAGGGCAGGGCCTGGGGGATCTCGGCCGACACAGCCACCTACTCGGGCAGGTGGAGGGTGGAGGCCACGTGCTCAGGTCATCAGCGCGACGTTCAGCAGCTACACCCTCACTTGGTCGCGGATCCCTGAGCTGTCCCTGCGGGAACCCCGAATCCCACCCCCCACCCCTGCGATGAGCCTCCGCCTCCCGCATCAAGGGGCGGGATCTGTTTCCGTGGCCCTCAAACCTGGGCCGCAGGTGACTTGCTAACAGAATCTGGTGAAGGTGACACCACCGGATGTCGGATGTTGCAGGCTTGCAAGGGCCTCAGCAACCGCCCCCCAACCCCCGCCCGGCTCGCTCTTTGGGACCCTTGCTCAGACAGTGCGGGAGCGGCCCCGGGCTGGCTTGCTGGAAGGTGCCACCACACAGTGCAGTGCCTGGATGGGCCAGCGCAGGCCGTCTGAGGTCTGCTGGTGGCTGGCGAGCCCTAGGATGAGTCGGAGAGCCCAGGCGAGGTCAGCAGCCCATGTGCGCGGCCTGACGCTTACAGCAGAAGCCACGGAGTCTGGGGACATTTGTCACCTCCCACCAACATCTTGTACCACTCACGTCCCTCACGCTCTCGGGTCTGGTGTCCCTGTGAATGCCCCACGCCCACCTGGGCCACACTCAGCTGGGCGGCCACCCTCTGCTCTCATCCTGTCCTGGAGTGTGATGCAGGTGGCACCCCCATCCCCGAGGCCTCACAACAGACAGCCTCCCTGCCTCTGGGATTGCTCCCCTCAACCCCGAGGGGGAGTCTAGCTGCCCTGACCTCCTGCATCATCATTTGACCCCGTCTTGTGAGGCCACCAGGGGGTCCCGCCTTCCCAAAACCAGAGCAGGAGTCCGCCTGAGTCTCCGCAGTCCACAGTGGCCACCTTGGTGACCTCTGAACTCTCTGGAAGGGGGGCCACCTGCCGCTACACAGGCTCCCGGGAGACAGTGACCCTGGCTGCTTCCCGAGGCGCCGTTGGCTCATCCGTCCAGGGAACGCTGACCATACATGTGTGCCCCACACCCAGAGCCGTGACCCTCGTTGTTTCCACCCTCCGGCCCCCCAGCTTGCAAGCTCTGTAAGCACAGAGCAGGGGCCTCAGGCTGCGGAGCCCACCCACGACCCCCGTGCATGCACACCCGTGCACGCACACCCGTGCACGCACACACACGCTGCCTTGGTGCACTGAGGGGCCACACATTTCCCCTGCCTCGCAGGACACACATACGGCAGCTGGGGCCTGGGAGACGCCATCCGACCACCCCCCAAGCCGCATTCCCGGGACTGGGGTCTGCACGGTGTCTCCCACTCGGCCGGCCAGCAGGTCGGGCTCTGCTGTGTGTAAAGGGGGCTCTTCGAACAGAAACCGACAGTCACGTGACTGCACGGCCCCTGCCGGGGCAGCCTGTGTCCTGGAGGGCCTAGGAGGACCCAAGTGCCATCAGCAGGGCTGCGGTGGGACAGTGCTCGCCTCCCCTGCTGACATCAGCCTCAGCTCTAAAACCCCCTGGGGATGCTCGGGGTTGCCCCATCTAATACACTTCCCATCTTTTCACAGTCAGGATAACCCTCACTCCGGGTAGGGGGCTGGGCCCCGCGTGACCTGGGTCCCTCAGCCTGCCCCCAACCGTCTCCTCTCGTTGCTACCCCTTTCGGTGCACTCTGGCCACACTGGCCTTGCTGCTGTTGCTCTAGCACCCCAGGCTTACTCCTACCTCAGGACCTTTGCACCTGCTTTTCCTTTTGCCTGCAGTGGCCCTCACCGTGGCTACTTCTTTCTTGTCATTCAGGGCTCAGCTTGAACGCGACCTCCTCAGACACGCCTTTCTAGCCTACACCCCCCAAAAGAGCCCCACACCCCTAAATCAAACCCTTCTCACTCTTAGAGTGTTAGAAACACTGATGTGATTTTTTTCTTCACGTTCACATCACTGCTCACTGCCTCTCCCCCCCGAGGGCAGGGCCCTGGGCCGTCTCACTTCTGGGTGGACCCCCAGTGCCTGGAACAGTGCCTGGGATAAGCAGTTGTTCAAAGATGGTTCGCTGAGCGACCAGGCCGCCCCTGCCGGTGCCCCGTCAGACACTCACCCCGCAAGCTGAGGTTCCCCGCGAGCCTGGGGAAGGGCCCAGAGAGGCCCCCGTTGAGGACCACCTCCTGGTTGTCCCACAGAACCGTCTGGTGCAGGGCGTGGGCCCCGTGGACTCTCTCATATGAGGTCTGCAGGACCAGTTCCCCGGGAAAGGCACCGAACTGGAAGAGAAAGACGGCGCCGGGTCACGGAAGCGCCTGGCTCCCACTCGGGGTAGGAAAGGGGGGACACCTGGGGAAGAGGAAAGACGGGTCACGTCTGTGGGGCATTAACAGTTTGCTGGGCTGCCAGACGCCTCAGGAAGTCAGAAAGCCAAAGGCGCTCCAGGGACAGGCAGACGGTGTGGGGCACGGGGTCGGGACACAGGCGACGGAGTGGCCCTGAGCACAGAATGTCGCCTCTCAGCTGCACATCCAAGCTGTGTGGCCTTGGGCGGGTTCCCTAACCTCCCTGAGCTCAAGTTCCCTATCTAGAAGAGGGGGTGCAAGCAGCAGGGCTGACCTCGGAGACAACACAAGGCTGGGGCAGCTCGGGGCCGGCCCGTGGGCAGTGCCATGGGGGCAGGCAGGCCCTGTGGTTGCTACGAGGGCTTCTCAAACATCACTGAGCAGGCATTACGCTTGGGACCCCGATGCATAGCACCGGGTACAAAGATCCCTGGAGGATGGGGACACGTCACAGAGACAGAAGGTAACAGGACAAGGCGACAAGGGTGGCATGAGAGATACTCAGGAGGCAAAGGGACACAGAGGAAGAAGTTGGAAGACGATGCAGGGAAAGGCATTCCAGGCAGAAGGAACAGCCCGTGCCAAGGCTCAGGGAAGAGCACGCCTCAGGGAAGAGGGCGACCCAAGGGCCCTCCGGGGGGGACTTGCAGGGAGGAGGGGGAGTTTACTCCCGAGTGTGGTCCACCCTGCCTTGACACAAGACACCGTCGTTTCCTGCCCTGCTAAGAATAGTGGCCTCCTCGCTGGTGTCCCTACTGCCCCCTGTAGGTCCCGCCCCAGGGACCCTGCAGCAGCTGGAGGGACCTGAAACCGTCATTAGCATCGTGTCCTCAAAGGGCTTCCAAGGTCAGAGAACTAAGTCCAAACCCCTCTCTGCAGCCAGCAGTGCCCTACATGCTCAGACCCCCACCACCTCCTCCTCATCAGCTCTGCTCCAGCCTAGGGGCCGTTCCTCAAACTCCTTCCTGCCCCAGGCCCTTTGTATGTGTTTCTCCCTCTGCCTGGAATGTCCCCCCCACCCCACCCACCCCGCACCAGATTTTCCAACGGCCGATGCTTGCTAGTCATCCGGGGCTAGCTCAGATGTCACCTTCTTCGTGAGGCCTTCCTGGCCACCCGAAGAGCCCCCCCCCCACCTCCTCCTATCACCCCATTTGCTTTTCCCTCTAAAATGTATCAGCATTTTCTTATTTATTTGTGCAGTTTTTTGTTCTTCTTTTTGTTGAGACCAGCCGAGAATCCACCCCAGCGCATCTCACCCACTTGGCAGCTCTTCACAAACTCTTCTTTTCTCAAAGGAACGACCCCGGAGCCCTCCCTGCACGCCCCCATCCCGCACCCCAGTCTGTCGTCCTCGCCGCCCTCCATGCACCTGGGGGAAGGTCTGTTCCAGCCTGATGATGCTGGTGACGCGGGCCTTCGCAGTTGCCAGCCTGCTGCCCAGGTGGAGACGATGTTCCTCCACCGCCAAGGAAATCGTGCCCTGGGCCTCATGCTCTGAGTACTGCAGCTGGGGCAGAAGAAAAGCAGGTGACAGGTCTCCTCACGGGTCTCTGATGGAATATTCAGACAGATACGGGCTCCAGGCTGTAGGCTCCAGCCCCAGACACCCATGGCTTCCTGGACTGTTTGAAATCTGGTGAGATGAGGGTCCTGAGCCTCGGCTGAGGCCACCGGGGGTGCTGGTGACAACAACCTCCCCACGTCCTTCATGCTGTCACGGTGACTTGAAGACAGCTAAGGGCCTCAGGCAAGAATTCCAGTTGCATTACCATAGTGGGCAGCAGGGGGCAGTCTAGCGCAAGGAACAACGCACAGATGCCCTTTCTGGCTCTATGTCCCTTGGGGTGGGTGACCTCCCCAGTTGGGATCATGATACTTTTATTAATGTGCTGATGTGAAAATTGTGTGAAATAACGTGCTGTCCTTCCAGACTGAGTAACAGAGTCCCACTTAGGGCACTGGCTACAAGTGTAGATTCTAGGCTCCTACCTACAGCCAGTAAAAACAGAACCTCTGGAGATGGGGTGGAGAAAGTGGTATTTTCCGAGAGCTCCGCAGATTAGTGGCACCGCAGCCAAAACGGTGAGCCTGAATCTTGCACAAAGGGGCCCGACAAACCCAAATGGAGGGTTTTTGCAAAATCATTGCCTGGACATTTCAAAACCGTCAGTGCAAGGCTGCTTCTTCATTAAGGACAAGGAAATGCTTAGGGGGAAGCCTGTCGATACCTGCCACCTACTTTGAAATGCATCAAAAGTTGAGAGCTAAAAAAAAAAAAAAATTAAAAAAAAAAGTTGAGAGCTATCTGATACAGCAAGTGGAGTGGAATAGGAGGGAGAAAATCAGGCAGTGGGTGTGTCGATGTCCACTATAAAACTGTTTTAATTTCCTAGGGTCTAAAAAGTTTAAAAAGAAAATATTGGGGGGGGGGAAATAGGTACGGGGTGGGAGAAGAATTTCTAGATCAGGGCTCCGCTTTGGGCCAAATTCGGCCCACCACTTGATTTTGTAAATAAAGTTTTATTGTAACATAGCCACACCCGTTTAATTTACATATTGTCTAGGGCTGCTTTTTGGTTACAGTGGCAGCACTGAGCAGGTTGCAAAAGAGATCATATTGGGTTCAAAGGCTAAAATATTTACTATCTGGCTTTTTTTAAAAAATAAAAGTTTGCAGATCTCTCTTCTAGATGACAGGGCAACCAAGTACTCTGGGTAATCCTGGAGTGTGTCTGGGATTGAAAACAAACTAAATACAAACAAACGAACCAAAAAAAAAAAAAAAAACCAGCTTGGAAGAATATTATTGGGGCAACTGGGAAACTTTATTATGGACTGTATATTAGAGAACAGTATGACATTATATTAAATTTCCTGAATTTTGTACTTATACTGCATTACGTAAGAAAATAGCCTTGTTATTGGAACCGCTTGCTGAAGTATTTAGGAGTAAAGAGGTATGACGTGTCCAGAAACATGCCCATATCATCTCTTAATGATACAGAAGAAGATGTACGTGGGCACAGGGGTTAACATGCAAATGCAAATACATGTGCCACGTAGGTATAATCAGGATGTTTGTGGCAGGATGTTGATAACTGGGGAATGTTCACTGTCCTAATGTAACTTTTCTTTGGGTTGGAAATGAATCAAAACAGGGGCAGCCTGGGTGGCTCAGCGGTTTAGCTCTGCCTTCAGCCCAGGGTGTGATCCTGCAGACCCGGGATCGAGTCCCACGTCAGGCTCCCTGCGTGGAGCCTGCTTCTCCCTCTGCCTGTGTCTCCGCCTCTTTCTCTCTCTGTGTCTCTCATGAATAAATAAATAAAATCTAACAAATGAAAAAATAAAAATAAAATAAAAATTGGGGGAACACTCAGAGGCCCCCTGGGTGACTGTGCAGTCAGCAGCAAAGCTTGGGGAACACTAAGATCGTGTGTGAAGGTGCCAGAGCAGGGCCTGGCACACAGCAGGTGCTCTGTGAACAAAGGCGGCCCGGGGCCTGGCAGGGAGGGCAGTTAACGACCCTGGGTGGCTGGTGGGGTAACCAAGGGACCAGCTTGCAAATGTGAGGATCTGGCAACATCTTTCACTGAGCACCTATTATGTGCCAGGCCGTGGGCCGGATGCTCCTGATCTGGGGAAGAGGGGCAGAGAGGGAAACAGGTCGTGGTAAGAGAGGGAGGGCGGGGCGCCAGCCTGGGGCTGCTGTCTACCCCCAGGACCCTCCAATACTACATGCAGGCCAGATGCATGGCCAGGGGCTGTCCTGGCGGTTCCAGGTGGGGAGAGGATTCGAGGACGTGGGTGGGAAGAATGCAGAGAGCCTGGGCTGTGGGAAGAAATGGGGCACCTGGGAGGCAATGCTGGCTCAGCTCAAAGGGCTGTGCCATTTGATCCTGGTGCCGGGAGCATGCCAGGCCAGGGGAGGCGGCGCCAGGCGCCAGGCACTGGGCAGGCGGGCCCCCCACCCCGCTCCCCGGGGTCTCGTGGGCCCAGCCCAGGAACGCAAGCCTGGGGATGTTTGAGAAAGCCGGAGCCAGGGCTTTCCAAGGGCAGCCCACCGGGCCCTGCCGTAGGCCCATGGACAGATGCGGGGGTGCCAGTGCTCCCCAGGGGGGCCCGGCCTGCACGGCCCCCTCCAGCCCCGGGCAGGGCATCTGGAAGCAGTTAGTGCTCAGGGGTGCCGGGCACAGTTACCTTGGCAGCGGCTGAGGCTCTGCTGGGGCAGCGGCCCAGGAGGCCGGGGAGGTGGTGCTGGCCCCAGAGCTGCAGCTCTTTGCTGGAAGGAAAGAAAGGGGAGGTCTGAGGCCAGGCATGAGGGCACCCAGTGCTGGGGCAGGACCAGGCCCACCTCCCCCGCAGGAGGGCAGGAGATCCAGCATCACACGCACGGCCCAGTGAAGGCCCTTCTTATGCCCCAGGCCTGAGGGCCATGCGGTGAGCAGTCAGGGCCTCAGGCTGGTGCCAGGTGATGCACGGTTCAATCCCCACCTGGCCTTTGCCTGCTTCTGGCAGGTGGGGATAGCTCCTCTGGGCCTCAGTTCCCCCTTCAGCCACAGGGGCTATAGTGGTGCTCGCCTGAGTGTCTTCTGTGGGCATCAGAGGGCCCCCCTCAGGCTTGGCCAGGGGAGGCCTCAGCAGGGTGTGTTTAAAATCCTCAGCAGAGGGATCCCTGGGTGGCTCAGCGGTTGAGCGGTTGCCTTTGGCCCAGGGCGCGATCCTGGAGACCCAGGATCAAGTCCTGCATCGGGTTCCCTGCATGGGGCCTGCTCCTTCCTCTGCCTGTGTCTCTGCCTCTCTCTATGTGTCTCCCATGAAAAAATTAAAAAGAAAATCCTCAGCAGGGGTTTAAACCCGCGCTTGCTCCTGGCAGCCCAGGGCACACAGCACCCCTTCCCGGCCCCTTGGGCCAGGATGCTCCCGACTCCCCACCGCCTCTGCCCGCTGGAAGCCAGGAGCACCCCCGCCCCCGCCGTTACAACAACCAGAAGGTTCCCCAGATGTTGCCAATGACCCTGGGTGGGCAGGCCCGCCCCTAGGTGAGAACACCCATCTCCACTGCTCTCGGCTGGCTTCCTCACCCCCCTCAGGGACCCTATGAGCGCTGGAGCCTGGCAGCCCCCCACGACATGCGCGTACAAGGCCACTGAGCGCCGGGCCAGGCAGCCAGTGCGTCCCCACACTGAAGTGCTAGAACATTATTCCTTTGCATTTGAGGCCTAGAATGCATTTAGTTCGTGAGACCAAGAATTCCTCACTCGTGTCCTGCTCCCAAAGGTCAAGGTTATCTTAGTATCTGTATGACTGCACTTCTCTGAGCCTCCCTTTCCACATCTGTGCAGTGGGGCTGTGGGGAGGGTTCAAGGAGGCGCTGGGGGTCAGAGGTCAGCACACAGCAGGGGCTCAGCTGAGCCCCCTTCACTTCTCCGGGGTGGGGGGGGACCCCCCCATGCTGCAGAGAACCCCTTACCTGAGTGCCCGGCTCTGGCCATGCACATCGAGGACCAGGCTGGCTTGAGAGTCACAGGTCAGCCGTAGGGAAGAGCGCACCCATCCCTCTGCCCAGAGCTTCTGGAACACGAGCTGAGGAAGGAGCAGGCTGTGAGGTGGGGGGGTGGGGGGTGCGTAGGGGGCCTGAGTACCCTCCCAAGCCAGGCCCCACTCCACAGGTCCCTCCTGGGAGCCCAGATTGCACTCCACCAGACCTGCACTGCAGACATCAGCCAAGATTGAGCTCCCCCACGTCTCCCCACCACTGGGCCCAAGGCCAAGAGAAAGGGGTGTAGATGAGGCCAGGGAGAGTGGGACTTGGCTCCACTCAGTCGTGGGGTCCCGGGTCACAGACTCGCTGCACAAGGGGTGAGGGGCCTCTGGGGACGGCCTCCCCATGCGGCAGAGTGGAGTGTGGACAGGGCCATGCTGGCAACCCCGAAACAAGAGGTTGCGAATGAGGCTTCTGGAAGGTGCCTTGCAGGGCAGTCAGGGAGCCCAGCCGGGACAGGCGACTTTGTGCCCAGTGACAGTGGCCATGGCCTGGCCATTCAGGGGGCCACAGAGGTGGGAAAGGACCCCGGTGCAAGCCAGAGCCCCTTTGGCCATGTGACCTTGGGCAGGTGACATACACACTCACGTGTGACCCACAGACGGTGACGATGGGGGCTGTAGTCACAGCAGCGAGAGCTTCTAAAGCACCTGCTCTACCAGACAGCAGTGTGTTCATGGTGCTCTCTCCATCCTCCTGAACCCCAGGATATCAGTGGATGGAATGAGGGGGGAGCTCAGCTTGGCCTGGGGGGGCCCATTCACTGCTCACCTGGCTGGCAAAGGGCAGGCCCAGCCTCTGGAGGGCAGGTGCCGTGTGGCTGGCGTTCACCACCAGCTCCAGGGTGCCGTTCGTGGGCCAGGCCGCCAGCGCAGCCACGTCCACGCTCACACCACCATCCCCTCCGTGGAGGGCCACACTGGCCTGGGTCTGGGTCTCTAGGGGCAGAGAAGAGCACAGGCTACTCGGGACTCGGTTCACCTCCTTTCCCACGTGGGATCAAGCCCAGGCAGGGCTTTCCCTTCTCTGGGACTTCATCCGTCAGGTGGTGTCCCCCTTGATGATCGATGATCGATGATCGGAGCCTGGCCGGCTCCTCCTCCTGGGGTTGCTGCTGAAATGACACCTCTGAGTGTCCACTTAAGGTACCTCCTGACTCTTCCTGATCCCTCCCCGGGGAAGGTCAGCCCTGTGAGGGCAGGCCCTTGAGTCTGTTCCCTGCTCTGTCCCCAGCACTTAGCACAGCTCCAGACACACTGCAGGGAACGAGGAAACTGCGGAATGAGTACTTCTCCCCAGGTTTATCTAACATCCAAACGATATCAAATCATATCAGATGATCCTGAGCTGCAGCCCACCTGGCCCAGGCTGGAGGGTCCCCACTCATCTCATCCCCTCACCGCCCCCCACCCCGAACCTCCAGGGGCCTGCCTCCCAGCTGGACCACACCTCATCATGGCAGGCAGGTGAAAATCCTCCGGGAAATGGGATTCCAGGAGCTTTGTTCTTATTTTTGGACTTAAATCCCGCCTCCTACTGCAGCCTAGCCTACGTCAGAGGCCAAGTTCCTTTGGTGGTGGTGGTGGGGGGGGGGTGTGGGGATGCAGCTCACAGCTCTGGCCTGTGACACCTGGCCCAGCGCCATCACCTGCCATCTGGCCCCATCAGGGAGGGCGGTGCTCTTTGGCAGATGTGGGCAAGGGGGCCTTAAGCCTCCATTTCCTCATCCGTAAAGTGAGCACAGCCTACTTGAGGGACATTGCCAATATTAATAGAGATAGCACCCTTGAGAACACCTGCCCGTGGGGCACACAGGTCCCAGGACATGTTCTCTTCCTTCCTCTCCCAGTCAGTGTTCAGCCACATGCACCTGCTGTGTGTGGGGCCCAAGGGGGAGGGGACACACATTGAAGGGGCCCCAGTCTCCGTGCCCGGGGATGGTTCAGACTGTCAGGGACACCAAGAATGTTCATGCCAGGCACAAAATGACCCCGGAATCAAATGTGGGCAGCAGTGCAGAGGTGAGATGGTCTCCCCGGCTTCAGGGACCTCTTAGGGGCCAGGAACCGGGTCATCCTGGAATGACAAATGACTATCCCGTCATTTACCCACCATATCCCCAATAAACCCTTCCTCAGAGTCCTTGAGGTCAGGCCCCTGTCTGCTCCAGGCTCCCACTCAGCCCACAGAGGGGCTGAAAGCCAAGGATAGGAAAGTTTGAGGCCAGGAGAAGATGACCCAGGTGACAGGGGAGCCACCTAGGGGTCCTGATCTCTGTTATCTACACAGGGGTCAGAGGGTGGAGTCACACTGCCTGGATTCAAATCCTGATCTCCCCCGATCCATAGCTGTGTGGTCCAGGACAAGGGACTCAACCTCTCTGAGCTTCTATTCCTCCCTTACCTCATCTGTTCACAAATTCACTCAACAGACGTTTAATTGAATATGTACTATACTCCACTCTGCAAAACAGGCAAAAATCATCCCTGTCCTTGTGGAGTGTGCGTTCAAGTGTGGGGTGGTCAGAGGACAGGGAAAGAGAAGTGAGGTGTTTATTAAGTAAGTTACATAGTATATTAGAGCAACCAAGCCAGGAACGGGGGGGGGGGTGTGAGCTAGAGGGCGGTGGAGGTACAAATAAACAGGGTGGGCGGGGAAGGCCTCAGTGAGGAGATGAGATTTGGAAAATATCTGAAGACGGTGAGGGATTGAGTCAAGCAGATGTGCAGGGGGAGAGCCTTCTGGACAGAGGAACAGCCTGTGCGAAGGTCCTGAGGCAGGGGCAAGCCTGAGGTGTTTGGAGAATAGCAAGGAGTGAAACGAGCAGGGGCCAGAAGATGGGGTCAGAGGAGTGAGGGTGTGGATCCCGAGGGCTCAGAGGCCCCACACGGGCTTCGGGCTTCGACTTTCCCTTGATACTGAATGGGTGGCTGAGCAGATTGACTGAGCTCCAATTTTGGAGAGCTTGCCTGGGATGTATGCAGCAAGCACTCAATCAATGCTGGCTCTTATTACTTTCCCTCCCCACCTCCCGCCAAGGTTAAAGCGTTTCTCCCCAAAAATTATGTTGAAGCCATAACCACTAGCACGTATCGACGTGACCTTAGTTGGGGTCCCTGCAGAGGTGATCAGATTGGGACGCAGACATGCTGGAGTAGGGAGGGCCCTCATTCAGTGACCGGTGTCCTTAGAAAAAGAGAAGAGGCACAGACACTGAGGCAGAGATGTGAGGATCGGCTGGGACCCCGGAACTGGAAGAGGCAAGGAAGGATTCTCCGCATGGAGCCTTCGGCAGGTGCACAGCCCCGCAGACACCTGGCCTCCAGGACTGTTAGAGCTAAACATCTTCGGGGGGGGGGGGCTCGGGAAGGAATACAGGCTCCCCTGGGAATCAGGCCTCCGAGGGCAAGGCTGTCCTTTGGTTCTGGGGTTCGGGACTGCTCTGGACCCCCCTGGAACCAAGGCTCGAGGAGGGAGGTGGGGGAGCTGGCCCTCCTGGGTGCCTTACCGTGTGTCTGCAGCTTGGCGCTGAGGCCGGCCTGGCCCGGGACCCCAGCCTGCAACAAGGTCACGCTGTTGTGCGAGCTCCAGCCAGAGAGCTCCAGGTGCCCAGCACGGTGACAGCAGCTGACGGAGTAGTTCAGGGACGTGGGCCCCACTGAGATGCGTGCGGAATGCTCCAGGCCGGATCCGCTGCTGGGAGCACCCACAGAGGCCTGGAATGACACGCGGGAGACGCCGGCTCGCCCAGCTCACCCTGGCTCCCGCAAACCCACCCACAGCCCTGTAGGGGCGGGGGGGGGCGCTGAGGAGAGCTGAGACACCCCCCCTCCCCGCCAACCCTTGCAGGAGCCGGTTTTAAGGAAGAGCAGGGTGACATGTGCTGTGTTGCTGGGTGGGGCGTGCTGGCCGAGGAGTGGCTGCTAATAGCTATGGGGTTTCCATGTGGGGTGATGGTGAGGTTCTGGAATGAGAGAATGGTTGTACAACCACTGGGAGTGGACTAAGTGCCCCTGAACTGTACACTTCAAGATACTTAAAACGGTCACTATTATAAGTACTACACTGCCCTAAAAAAGTTTGCAAAAATATACGTAACGTTGGAAGATTTTAGACAGGGCGCAGGCTCTCTATGTCCCCATGCAGCCCACCTGACGCATCTCAGTTCTCCACCTGGCCTCCAAGGGCTTCGAGTGTGCAACCTCTGCACCATATACGTGTAAGCTCATCACAGTGGCCTTGGCAGCAGCACAAAGCCCCTCACTGCGTGATGTCACCTGCTTTATAAAGCAGGAAGCGTTGCACCATTGTTCAATGGTGTTGCCTGAGCACCTACTATGTGCCAGACCCCGTTCTGCACCTAGAGATGCAGTCGTGCGTGAAACACAGAAATGCCAGAGCCCGTGCAGCCGAGATGTCAGCTGCGAGTGACAGACCGGGACAAGGCGGAAAGCACTGGGTGCCAGGCGACAGGGGGAGAATGGGAAGGAGACAGCGATCAGGGAGGGTGTGAGATCGCAAGAAATATGCAGGTGCAGGTATAGACATCTCTGTCCCCAGGTCCTGCTCATGTCTGGACTGTGATCCCGGTTCCTGACACCGAGCTCCCATCCTTGTGCATTCTCCGGGGAGGGGGTTCGGGAGGAGAATCTTGCAGGAAGCTCCTAAAATCCCTTGGAATTTTTGGGGCGAGAGAAGCGCCTTTTGTGCTATGCTCCTGGCTGGGGGCTGGTCCCCAGAAAGACCAAGCCCTGGTTAGAAGGTGGAGCCTCCAGCCCCAGAGCCCATCCTCTGGAAGGGGAGGAGGGGCTGCAGAGCGTGGGTGTACACACACCCACGTGCGGGGAAGGTGGTGCCCACAGACTGGGTGCTGGGGGGTGGATCCCCACCCATCGGGTCACAGAAGTGTTCCAAGCAGCAGAGGAGAAACAAGAGCTTCTTCTTTATAAAGGGAAATGGTGGGGGTGACGTTGACCAGGGCAGGTCTATTCAGGGAAGGCCGGAGAAAGGACCTGTGTGCCCAGACCCGAGCGGCCCAGGGGCGGGCAGTGGGTGTCAAAGGGAAGAAGCATCTGGTACAGGGGGCAGCAAGCGCGGCCACAGGAAAGTCAGCAAGGGGAGTCACTGGGGGCAGGGGGGAGCCAGAGAGGGGACAGGGCCAGATCCTTGCAGGAGGCTTTCTGCTGCCAGCCTGGTGTCCAAGGGACTCAGGTGGATTTAGAGGGGCTTGGGGTGGAGACCCAAGGGGGCACGGTTGGGAGCCGGGAACCCGGCTAGGTGGCTGGAACCCAGGAGTGACCTGAGGTGACCTGGAGCAGGCAACAAAGCTGGAGGTGGGAAGACGGGGTTGTTGGGCTCCAGGTATATTTGGGAGGGTGCCCCATTGGCATCTGCTGAGGGCGGGATCCGCTGTGAGTGAAACAGGGATGAAGGGTGACCCGCGGGTTTTGGCTGTGCTGCTGGAGGGACACGAGGTGCCACTTGGCGAGATGGGGAAATGAGATGGGGCAGGGGGTAGGGTTGGGCACACTGAGTCAGGGGTGCCCGCCAGGCCTCCAAGCGGTGGGGGATGCACATGCAGATGGATCTGCAGGTCTGGGGGCCCGGAGAGGGAGAAATGGGGGGAGCTTCGGGGCATGGAGTGAGATACTGGCCCAGCCCGCCCTGGACAAGCACGGGGTCTGCGGGGAGGTTTTGGGAAAGGAGAGTGGGTAACGGTCCCAGGGGCGTGGCTAGGCTAGGGAGAGGAGTGCTACCCCCAGTTTCCAGAGGAGGAGACTGAGGCTCAGAGGGAAGTCTGAACCTTCCTCCACCACCCCCTTGTCTCTGCCGTACTTCCAAGAACATCTGCTGAATGAATGCGTATGTGCGTGCGTGGGTTTCTATTACCACGGGGGCTCGCCAGGGCTGACCTGCAGGCTCAGACTGTCCTCCACCCACAGCGTCCGCAGCGTGGGGATGTTGTGCTGGAGCGTGTAGTCCAGGGACATGTGCTCTGGCTGCCGAGTGAACGTCAGCTCCTCAGACACCTGTCAGTGTGGACGACTGTGAGACCCGGACCGCGGGGCTGGACTGTCCCCACCACCCCGGGCTCCCCGAGGCCCCACCCGCAGAGCCCCTCACCTGTCTGCCATCCACTCCGGCCCGCAGGGTGCGTCGGTAGCTGCGCCCGTGGCTCTCGGTGGCCAGCTCCAGCAGGACCCGGGCTGGGAGGCCCAAGGGGCCGGGTCGGGGCAGGCTGTGCGTGAGCAACACATCCACCTGCCTCTGGCTCTACCATGGAGCAAGAGAAACAGAGACTCAGCGCCTGGGAGATGGCCAGATTCTCCCACGGAGGGGAAAATAAAGCGCTCATTCAATCAAGTCTCCTTCTCTCCCTCCTGTTGGCCGTTGCCCTGTAGAAAAATGAGGAATTTCCACCAGATGCAGTGAGTGCATTTGGGATGCCTCATATAAAGTCAGCGGTGAGTGCAAAATTAACCGGGGGAGGAGCCCGCGAGAGGAACGTCAGAAAGAAAGGCTGCAGCAAGGTACAGGGAGGGACCCACGGAATGTTTGAGAAGGACACGCCTTGGAGGTTGGGATGCAACAGAAAGAAAAAAACACCTAAACTCCCGAAACACTCAGAATGGTGCTCGCAGAACGATGCGCAGAGTGACTGGCGATCTCCCCGTGGGCAGCTGCGGGGAGCACGCCCAGGGTGACAAATGGCATGGACTTCTGAGTCACCTAAAGGTTAGTGACGCATCCGGGGAGCTCTGGAAGGTGAGGCGGTTCTCGCTAAAATCAAACAGACCTACGCACACCCTACGATCCAGCAATTCCACTCGGTCCCTCTTCACTAAGACACACGGACAAGAGTGCTCGAGGCAGCAGTATTGGCAATAGGCAAACACTGGACATTTGCATCCGTAAGAATTGAAAGCGGGGTCTTGAAAAGACATTTGCACGCCCATGATCACAGCAGCATTACTCACAACAGCCAAGGGGCGGGAGCAACCCGAGCATCGGAGGATGAATGGTGGATGAACAGAGTGGTCTGTCCTTACAACATGGTATTACTCAGCCGTAAAAAGGAAGAACATTCTGGGCGGATGAACCTTGGGGACGTGATGCTCAGTGAAAATCACGGGATGACAGACACTGTGTGATTCCACTTCTTGGAAGTACCCAGAGTGCTCAGTAGAAGGGGCTCAGGGGAGCAGTGAATGGGGAGTTGGTGTGTAATGGGGACAGAGTTTCAGTTGTGCAACATGAAGAGAGTTCTAGAGACGGATGGTGGGGATGGTTGCCCAACAAGGTGAATGTTCTGAAGACCACTGAACTCTAGACTTAAAAATAATGGGGGGATCCCTGGGTGGCTCAGCAGTTTAGCACCTGCCTTTGGCTCCAGGCGTGATCCTGGAGTCCCGGGATCGAGTCCTGCATCGGGCTCCCTGCATGGAGCCTGCTTCTCCCTCTGCCTGTGTCTCTGCGTCTCTCTCCTTCATGAATAAATAAGTAAAATCTTTAAACAAAAAAATGGTGACGATGGAAAATTTTATATGTATCTTACCACGATAAAAAATTTTTACAACAAAATAAAATAGGTGCACAGTTAACTAACACGATGTACAGTAGAAAGAAGACGCCACCCAAAAGCTAATCAGTAGCTGGCGATCCCCCCATGGGCAGCTGCGGGGAGCACGCCCCCGGATGGATGGAGGACTGGTGAGACACACAGCCTGTGGGTTACTAGACGACAGTGAAGTGGAAAAGACAGTGAGGCATGGGCCAATCCCACAAACCCAATGAGTATTTTCCCTCTGTCTTTTAAGGTTTACTCCTGTATTCGAGGGGAGGAGGGAGGAGGAGAGGGAGAGAAAGTCTTTGCACGCTGAGCGTAGAGCCGAGCGTGGGGCTCGATCTCACAACCCCGGGATCAATGAGCTGAGCTGAAACCAAGAGGCGGGAGCTGGACCAACCCCGCCACCAGGGCGACCTGTGCAAACGTGATGTTGGACAAGAGGAAGCAGATGTGCAAAGGAATGTGCCGTGTGCTTCTGCAGATGTGACATTCAGGAACTCGTGTCGGGGGGAGGGCCCTTGCATGTGGCTGCGACGAGCAAGGGAGCCCGCAGGGGCTTCTGGTCACCTTCTGTGCTTGGAGGTGGGTGGTGTTTGGTTTGCAAAAATCTCACCAAGCTGAGCATTTTTCATGTCCGCACTCACAAAATATTCGGGTTGTACTTCATTAAAAAAAAATTATTTTTCAAAGCAAATGACCAAGGGAAATGGGGCGAGAGGCTGCTTCTTGGAAGCCTCATTCCTCCACGTCTGGGTCTCGAGTCTTCCATCTCCCAGGGTCTCTTTGGAGCTAGGAGAGTGTCCAGTGCTTCTCAGGCCTCAGCACCCCTTCCCAGGCGGCCCCAAGCACCCCGATACCCGTGCCCTCACCTCGGTCGTCTTGAGGATGAGCACCCCTCGCAGCGTGCTGTTGTTCACAGCGACCAGCACCTGGGCGTCCACAGCCACGGAGCTCAGCACGACGTCCCCAGAGCTGCTGACTCGGCCCGGGACCCCCAGCGCCTGGAGGGGTTTAGAGAGAGCCACGGAAGTAGGGCTCTTAACCAGGACAGGGTTCAAGGCGGGCATCGGGGGTCCCAAGGTCCCCTTGATCTGGCTGCCAAATGGGGCCTTATCTTTCTAGGAGAGGGTTTGTGACTTAAAGTCCTCAGCGCCCCCCCCACCCCAGGGCCCCACTGTTGCTCTCCACTCTTTGATGAACTCCTCCCTCCTGCCTCCCCGCCGTCCCCAGATCACCAGGGATCCCAAATCTTTGCAGCCAACAGAACCCAGTCTTGTGAACCAACCTGCCCAAGAGTCTCGCAGCCAGGGAAGCTGGAGAGCCCTCCTCACTCCCGTCTCCCCATCTCTCCCTCCCCGGGCAGACCCAGACAGCTGTTCCCTCCAGAAAAGTGGCTGCAAGGCTGGTACACAGAGTGTCTTTTGGCTCCTCGCCCTAGCGCCCGGCAGGGAAAGACACATTGATTTTCCAGCACCCACTGCGCATTGGGCAACGCTGGGCATCGGGTATGTGCCTTTTTAACTAATCCTGAGAGTGGGAGTCTTTACACCCCACTTTGTGATAAAACTGAGGCCCAGAAAGCAACAAATGACTCGCTTAAGGCCCCCCAGAGCAGGGGGCAGAGCCACAGCTCAGTCTGGTGTTTCCAGGCCTCCAAGGTGGGAGGCCACAGGCCTTGCTGAAACATCCACCTGCCTGTCGCGGGTGTTGGACCCCTTAACCCCTCCTCCCTCTTTGGAAGGCCTTCCTCCCAGGCCTCTGGGCCTCCCTCCCTAGGGTTTCTCCTCCTCCCTGGCTAGTTCTCGGTACGGTACCCGGGACTGCTCCCTTATGCTGCAGCTCAGTCTCCACCCACCCCATGGGCATCTCAGCCAGTCTCGTGGCTTTTGGGGGGACCATGGAGAGGCAGAGACCACAACCAACCTCCTGACCACAAGAGCTGCCCCTGACGCCTTCACTTGGGCATCACACTTAACACGTCAGAGATGGGACTGAGTCAGCGACGCCTCCTTGACCCTCCCCCTCTGCCCACTGTGCTCCCCATCACAGGGCACAGCAACCCCAGGCCTCTCGTCACCCAGGACACAAGCAGAGGGGCCACCCTGCTCCCCCACCCCCTCTCTAGCACTCCCATACCCAAACTTCCACCCAGGCCTCCCTCTCAGCCTCCGCAAAGGATCCTGAGTGTGAGTGCTCTCCCACACCTCACGTGCTTTTCATAAAACAGGAGTCAGCAAACTACGGCCCACGGGCCACATCCAGTCTGCTACTTGTTGTTTTAAATAAAGCTTTATTGGAACACCGTCACACCTATTTGTTTATATCTTGTCTACAGTGTTTTGTGCTATAACCACCGGCCTGAGTACTTACAACAGAGGCTGCTGAGCCTGCAAAGCTCAAGATATATCCTATGTGGGCTTTTTGAGAAAGGGTGTGCTGACCCTGGTCCTAGCAAAAGCCCGTTCCTCTCTGCCTCTGCCTCAGGGCCTTTGCACTGGCCTGGCCTAGAAGATTCTTTCCCCAGATATCCACACATCTCCTCCTTCCTCTCCTTCAAGTCTCTGCTCAAATACCATCTTGTCTTTTAGGCCAAACGTGACCGACTTATAAAAATTGCAGTATCTGTCCTGCCGTTCACTCCCCCGTTCCTACTTTCTGCCTCTCTGTAGTCCTTATCACTAGGTACTGTAGTCTGCAATTTGCTGATTTGTGCCGGGGATTGCCGGTCTCCCCCTAGGCAGGCATTTACCTCTGCTTGATTCATGGCTACATTTTCAGAGCTGAGTGGTCTCAGCAATTAGTGAACCTCCAAAGAAAGCCCCTGCCCTCCCCCCTGGAGACCCTGGGACCTACTCCTCCCACAGCCGCACCACCTACCTGCAGAGCCTCGCAGGAGCTCTCGGCCAGCACCCGCCACTGCAGCCCGTGGTCCAGGTGCAGCTCACCACTGCCCTGCAGCTCACAGGCCCCCACCTGCAGCTCCAGACCCAGCCGGTGCCTGGCCTCCCACTGGAGCCGGACGGTCAGCAAGGCCTCTGGGGGGACGGCCTGCAGTGCAGACAGCGTGTGACTCAGTTTCACTCGAAGCGTGGCCTCGGACTGGTGCACGACAGCTGTCAAGGTCAGGGAGGCTGTCCCACTGGCCGATGCGAGGGTCCCTGCCACCTCAGCTTTCCCACCTGCGGCCTGCAGGCAGCCGCTGAACTGTGTCCCTGCTGGGAGGCCCAGACCCTGCCAGACCAGAGTGGGGGTTCAGAGGGAGGTCCCACGTCAGGAGCGAGTCCGATTCTCCAGCTGCCACCCTCAATTCCCTCCAGCCCCCAGCCCCCCAATCTGTGCTTCCCTCACCTCACCCCCCCATCCCGGTAACAACAAAACAGCGGCAATCACAACACACAGCAACACAGCAACTATCCAGTGTAGAAACTTAGTAGCCACCCAGCCTCACGCTAAGTGCTCTGCAGGAACCACCTCTTTCCAGCCGATTCCCAGGCCTGAGTTGGGAAATCACTGGCTCCATATGACAGATGGGGACACTGAGGCTCAGAGAGGCAAAGTGAAAGCCCAGGGTACCAGCAGGTACCAGCAGAGCTGAGGTCTGCATCTGATGGGTCTGTGCCTCTAATCGAGGCCTTCCAACAGGATAGTCGCTAACTGCATGGGGCTGTTTCCATTCAAATTAAAATGAAGGAAAAGGAGAAATTCAGTTTCTTGGTTGCACAGGTGAGCACCACTAAAGTGCTCAGGCTCTGTGTGGCCACTGCGTGGCTAGTGGCTGCCGTCCTGGACAGCAAAGGACAGAGGTTTTCCATCATCCTAGAGTTCAAGTGGGTGGGCCTGCTGCTCCCATGATGCTTTACGCTCTGGTGGCTCAGTTGTGCACTGACTTGATAGTGACAGAGCACCTGTGAGTGCTTAGGGATGCCAAGGGGACCGGCTCCGTCCCTACCCCCAGGAAGCTCCATCAGGAGGGGAGAGACAGGGACGCCAGGGTGACTCAGTAGTTGAGCATCTGCCTTCAGCCCAGGGCATGATCCCGAGGTCCCAGGATCGAGTCCCGCATCGGGCTCTCTGCGTGGAGCCTACTTCTCCCTCTGCCTGTGTCTCTGCCTCTCTCTCTCTCTCTCTCTCTGTGTCTTCTCATGAATAAATAAATAAAATCTTTTAAAAAAAAATAGGGGGGAGGGAGAGACAAGGAGACTGGCAGGGTGGCCTGTCCTACTCAGACAAAGATGCCAGTTTCGTCTGACTCGGCATCTCCCTTTCTTGAGAGTCGGGTTTCCCTCCCCCAAATATCACAGGATAATTCTGAGACCAGCTTTTGGCCCAGATAAAGCCCAGCCGGTGGTTTCTAACAGGTTATGAAACCAAGATATGTCTGTCCCCCCTGTCAGCTCAGGACAGTGCCCCCCATTTCCCTTCCTGCACTCAGAATTTCACTGAAAAGACCAATTCATCACTTCCAAGTCTGTGTCCTTCTGTTGCACAGCGCTGACTCTCATTGCTCTCGGCCTCGATCTTCCCATCTGCCAAGTGGGAGTAAGAGACTAGAGAGGAATCGAGTGTTGGGGAGAGAATTTGGGAAGCGCCAGGAGGAAGGAGCCAGCCAGGCTCAGGCCTCACCCTGGCAGGGGCTCAGGAGGCCCCTCCGGCCGCCTCACTGGCCTGCCGTACGCACCTCCAGCAGCGGGCAGCCGGGCTCAGAGGCCAGCATCCACGTGCTCCGGTTGCCAGTGCGCTGCTCCAGCGTCCCCTGCAGCTGGCATGGCCCCAGCTGGAGGGCCAGGGAGCGGCGGGCGGCAGGCCGTGGCTGGACGGCCAGGCTGATGGTGCCACTGGGTGGCAGGCCCAGGCGGCCCAGCAGGGGCAGGGAGTGGGCCAGGTGCCCGACGACCGAGGTCTGGGGCCCACAGGTGCGGGTCAGCTGCAGGTGGGCATCTCCGTCGTCGCTGCGGAGGCCCGTGGCCAGACTGACCTCGCAGGGGCTCCAGCTCAGGTTGCCCTCGGAGCGCAGAGCCTGCGGGAGGCCTGTTGCCTGGAATATGAGAAGCGGCTGGATCTAAGGGCAGCTGCAGAAGCCCAGGTCGGAGAGCTGGGGATGGGCGCAGCCGGGAAGAGGGCAGTGTCACCCTTTAGCCTCAACTCCACCAGCACACCCCTCTGCAAAGTGACTGATACCATAGGTACCTCACTGAGCTTCCTGAACCTGCAATCTCAGTTTACCCATCTCAGAAATGGGGGTTAATCACAGCACCCTAAGTCACTGGGAATGTAAATGAGTTAATACTTATGACTTGAGGCCCCTAGGTGGCTCAGTGGTTGAGAATCTACCTTTGGCTCAGGTCATGATCCCTGGGTCCTGGGATCGAGTCCTGTATCGGGCATCCCGCAGGGAGCCTGCTTCTCCCTCTGCCTATGTCTCTGCCTCTCTCTGTCTCTCATGAATAAATAAATAAAGTCTTAAAAAAAATACTTGTTGACTTGCAGACCAGAGCCAGGCACCCAGAAAGCACTGGCTATTAGAAATTCAGCATCAATATCTATGGTCATTGGCTGAAGGGCAGGGAGCCTAAGTGACTTGCTTCTGGGGCTGACGACATGCCCCACACAGAGGCACCGACCGAAGATGGGAACGAGAGGGAGCAATGGGGTTAATTCCACTCAGGTTCCCCAACTTCTCTGGGCCTAGACTCTAGGCCTAGGGATACAAGCAGCACCTTCCTAGTGGGCGTGAGGATTTAAGGAGCCTTAGAGAGCACTCAGCAGGTGGGGCTCCCAAAAATCAGGTTACTGCTTAGTATTCTTATTATTACTTCTAGACCCCTAATCCCCAGGGCAGGATAAGTGAGATCACAAGAAAAGAATGAACCTGAGCCCCAGAGAGGAAGACAATTCAGTTTGGGTCCTATTTTTGGCTCAAAGCTTTGTAGCAGATGCATCCCCAAAGTCAGGTGACAACCGCAAAAAGATGGAAGATTTTCATGCTGAGTGCAAGCTGGAGACGTGTAAGAAGTTAGTAATTTAGGGAGGGAGGTGGGAGCCCTGATGGGTGGGGAGGGGGCTTACCTCCAGCGGGGGACAGCGATTCACCACGGACAGGGTCCAGTTGGCGTGTGTGGTGTTGGCCTCAGTAATGACATCCCCATGAGCAGTCAGGGTGCATTGGCCCAAGGCCACCGCCAGCCTGGCCCTGGGGGGTTTGTGTCCCCCCACAGACACTTGGATATGGTTGTTGGGGGCAACCCCAAGCGCCTGAAGTGGAGGCCATGCGTGTTGGAGGCTGGTGTCCAGGTGGGTATGGTGGTGGCCGCAGGCTGTGTGGATGTGGGCCCGGGCAAAGGTGTCCCCAGAAGATACCTGAGCCTCCAGGCTGGCCGTGCAAGGGTGGACCAGGAGGGAGCCATTCAAGGACAACACAGCCAGATCCTGCCCCCAGGAAAAGCAAGGTGAGGCTGAGCAGTTGTTCCTGCAATACCTCACCAAGGAGCGGTTCGCCTTCTGCCTGGCCTGGGTGGTCAAGGGAACCCCCAGCCCCCGGGCCACCCACATACCCAGTGAACAAGCTATACTCTTGCGAAGTGCTTCTCCCTGAGCTGAAAATGGCCACCCAGGGAGTCACGAAGTTCACCATCTCAGGGTCCCTGACGTCCCCTCCCCATAGGCAGGTCTGTGGGTCCACCCCGAGCACTCTCCCATTTCCACGATGGGGTCTCAAGTCTCAACCTTGCTCATGTGGCTTGTCTGGGGTGTGTCCCTTCTTAATGCCCCAAAAGGAAGTCACCACTCCTCTGGGCTGTGTATTCTCAGGACCTGGGGGCCAGCCTGCACTCCCATGAGAGAACCAGGAGCTGCTCACAGCCTCTTCCCCTGGGCGGGGATAATACCACCAATGCTGGGGCAAACGTACACCATCCTTAATTTCATGCAGGGAAGGCACCCCTCTGTCCAGCGGCTAAAACCCCTTCAGTCCTGACCCCCTTATTCTCCTAATTAACCCTCCCATTGCTTAGGTTGCAGTGTGACCTCGGGAAAGTGACCCAGCTCCTGCAGGGGATGCCAGCACATAGTCAGGCCAGGCCAGCAGGTCTCAGGAGCAGAAATACCTCTGTCTTCCTCCCCCAGGCAGTCCTCTGGGCTGTGTGCCCCACCACCATTGCCATCAGGCCACAGACATCAGCCAGGCCAGGCCTGCAACCAGCTGCCCACTCGGCTGCCCACAGAGAAGCACTGACAAGGTCTAAGGCAGCCCCATGGGTGCCCCATGTCTAGCTCACCCCGGGGTCCAGGAGCCACAGGGCCCTGCTAGAGCTCAGCGGGTCTGGGCCCTGTGCTCAGGCCTTGCAGCCACGGATCACCCTGCGATAGAAAGGACCCACCGTCCATCTGTGCCCCAGCCCAGGAGAGCTTACAGCTACCTAGGCTGGGCCATCATCTGTCACCACTAGCCCACCTATGACAGAGACCCGTTTACCTCAAGAGGCTGCCTGGCAAAGTCCCCCCAGCAGAGTCCTGACAACTGGGTGGGCGAGGTGTCCCCAGTACAGTTGACCTGCGGAGACCAGCAGGGCAGGTAGGAGGGCATGCTGACAGCCACTGCCACTGTCAGGAAGAGGGAGATGAGGCCTCTTCCCCCAGGCTAGAGCCTGGCAGGGGAGGTGTGGGGCTGGGTGGGAGGGGCCGGGGTGGCAGGGGAAGGGCCAGGATGGGGGAGGGGCAGGGTAGCAAGGGAGGGGCCAGGCTGGGTGGGAGGGGCCAGGGTGGCAGGGAGGGGCTGGGCTGGGTGAGGGGCCAGGGTGGCAGGGGAGAGGTGGGGATGGTGGGAGGGGCCAGGGGGAGGGGCCGGGCTGGTGGGGAGGGGCCAGGGTGGCAGGGGAGGGGGTTTGGCTGGGTGGGAAGAGGTTGGGTTGGGTGGGAGGGGCCAGGGTGACAGGGAGGGGGCTGACCTGGGTGGGAGGGGCCAGGGTGGCCCGGGCAGGGCCGGACGCGGGGAGGGCCCTGGGCGGGAGGCTGGAGCCCCCGGGTCAGCCCTGAGGTTGGGGAGGCCGAGGGGCCTCGGTGCGCCCACGGGCGGGCCACTCACCTGGAGTCGCGCAGGCCAGGTGCCCAGCAGCGCCGAGAGGCCGTGCTGCAGCCGCAGGGCCAGCCCGTGGTGGCCGCGCTGCGCCCTCGCCTCCAGGGCCACGTGGAGCTGCTCCCCGTCCGCGCTCGCGGTCAGCCCGGCCGCCACGCGGTGTCCCGCGCTCTGCGCAGAAGCGAAGCTGTGGGTGCCCCGCGGACCCCTACCCCTGGGGGCCCCGTGCCCAGCCCCTGCCCCCCCACCTGGAAGTGGCCGCGGCCGTCCACGGAGGAGGGGAGGCCCCAGTGCCTGAGGCTGGGCACCTTGTGGGCCAGGCGGGCACGGAGCAGGCCTCCCGGGGCGCCGGGGGCCGGGCGGTCCAGGCTGAGGGCGGCGTCCAGCTGACCCCACGCACTGCGCAGGGCCAGGCTCGCGGAGAGGTTGGAGGCCACATGGGTGTGTGACAGGTGCATCTCTGCCTCCGACGGGAGTCCTGCGGGTGAGAGGGACCTCGGAGATGGGGGAGCTGGGGGTAGGCTACGGGGGTGGGGCGGGGGTGCAGGTCGCTGTCAGCGCTCCCTCTCTCTGCAGGGTCCCCAGGCCTTGAGGCAAACTCCTGCACCTCAGGTCCCACTTCTCCCCTTTTACCAGATGGAACCATAGGCAAGTGGCACCAGTAAACCATTTCTGATCCACAGAAGTGGCGATTTCACCAGGTGCCACTCAGCAAGTGACAGGACTGGTGTCCCCTTCCCATTTCTAACCCCTCCAGGGCGAGGCATGGGGTGGGGGAGCCTGAACTTGCCCTCTCCCCTGGCTGCTGTACCTTTGGGCCTCTCCAGGCCTTACTGAAATGTCCCCAAGAAGCTAGAGCTGCAGGATGTCCTATTTCCTAACTGTGGTGCAGCAGCATATTCTGGAGGCCCTGCTGGACCAGCCTTGGAGCCTGAGAAGCGGAGGGGAGGGAGGGGAGGGGCTGGCCACAGGGGCTATCTGCCGCTGGCCTGGGAAGCATGTGAATACTCAGTAACCACTGCTGTCCCCACACTGTGGGTTCTAGATGAATAACAAACCCCCCTGGGAAATGGAAACACTGGGAGAAGCTGGCAGGGGAAGGAAATAGGGCTGGAAGGTGGATTTGGGGACTGGAGGTTTCCCTCTCACTTCTCCCCCTTGGCTTCAGAAACCAGGAGCCCTCGGGGAAGATGGCATTTGGCCCTGTCCACCCCACCTACCTGCCTCACCCAAGGTGCTGATGTTGTGACTTAGGTGGCCCGAGAGCTGGCCATGCCCAGAGCCCCAGGTGCAGATGCCACCCAGAGCCAGGCTGGCTGCATCAGCCTGGAGCCGGGCCTGGCCCCCAAGGCTCCCCGTCTGGGCCTGCAGCTGCCCTCTCAGCCAGAGCTCTCTCGGCAAAGCCTGGCTGCTGTTCTGAGTGAGGATACAGGTCACACTGTGCACGCTGGTGCTGTTCCCTGTCTTTTCGTGCTTGTCCCGCAGGAGGAAGCCCAGCACAGCTGAATCAGCTGTGACCTTGATGGTGCCTGCAGAGGATGGCAGAGAAGTTATACAGAGCAGGGGGCCAGCCCAGGGGACTGGGCCATTCTGGACAGAAGGGAAAAGGATCCTGGGGTAGGAAGTTCCTAGATCCAAGATGTAATTCTAACTCATATCAGGAGGGCATACCTGGGGAATGGACCAAATTAAACCAGCTCCCTCCCAGGATGCTGTGAGGATCAAGCAAACTAATTCACAAGCAAAAGGGCTTTGGGCAGGGGGCACTGGGAGCAGGAGGCCTACTAAGGAGCCTCAGTTAATATCAGTGCTCACTTCCTGCTTAAGAGAGCCACAGACTACAGTGATAGAATGACCCCATTGTACAGACTGTAAAAATGAGACCCAGGAAGACTTGAGGATCCAACCTGGCATTCTGGGGATGGAAAAATTGCTTGGAGGTCTCATCCATCCAGAGAAGAATCCACATATTTGGGCCAGTCCATTCCCATATATAATTCATGCAACAGGGAAATTCTTGCTGTAATCAGAACCATTTGCATCTCCTGGCCCCCACCCAGGTTCTCTCAGAACCCTGGCATGGTCCAAATACTCTTATATCTCCCCCTCCTATCATTGAAGGTTGGATTCGTGGGCTACCACCACCAGGGAAGAGGCCCTTCTGTACCGCTGGGCTGCAGTTCTGTGCTTCCAGACCCAGAACTCATGCAAATCTCAATCACAGAGTACAGGGCACTTTCCACAAAGATAGAGCTTTCTCACAGAATCTTGTGGTCATCTTTTTACAAATTCTCTATGTTGTAAGGTCCTATGTTACCATATCCTGTAAGATAATAACCAGTTAATCATGGATAACCAAAGTAAGATTTCACTAGACTATTGAGAAGAGAAAATGAAATATTGTTGATAGGACAGCATAGAGTCCAGGAATAGACCCACACACATGGTCGGTTGATATTTGACAAAGGTACAAAAATAATTCAGGAGAGAAAGGATGGTCTTTATAATGAATGTGCTGAAATGATTGAAAATCCACAAGTAAAAAAATTACCTTGACCTTTACCCAATCATATACACAAATTAATTCAAAATTAATCAGAAGCCCACATTTTAAAACCTAAAATCATAAAACTTCTAAGGTGTGGCCTCGGGTTTAGTAAATAAAGATATCTTACACGACAGAAAAAGGATTATTGATTAAAAAAATCAATTGGACTTGATCGAAATTCAAAATCTTTGTTGTTCAAAAGACACCAGTGAAAGAATATAAAGCCACAGATTGGGAGAAGATATTTTCAAAACACATATCTTATACGGGACTTGTGTAAGTAATTCCCAAATTCAGTTTGGGAATTCAAGAAAACAACTCAATTTTTTAAATGGGCAAAATGTTTAAATAGACACTTTGCTCACAAAATTTTTAAGTAGCACATAAGCCTCTGAAGATGTTCAACGTAATTAGTCCTGAGGAAAATGCAAATTTAAACCAAAATGGGATTCAAGTATAAATCACAACTGAAAGCCCCCAAACCAAAAATTGACAACACCAATTGCTAGCAAAGGATGCAAAGGAATGAGGATTCTCACCACACTGGTGGGAATGTGAAATGGCACAGCAGTTTCCTCTAGATTTCAACATGTACTTGCCATGCAATCCTGCAATTCCGCTCCTAGGTATTTACTCAAGGGAAATGAAACCATATGGTCCCACAAAAACCTGTAGGCCAATGACTATAGTAGCTTCATTTGTAATTGGAAAGTACTGAAAACAACCCATATGTCCTTCAACTGTGCGTGGATAATCTGCAGTATATCCATACCACGGACTACAACTCAGCAATAAAAAGGAATAAACTATGGATATGTGCCACAGCTTGGATGAATCTCGACCATATTACATTGGGCGAAAGACACCATACTCAAAAGAGTTAACATACTGTATGTTCCCATTCATGTCACATTATAGAAAAGCCAAAACCGTGGGGATGGACAGCAGCTCAGTCAGTGGTTGCCAGGGTTGCGGGTGGGAGAGAGGCTGACTACAATGGGTGGCAAGATAGAACTTTGCAGGGGGAGATGGGATTGTTCTGTATCAAGATTGTTTTGGTAGCCATACAACTGTGAGTTTACCAAAACGTCAATCCTATATATAAACTACACTCCAAGAAATTATACCTCAATAATTGCCTTCAGAAATGAAGTAATAGGTGTTAGGAAATGAAGGAGGGAGCATCAGTGTTACTCAAAGTAAACTTGACAAGAAAAGTTCTCTGTGGGGCACTTGGGTGGCTCAGTGGTTGAGCACCTGCCTTTGGCTCAAGGCACGATCCCGGATTCCTGGGATCGAGTCCTGCATCGGGCTCCCCACAGGGAGCCTGCTTCTCCCTCTGCCTGTGTCTCTGTCTCTTTCTGTGTATGTTTCATGAATAAATAAATATTAAAAGATTTTATTTATTTATTCACAAGAAACACAGGGAGAGAGAGAGGGGCAGAGACACAGGCAGGGGTAGAAGCAGGCTCCATGCAGGGAGCCCGATGTAGGACTCGATCCTGGGTCTCCCGGGTCATGCCCTGGGCTGAAGGCAGTGCTAAACCTCTGAGCCACCCAGGCTGCCCTAAATAAATAAAATCTTAAAAAAAGAATGGTTCTCTGTAACATTTATTGACTTGATTATATTTACATTTTTTCAAACCTTTGCATTTTATTATGAAATTTGACTTTTGCACATTTTAACCAATTTGGGATTAGGAGGGTCAGTGCTAATGTTACTACCAGACCAGAGAATAGCATCCACCTTTTGGGGGAAGCAAGCAGAGCCTTCGGGTTCTGAAACACTGGGCCCTGGACAGATGTCTAGATAGGGTGTTACGGTCCAGGATGCTTGGGCAAAGGGTCCCTTTCTGTGTGATCCTGGCTTTGGGAACCTTGTTAATGTTTCACATAATCAAAAAAACAAATACATAAAGTCAATAAGGATAGGGGAAAACCTAAAAATGGAATACAAACAGAAACCAGTGAACCCAACTGTATTTCAAATGATTAACAGAATCACATGAGGGGTGGGGGTGGGGATTAACTCTAATAAACATTTGAACACAGGGTTTGGATTTATGCCTTCAACAACTACTTGGATGGATCTCAACCACATTATGTTCAGGCCAAAGATGAAAAGAATTCTAATCAAATATTGAATTCTAATTAACAAAGTTTACTTTCACAGAACTATAGGTTAGTAACTCTGAAACTACTTTCTGTGTGTTCTTGGGCTGAACACATACATAAATATATTGTGGATAATTGGTTTCTTTCTGTTGGAGAAGGGAATGAGAAATATGAAAAGGGAAAAAAATGAGAATTAGCATTTTGAGGATAGACTGAAGTTGAAGACATCAGTGTAAACTAATGGCTTTAAACTTATCTACCTATAAACAGATATAGAAAGTGTATGTGTGTGTGTGTGTGTGTGTGTGTGTGTGTACACTTCTGTTTCCTTGATCTATCCATTAAAAAAGGCCCAGATGGATAGTCCAGTAGGAAAAAACATACCAGGCACTGAGATCTTAGTTTCTACATACTAATTTGCACTGAAAGGAACCAAGGATCCTTGGAGAAATGGCTTATTTCATGTCACAGAAAACATAAAATGAGACCGAAACATCTTTACGGTCATAAAGGAAGGAAGAGCTCAGAAAATATAGGAACATGTCCATTTCTATGAATGGTTGGGGAGCTTGACTGGACCAATGCTTCCAAGATAACAATTGTAAACTCTGGGCAAAATGAAGAAACAACTATCTGAAGTGACAGGAGAGTGACCACAGATTGGCAGACCCTGGATGGGAGTCAACACTTGGAGGAAGTGATGAGCTCTAAATGAGTTGCATGTTTTCATTCTTTTTGGTGCCATGAAAGTGGACAACATTCAGACTACAATCCACAGTCTAAACAACTAAAGAGTCTGAAAACAGAGTTCAAAGTAATAGCAACAAATGAAAAGGAAAGTGTGGAATTCTGGAGAGGGCCAACCAGGGGAAACTCTAAATTCTACCTATAAACTCTGTTCAAATCTTTGCTGATCCCCAAACTTCAAAAGGGTAGAAAATATTCCAAGTAGCCCAGCAAAAATAAGAGAACTGAACTGAATTCAGCTGCATTCCACTGGAGTGGAGAGAGTTTAGATTCTGAGTCTAGCCAAGTTAAATGCCAGCTAAAATAAGAAAAAACAAAAACAATCACGAAACAATAAAACAGAAACCCTCTTCAGAGCAATAAAAAAGAGGGACACCTGGGTAGCTCAGTGGTTGAGCAACTGCCTTCAGCTCAGGTCATGATCCTGGGGTCCTGGGATAGAGTCCCACATTGGGCTCCCTGCATGGAGCCTCCTCCCTCTGCCTACATCTCTGCCTCTCTCTGTGTATCTCTCATGAATAAATAAACACAATATTTAAAAAGAGAGAGAAATTAAAAAATCAGAGCCTCTACATCATTCAAAATGTCCAGAATACAATCTCAAATTTCTAGAGGTACCAAGAAACAGGACAAGAACGTTATAAGGATTTTTAAAACACCTCTTATTACTATGCTTGAGAATATAAGGACAATATTATTATTTTTTATTTTTTTATTTATTTATGATAGTCACAGAGAGAGAGAGAGAGAGAGGCAGAGACACAGGCAGAGGGAGAAGCAGGCTCCATGCACCGGAAGCCCGATGTGGGATTCGATCCCGGGTCTCCAGGATCACGCCCTGGGCCAAAGGCAGGCGCCAAACCGCTGCGCCACCCAGGGATCCCAAGGACAATATTCTTGTATTGAATGAACAGAGGCAATCTCAGCCTTAAAATGGAAATCAGGGACACCTGGGTGACTCAGCAGTTCAGCTTAGAGAGTGATCCCAGGGTTCTGGGATCGAGTCCCACATCAGGCTCCCTGCATGGAGTCTGCTTCTCCTCTCTCTGCCTATGTCTCTGCCTCTCTCTCTGTGTCTCTTGTGAATGAATAAACAAAATCGTAAAAAAATGGAAATCATTTTTTTGAAACCCTGATGGTGATTCCAGAACAAAAACTACAAAATCTAAGATTTAAAAAATGTATCAGATAATCCTAAAATTTTTATTGGGTGGTATTTGGAGAAGACAAAAGAAAACATCAGTGAGCTGGAAGACAGATCAATAGACATCTGAAGAAAGAAAAAAGACTAAAAAAAAAAAAAATCAAGGGAACTTCAGAGACCTATGCAGCAGTATCAAAAGTTCTGAAACATATCAACTGGAAATCCCAAGGAGGAGAGGACAGAGAAAATGGGACAGAAAAAAATCTTTGAAGAAATAATTTCCCAAAAGTGAAAATGTCCTATGTGTTTAAATTTATGCATATATAAAATGTCCTTTGAGAATGAAGGCAAACATAACATTTTCAGACAAATTAAAATGAAAGGGATTTACTGATAGTTACCCTGCCTTCCAAGAAATGCTAAAGGTGGTTCTTTAAAATGATAGGAAATGATACCAAAAAGAAATTTTGAACTTTAGGAAGGAGTGAAAAACCCCAAAAAGGGTGAATATGTGTGTCAAAAATAAAAAAATATTTCTCTTAACTTCTTTCAAATCAATATGACTAAAGCAAAAATTATTATGTTGTATTGGAGAGTTGGAGTATATGTAGATCTAACACAGAAGGCAACGACAGCAGAAAGGGATGAAAGCCCAGGTTCTTACACTTAATGTGAAATGCTTCAATTCAAATGCTAAGTAAAATGTTAAATAATACAAAGAAACAGATATTTAAAGAGAAATAGATAGAACTAAGTTCTAATTTTTTAACTGATCCAAAAGCAGGCAAGAAAAGAATAGAGGAACAAAAAATATATGGAAAAGCAAATAGCAAAATAGTAGACATAAATCCAATTATATCTATAGTTACATTAAACATCAGTCAACTAACTAGTATAATTAAAAGGCAGAGGTTATCAGGCTACACATAAAAGCAAAATCTAACTATACGTGGTCTACAAGAAATTTACCTTAAATATAAGGAGCCGTGTTTAAAGCAAAAAGGTGGCAAAATACATACAAGGTGAATGGCAATAAAAATGCAAGAGTGGCTACATTAGTATCAGACAAAACAGACTTCAGATAAAGAATCGTATGACAGACACCTGGGTGGTTCAGCAGTTGAGCGTCTGCCTTTTTGGCTCAGGGCATGATCCCACGTACTGGATCAAGTCCCACATTGGGCTCCCTGCAGGGAGACTGCTTCTCCTCCCTCTGCCTATGTATGTCTCTGCCTCTCTTTCTGTGTCTCTCATGAATAAATAAATAAAATCTTTAAAAAAGAGAGTCATATGAGACACAGCACATTTCACAATAAATGGCTTGATTCATCAAGAAAGTATAACAATCAAAAATGCACATGCACCTAATAGCAGCATGTCAACACACAAGAAGCAAAAATGGACAGAATCAAATGAAGAAATTGAGAAATCCACAAACACAGTTGGAGAGTTTAACAGCCTTCTCTCATCAATTGATACAATAACAAGACCAAAAGAAAATCAGTGAGGATATATAAAACCAAGCACTTTGACTTAATTGACTTTTATAGAACATTACACCCAGGAGCAGAATACAAATTTTTTTTCTTTTTTTTTTAAGATTTTTTATTCATTTGAGAGAGAGAGAGAGAGAGAGCGCGAGCACAAGTCGGGGAAAGGCGGAGGGAAAGGGAGAAACAGATTCCCCGCTGAGCAGGGAGCCTAATGTGGGGCTCAATCCTAGGACCCTGGGATCATGGCCCGAGCTGAAGGCAGATACTTAATCATCGGAGCCACCCAGGCACCCCACAAATTCCTTTTCAGTGCATAAGTTATGTTCATAAGATAGATTATATACTGGCTCATAAAACAAGTCACAACAAATTTTAAAAGACTGATCCTCTGACCACAATGAAAATAAATATTAAGATGCTATCTAGAAAACTTTCAAATATTTGGAAATTAAGCAAAAGCACTTCTAAATAACCCAGGGGTCAAGGAAGAAATCACAAGAGAGCTCAGAAAATATTTCAAAAATAAATAATAATGGAAATACAGGACATCAAAATTTGTGGGAAGCAGCTCACAGAATACTGAGAGGCAAATAGGCAGTTTTATATGCTTATATTAGGAAAGAAAAAAGGTCTAAAAATAAATGGCTTGGATGTCCACTTTAATAAACTAGAGTCAATCCAAATTAAGGGTAAGAAAGGAAATAATAGAGATAAGAGCTGGAATCAGAGAAACCAGAAAGAGACAACTAGAGAGACAACAAAACCAACTGTTGGTTGAGAAGATCAACAAAATTAATGAATTCTTAGATCATTAAGGAAGAGAGAGAAGTGGCACAAGGAATGACTATCAGAATTGAAAGCAGGGACAGCGCTATAGATCCCACATATATTGAAAAGATAAAATAGATAAAATGAGCAACTCTACACCAATGAATTTGACAACTTCATTGAAACGGACAAATTCCTCGAAAAGTATGGCTTACAAACTGACACATGACGAAATAGAAAATCTCAATAGCTTTTCATCCAGACATGTTCCAAAAAACTTTTCCACAAAGAACATTCCAGGTGGCTTCACGGGTAGAGTCTACCAGACACAAAGGGGAGCATGAACATCCATCTTACACAAACTCTTTTGGGAAATAAAAGAGAAGGAAATGTTCTTCAACCTGTTTTAAGAGGTAAGAATTTGAAGGAAAAAATAAAAACTTAACAGGGGAGAAACCTGGCAGACATTGTTAATCAAGTGATCAAAGCTAATGTGACCAACACTGGGACATACTGACATCAGGTACCTCTAGATATGATGGTGCACGGCTACTGTGGCCTCCTTGAAAGTAGTCACGAGGAAGCATCAGACCAACCCCTAAATAAGGGTTTTTTTTTTCTTTTTTTTTTTTTTTAGGGAAGAGGCCAATGCGCCACCCTATCGATATCCCAGGGCCGGTGGACCAGCGAGCTTTGGAAAATAGCCCTTCTACTGATCTATGCCCATAGATGAATGTTACAGCTACACACATAATGTTTGTGGAAGGCAAAGACCAGTCTACAAAACAACTGCCTCACACCCTTCAAAAATGTAAATATCATGAAAGGGAAAGAAATAATCTCAATTTTCTGATTTTGATGGCTGCATTGTGGAATGGAGGAGAATACCTTTATTTTATTTTTTAAAATAGGTTCCATGCCTAGTGCAAAGCCCAATGCCAGGCTCAAACTCACAACCCTGAGATCGAGAGCTGAGCTGAAATCGAGAGTTGGACACTCCACTGACTGAGCCATGGAGGTGCCCAGAGAATATCTTTATTTTTAAAAATAACGCTGCAGTAGGGGTAAAGAAATATGTCTTAACTTAGTAAAACACAGTTCAGGAAAAAATGTATTTTTATACACAAATAAAAATGGTACTATGTGTATATAGAGTGAAAGAGGTAAGAAAAATGATAAAGCAATTGTGGTAAAATGTCAGTAATTGGGGAACCTGGGTAAAGGGCCTATGGGAGTATTTGTACTATTCTTGCCACTTTTCTGTGAGTCTGAAATTATGTCTGAATTATTAGAAAAAATATGCATGGGAAACTCTGTCCCCAACTCTTGCTCTTGGGTTTTTCCAATGTCCATTAGTTCATTAATGGTTCTGACAAGTACTGCATAAGGAAATTTGCTTGGTATTTTGTTAGAATATTCGCTTTGTCAGAATGGGTATTAGTTTCCGACAAAGGGGTATCATCAATGCACGAGATACTGAAATTGCGTATCAGTGGACTTGAAAATATGCAGGATTTAATCTACTCTGTGGTTCCATAAAAGTGCTTCCCCAAGACCCCCACTGCCCCTACCCTGTGGTGTTCCCCAGGCTCACCCTCTCTAAGAGTTTTCTTCTGCTTCAGCATGCCCTTGAGGGTCAGGAGGTGGGGCACAGCTGTCCAACCAGCCACCGTGTGCTGGGCTTGGCTCTGCAGGGTCAGGATGTGGCCTCCCTCTGCTCCGCAGAAGCCTTGAGGAGAAGCTGTGCCGTGTTCTGGTCCACCAGCGCCTTATAAAACAGCCAAACCCTGGAAGGAACGTGATGGGGATAAGGAGCAGCACCTACCCCTGGAGGCAGGCCACAGAGGCAGGTCCCTGAACCCTGTTGCCCAGACCCATTATAGGACTGTTTTACTGGGCTCTAAGCCCATGGGGATGCAGTGTAATAGGGGTTAAGATCACGGGCTTTGGGGTCAGCCAAACCTGGGTTTGAATCCCAGTGCCACTACTAACTGTGGCTTTGGACAAGGACATAACCTCTCAGAGTCCCACTTTCTTCTTCTGTAAAGTGAGGTATAAAACCGAACCACTGATATTGAGTGGATATTGCTGATAAGTCATCAATGTGTGATATGATAAGTCATCAATGTGTGATGATGAGCAAGGAGAAAATAAACAGCTTCAACAAGCCTGTATTAAACTTCCTGGAAAATTGGGGAATGGGACATGGTCCCTGTCCACAAAGATTTCTTCATAGGACACCATGGGAGACACTTCCCTTGAGGATCAACACCAGAAACACGGTCAGCCATGTCTTCCTTGGTGCATACGTGCACAGGTGTGAGTGTGTATTTCCACGTGGCCTTTGCAAATAATGCCACTGGTCGGTTTCTCTTTTTGTGTTGGCTACTAGGATACTCAGAGCCAAATCTTAAGCTGAGCTCTAAAAAATGCAGAGGACTTCATGGCATGTGTTTTGTTTCTGAAAGCCACTCTGAGCACCTTCCTTTCTTTCCCATTTTTCTTTTCTTTTCCCTTCACACTCATTTCCTCATCCTCATGTGTTTTGAAAAATATTGAACAAAAGTTGGCAAACTACGGGTCTTTGGGGCTGAAATCAGCCCATAATCTGTTTTGTAAATCAAGATTTATTGAGACACAGCCACACCCATTCATTTGCATGTCATCTAGGATTCTGTGCTACGATCTCGGAGTCATTGCCACCAAGACCATATGGCCTATAGATCTGAAAATATTTACTTACCATCTGCCTCTTTGCTGAAAGTTTGTCAATTCTGACCTAGAACAATTTATGTTTTCATAATCTGCCTCAAACTCTTTTAAGACCAGGGACAATGATGGACATTCAGACAGATGGTGAATCAACGGGTGGACAGCTCTTGGTGGTTATTCTTTTTTTTTTTTTTTTAATTTTATTTATGATAGTCACAGAGAAAGAGACAGAGAGGCAGAGACACAGGCAGAGGGAGAAGCAGGCTCCATGCACCGGGAGCCCGACGTGGGATTCGATCCCGGGTCTCCAGGATCGCGCCCTGGGCCAAAGGCAGGCGCCAAACCGCTGCGCCACCCAGGGATCCCTTGGTGGTTATTCTGGAGATAGAGTGATCTAGAACCATACCTAGAGCCTTGGGTCTCCTCAAATTCATAAAAGCTGTCAATCCTGGGACAGCAGGGGAAACTGGGAAGAAACATTTAATGGAGGCCCAGTCTTTGCCAGAATGTGTCCTACTCAGAGGGACAGTGACAATGACAGCTGGGAGTGAACATGCTCACTGCCCAGGCACTGGTGAGGCATCCATGTGTGCTGCTCTGTGAACCCGAGGACAACCCCAAGAAGCAGGTAGAGAAACTTGGGCACAGAAGGGCACAGTGGCTGCTGCAAGGTCCCAGAGGCTGAGCTTGGGTTTGAACCCGGGCAGCAGGCTCCACACCCCAGGATCCTGATGGCCATGTTGTGGTGGATAAGCCCCCGTTGTGGAGATACAGTTTGGGATGAAAGGCTGCACCAACATATTCCCCACAACGATCTCTCATGACTCTCGTTTTATTCTTTATTATAATCTTTCAAGTCACCTACAATGAATGCAGTCATTACTAAGAAAGAAAAGAAAAAGAGATTGACATGGAAAACTGAATGCCTCCTCCTTCCTTTCCCTCAATGGCTTAAAATCAAGAATTGCATACAAGGAGTGATTTCAACCTGAGTGATGGTAGAGGGCACCTCTGAGCAATGATTTCCCATCTCCCAGGATACCAGCCCTTTGCCCTTGGAGGCCCCCCTCCCTGCCCTCTCCCCGCTCCCTGCATGGCCTCTGGGGACCCTCACCTGGCTGGGGCCACTTTGCTGGACAGCTGCAGCTGGACAGCCTGGGGGGCACTGAGGACTGCCTGGTGGAGGAGGACATTCATGCTCCAGCCCCGGCTGCGTCTCTGGGTGTCCTGACTGGTGTCGGCCTCCAGCAGAAGCAGCTCCTGGCTGGAGGTGTGCATAGACAGGGAGCCGCTGAGGGTGTGGTCTTTGTATCGTCGGGCAGCCACCTGTACCTAAGGGGAGGCAGGAGAGGGCTCAGAAGTGGAGAGAGGACAGGAAGGGTCTGGGGGAGCTGGCTACGTGGGAGGGCCCTTCCTCCAGGAAGCCTTCCCAAGCCACTCCAGCTCTGAGAACCACCCCAAGCACAGAAGACTGCAAGCACACAGGAAGAGAGGAAGCAGAAGGAAGAATGGAGGAGTGTCTTCCCTGACCCCAGCTCCTGGCCCAGGGACAGAGTCTTCCCTTGTCCTTCCCAACATATGTAAAATGGGAATTTCCATTTTATAGAGAGGGAGACTGAGGCCCAGAGAGGGTCATGTATTTCATATGGGGGTGCCTGGCTCTAAAACTCATGCTTTGCCTGAAGGGAGCAGCTGGGGGAAGCAGTGGAAACCTGGCCCCCTCAGTTACAGAAAGGATGCCCCCAATAGTGACCCCCCCAGGGCCCAGAGGACACCCTGAAGGTCTGGAGTTCAAAAAGGAGGGAGTCTGCTGCACAAGGAGGATACATCCTGGGGGTCAGGCCCCCAGCGGTTTGCTCCTCCACCAACTCTGGGGGACCTGAAGCCCTCCTTCCTAATCTGGGCCTCAGTCTCCCCATCTACAGGACAGAAGTTGGTCCAGCCTCGTATGTACATCGCAGCCATGTGGGAAGCTCTTAGAAGAATGCCTGGTCCCTCTACAAACTGATAAACTGATATATCCACACAATATCATTTACTGATAAAAAGAAATGAGGCCTCAAGCCACAACAAGACGTGAAGAATTCCTTACTTAGTGAAAGGAGCCAGCCTGCAAAGGCTACATGCTAGATGATCCCAACTATATGACATTCTGGAAAAAGGTAAAGCCAGAGATGCCAGCAGTTCAGCGGTAGCCAGGGGTTAAGGGGAGAAGGGATGCACAGGTGGAGCATGGGGGATTTTTAGGGCAGTGAAACTATTCCATGTGACACAGTAAAGATGACATTCTGCATTTGGCAAAACCCACAGAACTAAACACCATTAAGCTGTGAGTGTGGATTTAAATGATGGACTTCAGTTAATAATATATTAACATCAGCTTGACAGCTGGAATGTACCACACTAATGCAAGATGTTCTATAAGAGGGAAAATGGTATGTAGGGTGGGGGGCTATTATATAGGAACTCTCTCTACTTTCTGTGCAACTTTTCTGGAAACCTAAAAGTGCTTTGGAAAATGAAGTTAATTTCTTTTAAAGATTTTATTTATGAGAGAGAGAGAGAGAGAATGAGCACGAGTATGGGAGGGGCAGGGGCAGAGGCAGAGGGAGAAGCAGACTCCTCGCTGAGCAGAGAGCTGGATGTGGGGCTCGATCCCAGGACCCCGGGATCATGACCTGAGCTGAAGGCAGATGCTCATGCAAATGAGCCACCCAGGTGCCCCAGTTTATTAATTTTTTTAAAAGCATGCCTGGGACCCCCTGATGAATTAATTCAGCATCTCCAGGCCGGGGTCCATGTATGTTCTAAAGCCTCAGTAGGTGATTCCAATGTGGCTTGGGCTGAGAACTTTTAGGTTACACCTGTGTTTTCTCCAACTGGCCCCTGTGGGCCTAAAGTTTCCTGTAGAGCATGCATTCTCATGTTACAGAGGCAATATCACCCTCAGATGCGAAACTTGGCTTGCAAGGGGTTGGATTAAAAAACCAACTTCTTGTGATTATGTGTAAATCACAGATGTGCATACAGCACACAAACAAATACAGGACGTCTATGGAATTAAAATCTCACGGCAGGGGGGGCATGTACAGTACGTGCTGGCTGGCTGGTTTGTGCGAGCACACCCCAAATGACCCTGTTAATCGCTGTCTTGAGAATGTACGGATCCTGTGCTCCCTGTATAGTCCCATCAAGCAGGATATGTAGAAAAAACATGTTCGGCGTTCAAGGCCCCGAGGTTGGCCAACCCACAGCATCTCCTTTGTAACAAAGAACTTCCGCGTGGCAGGCCTTCATCTCTTTGGAGCGCTGGCCATGCAAGGAGGGAGAGGTCACAGGTAGTTGCTGAGCCAGTTGCTGCAGGACAAAAGCTGCTGGTGTAGATCCCAGCAACAGATACTTCGTCCAGTCTGTCGCTCCTGGACTCACTGTATATAAGTTCCCCCCAACAAATCTCTCTTTTGATTGCTGGATCCAGGTAACTTCTTGTGTCTCCCTGGGCCATCACCCTGGCTTAGAGTCTGCTAGGGAGCAGCTATATAACTGGTGAGCTGGCTAGCCAGGAGGCTGGAGAAAATCCCATGAGTGCTCTGAACCATGCTATGAGCACAAGTGCCAGCCAGTCTAACGCACTTGTTGGAGAAACTGTGCACCATGGCAGAGAAGGGAAGAGAGAGCTAAGTGAGAGACCTCAGTGGGCCTTTTTGCAAAGCTAGGAGGACACAGGATGCCACTGATTAAGATCCGGAAACTTGACTACTAGGTATTTACCAAAAGGGTACAAAAATACTAAATTGAGGGGATACACGTACCCCGATATTTATAGCAGCATTACCTATAATAGCCAAATTATGGAAAGAGCCCAGATGTCCATCACCTGATGACTGCGTAAAGAAGGTGCGGAACATATATGCACAATGGAATATGACTCAGCCATAGAAAACAATGAAATCTTGCCATCTGTAACGACGTGGATGGGGATAGAGAGAGGCTGAGTGAAACAAGTCAGTTGGAGGAAGACAAATGCCATATGATTTCACTCATATGTAGAATTTAAGAAACAAAACAAATGGACTTGGGAGGTGATGGTAAAAGGAGAGATAAACCAAGAAACAGACTCTTAACTATAGAGAACACGATGATGGTTACCCCGGGGAGGAGGTCGGTCGGGAGGTGGGTGAAACAGGTGGTGGGGATTAAGGAGGGCACTTGGGATGAGCACTGAGTGTTGGAAGTGATGAATCACTAAATTCAACCCCTGAAACTAATATTACACTGTCTTTTAACTAACTGAAATTTCAATACAAACTTGGAAAAGAAAAAAAAAACCTGGTTAGGACACGGAGATGTGGAATCTTGAAAAGGTGATCAATCAGTCAATCAATCAATCAATCAATCAATCAATTTACCTATCTAGTGATCATTGATGAGAAAACAGACAAAATTCACCATGTTTTCTAATCCCCACTACAACAAAAAATTTTAAACAGCCATTATCCTCCTCTTAGGAGAAAAAAAAAACCTAGCATCCTTTCCCTGTCCCTTGAAGTTGTAAATCTTGTCATGTCTCTATAATATAAGCATCCCAGGAAATAACCAAAATCTTGCCCGCAGAGACTGAAGAAAAAAGAGAGGGGGAGGCTTTTTAAAATATAGATTGCCAGAAATGATAAGGAGAGCAATTCTGCAAGTAGGGAAGGTAGAAGCATAAGAAAGGTTTAAGAAAAAAAAAAAAAAAGAAAGGTTTAAGAATGAGAATATATTTTTGTTAAGGAAAAAGGGAGTAATTTTGTCCTGAAGTGAGACTGGTTGTTTAGAGAGAGGAAATGCTTAGGACAAAATCTAAATGAAAAAGGAAAGTTGTAGAAGGGTCATGAAGGGGAATCTTGAGGAAAGAATTTTCTGCATGGTCAGGACTAAGACTGAATGAATGAAGTTATATTTGTTAAAAATTTTTTAAATTTCATTTATTTTATTTTATTTTTATGAATGAAGTTTTAAAAGTATATCGGTGTAATTTTAGAATTTGGTTTGTCCCTCTGTTAAAAGACAAAGTAATAAAAAAAAAGGCAAAGTTCTCTTGAATATTTGATCTGCTCTTGATTTAAAAAATAGCAACAAAGTTGTGTTGTTTGTTTTAATCAGCCCAGAAAAAAACAAAGTTTCTAAAATGTGTTCCTGCAAAAGTGCTCAGCTTCCAGGAAATTCATGGAAAGGACACTGACAAGTACAAGTTCCTGGTAGCTAAGATCAATTTGCCTTCATGATGAACCTCTCAAGCGCTCCCCGAGGGCTGCCTGTAGTGCCATGATGTGTCACGGGATGGTAGCCCAGGACCCCTCTCTGCTCTCCCGTCCCCATATGAGTGAGATGGGCCCGTTGCATTGATGACCCAATGTCAACACGCGGAGACTTGCCTCTATTGCAGGACACCTTGCAGGCTTTGCTGGGGTTTCTGCGAGGGGGGCAAAGGGCAATGAACCCACAGTAAATTCAGGGTCCTAGCGTATCCGTCACGCACTTGGGTGTTACCTGGTCAGGTAAGACTAAGTTGTCCTAGGTGTACAAGCATACCACGCCCCACTGCCCCAAAGCAGTTGCAGACCTTCCTAGGTCTGTTAGGGCGCTGGCATCCATGCGTCCTCAACCTGGCTCAATTGCTTCAGTTCCTTTATAGGTTGGGAAACAGAGAGAGAGAGAGAGAGAGAGAGAGAGAGAGAGAGAACCCAAAGCAAAGCATCTGAACAAGCCAAGGTGGCTGTTCGACAGACCCAAGCCTTAGGTGTTCTGCGACAGGGACAGCCATGCAAATTGGATGCAGCCAGGTGCCCAGCAGCGTTTGGATGGAGCTCGTGGCAACAGCAAGGGCACAGAGGAGCACCCTCAGGCTTCTGGTCATGGTTACAGAAAGGAGCTGAGCTGCAATATGGTGTTTTAGAACAGCAGCTGTGTGCTACCTGGCATGCCTCACGACCGTAGAAGACACAACTAACAGGATCTCAGTGACCATTCCCACTCAGTACCCTATATCGGGATGCCTAAAGGACACATTCCAAAGCCTGAGGCAGGCAGTGCCAAACCAGGCCTACATGCAACAACACAGTAACTTGACAAACAGCCTCTAGTGTGAAGGAGCACTCCACTCATGGCCTGGTGACTCATGTCATCCTGAAGGACAGCCATTAACAGGGGCAGCAGAGCCACCGTAGCTGACATCCGTTGTGCCAGAAGGAGACGGACCAATCCCTGAGTGTGTGTGGTACCCTGATGGGTCAGCAAGGGGCAACCCCTGTGCCTGGATGGCCACAGCCATCCAACCCTCAACAGAAGGTATCTGGATGGACCCCAGCATTGGACATTAGTAGTCAATGGGCCGAGCTTCAAGGAACATGGATAGTACTGCTCCATGAGCCTGATCCCACCCCATTACTCTTTCTTTTTAAATTTATTTGTGAGTGAGAGAGTGAGAGTGAGAGCACAGGCAGGGGGAGAGGCAGAAAGAGATGGAGCAGCAGACTCCCCGCTGAGCAGGGAGGCTGACGTGGGGCTCGATCCCAGGACACCAGGATCATAACCTGAGCCAAAGGTAGATGCTTAACCTGAGCCACCCAAGAGCCCCTTTAATGATTTTATTTTTAAGTCATCTCCACACTCAACTTGGGGCTCGAACTCCTAACCCTGAGATCAAGAGTCGCATGCTCTACTGACTGAGCCAGTCGGGTGCCCCATGATCCCACTGTTCTGTGCACAGATAGTGGATAGCTGGGCAGCCCGCAGAGGACGGACCATGTGGCTGCTACAAGACTGGATGGGGGCAGGGCGCTCACACTGGGGCACCGACATATGGAAGCATGTACTCTGATGCCTAAGAGGTATGAACACCCCTGTTTGCCCTGTGGATGCACACCCCACCTGGCAATCAATAGGCCAATGAGCTGGCCTGTGTCCCCCTCCTGGAAGATGTGCCAGCAGAAGATGTCGCTACCTGGCTACATGAGAAGATGGGACATCCAGAACAACAGTCCTTGTGGACCATCGCTAAGAACCGGGGCCTACCGCTGCGTTACAAAGACATCACGACCGTCTGCCAACAAAGTCCAGCGTGTGCCAGGAATGATCACGGCGTTTGCCAAGAGACACTGGACAGGCAGCAAGGGGGCAGATCGACTACATGGGTCCCTTGCCTCTCTCCGATGGCTGACCTTATGCTCCAATGCATGTGGACACTTATTCAGGACCCCTGCAAGCCTGCCCCAGTAAGTGTGCCACCCAGAAGGCCACCATTTGTGGCATGGACCTGGACCAGCTGTGCACTGCATGCTCCTGGGTACAAATTATGGAAGTGGCCCCATTGTATACAGAGAGGTACAAGGGGACCCCCAAATGCTATAGGTCATAATGTAGGGTGGATACCCACACAACCATGCAATCACATTGCACCCATTACCGCTGAGATCTGGCTAGGGAGACAGCGTGCACCCATTCCCTCAGGTGCTCTCCCCTCTCCCCTCCTTCTGGCGATGGCTGTGGGCATGTGGTGCCCACTTACTTACTGGGTGAGTAGGGCTGATGCTATATCTGGGAGCACCCCTACTTGCTGGGCCATATACTCATTTATAGGATGTAGGGCGGCAGGTCGACACATGGCTAGCCAGACACAAGGCTGGTGCTTTTAATTCCACCTTTAAGGCAATCCCTCTCCCTCTCCCTCTCTAGGAGGGTTCCCAAATAAGACAAGCAGTTCTGCAAAATGGAATGACTTGTGACATGTTAACCACAGCACTGGGAGGGACACGTGCTCTCATCAAGACAGAATTTTGTGTGTGTGTGTGTGTGTATAGGACTATTTCCACACCGTTTCCCAAGCCATGGCTAGTGTAAACACAGAGTAAAGCTGCTGAATTCCTTACTGACCCTGTTAGTGCTTGGTTAAATCACTTGCCTTCTTCCTCGCAAGAAGGCCATTTATGGCCATTAGCCATTTGTGTCTTCCTATTACTTGGATGCTGTGGCTCGCGCTGTTGCTACGGGATTTGGTTGCAGCGTGCCTTGGCATACCCAGCCCCAGGGATACCAGGGAAGAGGGGCGTGTCAAGAATGAAGGTGCCATCTGGGGGCCCCAGGGTGGAGTGTATGGTGCAGGCTGGACGGCTGGCTTGTGCAAGCACACCCTGAACACCCCTATCAATCATTTGAGAATGTACGGATCCCGTGCTCCCTCTATATTCCCATCAAGCAGGATATGTAGAAAAAACATGTTCAGCGTTCAAGGTCAGGGGCTCTGGGGGCGGCCAACCGGGTGCACCTCCTTGATAACAAAGAATGCCCGGATAACGGGCCTTGATCTCCTTGGAGCGCTGGCCATGCAAGGAGGGGAAGGGCTACGGATAATTGCTAGGCTCGTCTACGCCGTGAAAGCTTGCAGCATGCACGCAGCTTCCAGCCACAGATGCTTCGCAGGGGCTCCAAGAGGGAGGCAGAGGCTGACAAAGCTGAGCTCCCCAGCCCCACTTCACCCACAGAGAGACAAGGTGAACAAAGGTGCTGCTGTTTTAAAAAGTGGTGATAGGGGCACCTGGGAGGCTCAGTCAGTTAAGCCTTCAGCTCATGACATGATTCTGGGGTCCTGGGATTGAGTCCTGCATTGGGATCCCTGCCCAGAGGGGAGTATGCTTTTCTCTCTCCCTCTGCCCTCTCCCCTACTTGTGCTTTCTCTCTAATTAAAAAAAAAATTGGGGGGGATCCCTGGATGGCTCAGCGGTTTAGCACCTGCCTTTGGCCCAGGGCGCAATCCTGGAGACCCGGGATCCAGTCCCACGTTGGGCTCCTGGCATGGAGCCTGCTTCTCCCTCTGCCTGTGTCTCTGCCTCTCTCTCTCTCTCTCTCTCTCTCTCTCTCTCTCTCTCTCTCTCCCTCTCTCTCTCTCATGAATAAATAAAAATAAAAATATTTAAAAAAATTTTTTTAATGATAATAAAGTCTGAGCCCATTAGATGACCCAGCATCCAGGATTTTGGTACATCTGCCCCATGGTGAGCACAGCCAGGGGTATCAGATTCGCATCCGGGATCCTCCCCCTACACACTCAGTGACCTTGTACAAGTCACGTCCCCTCTCTCTGTCGCAGATTCTCATCTGCAGAGTCCTACCACAGTGGCGTCATGGGGCATCCATGAGACAAGCCCACGTAAAGGGTTGAGAACAGAGCCTGGCACGTGGTCAACACTCAACAGATATCAGCTCCTATCACAACTGATGACAGTGACAACATGCCCTCGGATCCAGGATGCCAGATGCCCTGGGATGTGCCATGACTTTGTGGACCCCCATGAAAGCAAAAAAGCTGATAACAAAGCAGTGAACCCATGGGAATTTGAAGACATCCTGATTTCAGAGCTGGTGACCCACAAAAACAGGTACCTCTGAGAAGGACCAGTTTCCATAATGGAAAGCTCTTCTCAGGGTCCTTTCGAGTTCCCAGAGCCACCAGCACAGGGCTGGCACACAGCAGGCACTTAAAAATTGCTCTCAAGTTCTGGGCCTCCTCACAGGTGGACTACCCATCTACACCTCCATCTCCCCAGCCTGCTGCCTAATTCCTGTGTACACAGCACACTTGGCTTGTTTGGTGACACGTGGGGCACCCAGCGCTGGGACAGTAGAGCACAGCCCTCCTGCCTGGCCTCCTTTCCCTGCCCTTTATCTCCTTGTAGAGTAAAACCCTTCAGCCTTCCTACCCCCATGCCAGGCAAAATACTCCGAGGTCAAAAAATGGATCAGATGGTTTCTCCCAAATACAGGACAGGCTAGAGAGGACAATTCTGCTTCTCTCCATTTTTAAGGGTGAAATGTGATCCTTCTGCCCCCCAGGGTGCAAAAAACCCCTCTGGCCTGGGCAATCACTTCCAAATGATGGATTTGGAAACCTCCCTGCTGCCATCTGTTCTTGATTCTTGGACTGGCTGAATGGCTAAGCTTCACATCCTGGTGTGGCCTCCCTCGCCCCACACCCGGGGCCTCCATCCTCTCTTCCTTCCGCCCCATCTCCCAGCAAGCTGGCTGCTCTGCTTGGAGACAACACTTGGCAGGCAGTTCGAGGTCACCCCAGAGGGACCACGTCTGTACCTGGAAGTCTGGAGGAAATGTTGGTCTGTGGGGATGTCTGAGCTGGAAGAGGAACGCCAAATGGGAGTCAGATCCGTTCAGCTGGATCGAGACCTGTTGACAAGGGGAGGTGGAGGAGGAGGGTCAGAGGGAGTGGAGGAGGGAGATGCCGAACCCCAGAAGGTAGCTGGCTAGGCGCCCGAGGAAGGACCGGTCATCCCAGAGCTTGCCCAAAGCCCAAGCCAGAAACCACCTTCTGCGATGCTCCTTAGCCCCAATCTGACTCAGGCTGCGTTACTTAGGAACTTGAGAAGTGAGGCCCCAGATAGGCGGCTGGGAAGATGATCCTGGGACCTCGGGCCTCTTACATCCCCTGCCACAGTGCCTGCTTATGCCTCCCACATCCACGGCGGCATCCTATTTGACCCTGACCACATAGCAGGCTTTGTAACTGTCACCTCATTTAATCTCCACCCCTGCTCTCACTGGCTGGTATCACTGTCCCCATTTCACAGCTGAAAAAACCGATATTCAGTGGGGTGAGTAATTTATCCAAGGTCACACAGCGAATCAGCAGTGGAGCTAAAATTTGGACTTAGAGCTCCCGGGAGTTGGAGACAGAGAGTCGCCCGTGCATCCCCAGGACATGGCACAGAACCCAGCATGTGGCAGAGACGCAATCTGTGTATAGTAAAGGATCAAACAAATATAGCCACAGCAGCTCCTATGTATAACCACCAAGCTGCATTTTCTTTCCCTCTTGGACACACAGCTCAAACTACATTTCCCAGCCTCCCTTGCAGCTGGGCAGGGTCATGTGATGAGTTCTGGCCAATGGAATGCAGGCAGGCGAGGCCTGGCCCCCTAAAGGGACCGGCCCTGGGAACCTTCTGTATAATTCTCACTGTCCCAGGCCCCCTGTGCCAGCTGAGGCAGAGCCATAGAGCCACACAGCAACTGTGACACGACCAGGCAATAAAGCTTCACAGGAAAGCAGGCTTTTATTACAACAGTGCATCCTGATTCATCCCACGCACACTGCCGAAGTAAGGGCTCTCCAGGGCCACCCCGCCACCTCTTCAGCCCCTGCACATGGGACACCTGTGCTCTGACATGGACATCTCTCCTCCCTCAGGGAGGAAGGAGGCAGAACCGGGACATCTGACCTGGGAGGTGACGTTGCGGTTGATGGCAGCCCTTGTGTCCACCCTGCAGTCAAATGCTCCCCGAGGACCCCGTCTGAAGACAACGTCCCCATCCAAATGCAGAGCCTGTGGGAGCCTCAGCTGGAAAGAAACAGTGCCATTTATGCTCTCCAACAGTTGAGCACCGCTCAGAGACTGCAAACCAGTGTTTGCTCAAGCTGGGGACAGGTACCTGGGAGGAGTGTGCAGCATCCAGGGCCAGGCTGTGCCAGATTTCCCCATGCTGAGATCTGTCATGGTGCAGACCCTTTAAGTGCAGGACGACGTTCTGGTTGACTTTGAAAGTGGCCTCGACCTCCCTGTTCTTAGCCTGGGGGAGCAAGAACCGGTAGGATGGAGAGAAGTGATTTTCCATCTCCAAGTGCCTACAGAAGCCACCCTGGGAATCCAGCAGTTAGAAGAAAGTAGCCCCAAGATGGATGGCTTCCTGCCACACACAGGGCAGGAAGCGAGGACAGGTGCATGGGGGTCTTTCAAAGAGGGATGATCAAGTCTAGTGCCCACAAGTAGCGTGAGTGGGGTGGGCTTGAGGGGGTGAATCTGAGAACCTGTGTCTCATTCCAAGGGAGTGCCCTGGTATGTGACAGTTTTGCTCATGGTGGTATGCCTCATACTGAACACAGGTCCTGGCGCACTGCAGGCACTCAGGAAATATCTGGAAGAGGGCAAAATCACTCGTGATAGCCAGCAACCCCAAGGCCAACGCCAGGCTGAAGTGAAAGAATGTTTAATTCATAGCATGGCAGGCAGGAAAATATCCAGCCTCCCAAAGATCCCCATATCTTGATCCTCAGAACCTGTAAATACGTTATTTTACACAGCAAAGGGGATTTTGCAGTTAAGGATCTTTAGATGGGGAGATTATCCTGGATCATCCAGTGGGCCCAAGGTAATGATAAGCATTCTTATAAGAGGGAGGCAGAAGGGTCAGAGTCAGTGAGAGAACAAGAGAGAGTGAGAGAGAGAGAGAGATGCTATCTCTGCTGGCTTTGAAGACAGAGAAAAGGACGATGACCCACGAGTCATGGGTGACTCCTAGTAGCTAGAAAAGGCAAGGAAAAGGATTCTCTCCTGGAGCCTCCAGAAAGAAGGTAACTCTGGCAATACCTGCTATGAGCCAAGGGAAACCCATTTTGGATTTCTGATCTCCGAATACATAAGGTGAGTTTGTGTTGTTTGAAGCCATGAAGCTTGTAGTACTTTGGTATCACAGCCACAAGACACGAATCCACATGGTCAATCATGTGTTCACTCAGCAACTTTTTAGCCTCTGCCACATGCCAAGCCCACGGTAGCAGAGTATGCCATCTGTTCCCATCTGCGGTGACAGGGAAGTTAAAAATGTCTTGCCGCAGAATCTTATCGCTAGCATACAACTTTAGAACAATGCGTGGCTTTATTTTAGAAACAAGATGGTAGAAGGATAAATAAAAGTCCAAGAGAAGGAAAATAAATGTGTGTCATTAAACAAAGACAGGGTTTTAGAAAGACCAGAGAGCCAAATTCAACTCAATGAAAGGGTCCCCATCCACTTGCTTCTCGCCTCTTGTTGTCAGGTGGGATTTTAGGCCTCCTGTGTCAGATCTTCTGATTTCTTTTTAATTAGAAGCAGAAATCTGAGTTTTACTCCAAATCTTCTGATTTTTACACGTTGACAAGGTTTTTAAAAATGTGAAGTGTGAAGCAGGCCAAACAAAATACATCTGCAGGCTAGATCTGGCCCATGGCGCCATTCTGCAATCTCCGGTTTAAAAAAAAAAAAAAAGCACTCAACACCATGGGGAGGTATTTCTGCAGGTGTTTTGGGCTGTCATTCTGCCCTTTGCTTCCTCAGGAGCTCCAAGGACTTCGGCTACCAACCTTTTGGAAGCCATCCACAACCCCGGTTGAACAGGTGTGGCCCCAGAAGAAGAGGTCTCAACAGCTGGCCCCACGTCACCCTCCTTCAGTAGACCTTTGTACATCCCTCGAAGGAGAGGCCACCACTAACTTCTTTGTCCAGGGCCTGGCACATGGTAGGTGCTCAATAAATGCTTGCTGGAGAATAGGGTTACCTATTCCTAGATCAGGAAGGAGTCTGGGATGAGGGGCAGGTGGGCACGTGTCAGGTATCTAAGGAAGATTATCATGTTACATTTCTGTCCTCACAACCACAGCATAAGAGATGAGTACTGCTGTCTCCGTTTTATGGCCGAGGAAACGGGGGCCCAGGGACATGGAATCATTTGCTCTGGGCACAATGGCAAAAATGAATTTCACCCCTACGAAGGCTAATGCCAACGCCTTCTAAGTCAGGGCAGAAAGCCTCGGCCAGGGAGTCAAACCTGGCTCATGTTTGTACGTGAAGTTGTCTTTGCAGTTCAGGCTACTCTCAACAAAAATCCCATAGACTCGGTGGTTTAAACAACCAAAATTTACTCCTCTCGATCCTGGAGGCTGACGGTCTGAGATCGGGGTTGGGTTCCGGAGGCCTTCCTCCTGGGTTGCTGGCGGCTCTCTCCTTACGGCACCCTCATAGGGTGGAGAGAGAGAGAGAGAGAGAGAGAGAGCAAGAACAAGCTCTTCCTCTTCCCATGAGGTATGAATCTCATCGTGGGGGCTCCAGCCTCATGACCTAACCACCCCCCAAAGACTCTCCCCTCCCAATATCTTCACATTAGGGCTTCAACATACAAATCTTGGGGAGAACTCAAGCATTCAGTCCACAGCACAAGTTTTATCAGAACACGATTGTGCCCATTCACTTGTGCGTTTTCTAGAATGTGTCTGTGCTACGAGGGCAGTCGGATGAGTACCTGTAGCAGAGACCTTACAGCCTGCAGAGGCAGAAAATAATTAATTACTATCTGCTCCTGCATAGGAAAAGGTTGTCCACTCCTGCTCTGGGTCAGGTGCACAACAGACTCTCAATAGCACCAGGGTGACAATGATTCATTAAGCACAGATGACATGCCAGGTCCTGGGGCTCCAGTGATAAATAGGGGCATACCTTGGAGACCCTGCAGGTTTGGTTCTGGACCACCCCAATAAAGCAACTCTGCCAACAAGCGAGTCAAACAAAATTCTCGCTTTCCCAGTATATACAAAAGTTCTGTTTACACTGTAGTTGATTAGACGTGCAGCAGGATTATGTTTAAAAAAAAAACACACCACACACGTACCTTCATTTAAAGAATACCTCATTGCTACAAAGTGCTAACCATCATCTGAGTTTGCAGCCAATTGTAGTCACTGATCACAAACCACCGCAACCAATATCACAATAATGAAAAAGTGAAGTATTGCCAGAGTCGCCAAAACGTGACACGGAGACATGAAGTGAGTAAATGCTGTTGGCAAAACAGCACCAACAGCCTTGCTGAATGCAGGGTTGCCACCACCCTTCAGGGTGTATTTAAGAAAATGCAAAATCTGGAAAGTGTGATGAAATAAAGTGCAATCAAATGAAACACGATACCAACCACAGATCTCAGGGGCTGTCAGGAGGGACAGCGACTGGTCAAAGAATCACATCAAAATAGAACTGAGATTGGCGAGAAGGGCTAGAAGCAGCAGTGTGGGGTGTGCAGGGGGGTAACCAGGGGATGCAAGGTGGTCTGGGGGTCAGGCTTGACGCAAGGAGAGGGGATGCATGAGCTGAACCCTCACCAGTGAGTACAAGGCAAGGAGGCAAAGCCAAAGGAGTGACCGCTCCAGACACAGAACACACAGAGGTCCTGGGGCAGGAAAGAGCTGGCTGAGGGACCGAGAGGAGACTGAGTGAAAGGCCACGGCCGAAGGAGAGAAGGGTCTCGGGTGGCCTGGAGGGTCAGCAAGACCACAGGGTGGGGCTGGGGTCTCCGTCCAGAGAGAAGGAGCGGCGTGATCATGCTGGCCCAGGAAAGGCCCCTCGGGCTGTCAGGCAGGATGGAGCAGCGGGGACAGGGTGGAACAGAAAACCCAGGCCAGGGAGCCTTCTGCTCATCCAGTTCCGAGAAGACGGCAGCTTGGATCAGGGACCCCTGCATGCCAGCTCCCCGGGGGGTTCCCACTTACGGTGTGCTCACTCCAGGCGACAGCGCACCCCTCCACGTTCCCGGGAATGGCCTCACTCTTGTATGGGTGGGTCAGGCCAGCACAGACCTGGGTGGGGTGGGAGGACACGGGCACATGCCCCCAAAGACGGGTCAGCGGCGGCCAGGGGCCTCCCCCGGCTCCCAGGGAGCCCCGGAGCCCACTCACGTAGGGGTGTCCGGCCTGGTAGCCCAGGACTACGGTCTGCAGGGTCTCCTCCCGCCCATTCAGGACAAGCCTGGTTTCCAGGGAGCATCGCTGGTGGCGCCCATCCGCTGTGAAGGTCTCCTGCAGGAGGAGGCTCTGCGGGATGGGCAGAGGCAAGGGGTGCCTGGCATGGACAGGGGATAACAGGCCGGAGCCATTAAAGCGGCTGGCAGGGGCAGGGGACAGCTGTGCCCCACGAGCTCAGACCGGGCCCGTCACAAGCTTGCAGGGTTGAGACTCTGTCACAGAGAAGAGAACATCAGGACGCACGTGGGCCCTGAGTCTTGCCAACCGACACTCGTTGACCATCTCGCCGTGCCCCGGTGACAACTCAGTGAGCTGGGCACGGCGGGGGTCACCGTCCCTCATGGGCAGCAGAGACCCAAGGACAGGCAGGCCCTGGGCCCTGTTACCTTGGGCAGCAGAGAACAGATGTGGTTGACTTCTGCATGCCTCAGTTTCCCCCTCCGTGAAATGGGGACTGAAATACTAGCTGCCCCATCCCAATGGTGGTTGGGACCATCGGAGGTAATGTCCGTGCAGTGAATGCAAGCTCCCTATGGGCAGGAGTCCTGTCCCTTTGGCTCCCTGTTTTCCCAGAAGAGTGCACAGCATGTAGTAGGTGCTCAATAAATATAAATGAACTAAACGAATGAATGAGGCCTATGGAGACGGTGGCTCCTGTCACTTCTCGGTTGCTGTTGTTTTGACAAAAGAGGACTCAGGTCAGGCAGCGGGTCTGGACCCAGACTGGAGCTCAGGCTGGGTCTGCCGATTTCACCCCCTCCCCACCTCTTATACCCTCCCGACCACAAGCTGTGCCTCCAGGAACTGGAAAGATTCCCCAGAGCAGCTCTCAGGCTAGGGGTGATGACAGGCTTCCGCTTCCAGATGTCATAGCGTCCTAATGGAAGGGGGTTAGGGATGCGGGACTTTCGAGGGAGGCAGGCAGCTGGTCTCCGAGCTCTGGGCTCCACCTTGGGCTCCGCAGGCCAGGGTGGGCCTCCCGGACAGCACGGCTCACCCCGTCCCCCGTGACCCTCCACACTGTAGAAGCAGAGGCCTGGCAGATGCTGCACGTAAGGGGAAAGGGCCACACGTACCTGAGGAGGAAGGTCCCCTGCTTTTGGTACAACCTCCCGTCGCGAGTCACCTCCTCCAGCTTGCCGTCCAACTCCAGGCCCCAAGGCTGGCCCCTGGTGCCAGTCACCAGAGCCATCAGCGACACGTGGGTCTTCTGGGGCTGCAACAAGGACCAGGCTGATGGAGAGGGGTGGCCTGGTGGGGACCATCATGCGTGGGGGTGCAAGGGGAGCTCCCACTGCCCACCCACCGCCCTGGGAGTGGCCACCTGAGGCAGGGCTGCTGACCTGGACCGCAGCCTCACCCAGAGCAGGCCGCAGGGTGGCAGGGTGCACCGCCACGCCTGGCCCTCCCCAGGCGCCCCACAGGGAATGGTCTAACGCAGCTGATCCTTAGCTAATAGATTTTTTTTTCATAGATTAAGAGACTGAGCTCAGGAACCCACATGGTCATAGGCTGAGCCAATGGCTCTAAGCACTTTCCCATCCCCAGAGAGGGATTTGGGGGTCTCTCAACAGTGCAGTCTCCAGCCTGGGCCCCCTGGACTCACCTGCTCCGTGTGCCTGTAGGATGCAGTCAAGTTCATCTCCCGCAGGGGGCCCTTCAACCAACAGTGAACTATCTTAAGGTCTTGGCTGTTCTCTGCGTGGATCTCGTTCTGCACTGTCGCACTCCAGGCTGATTCTACTTCACTCCGGCTGCGGAAGAGGCTCTGTGCCAAGGCCATCACCGTGGATACCTACAGCGAGGAGGGGAGGGCGACCAAAGCCTTTGCACACCCGATGCCCTCCCCCGGGGACACCCTTTCTCCCCATTCCCACTTGGTGAACTCCTACTCATGCTTTAAAACCCCTCCGATGCCATCTCTGTGAGGCCTTTCCTGACCGGCGCAGGCAGAAATGATTGTTCCCTACAGGGTCTTGAGGAAAGAGGACAACAAACTTCCCTCCAGCTCTCAGCCCTGAGCAGAGAGAGAATCTGAAGCATCAGTTATCAGAGAAGATAATTCCCTTCTCCTTCTTTCCTCTTCGGCTCAAAAAGGGAATATGATCTCACTGGGCCACTGTTATGAGCAAGCAGGGTCTCTGCCCTGAAGGGCACACACCTGCAGGTGGCCTTCTCTCCCTGCACCATCGCTGTAGTCTTTGGAGCCCTGGGAAGAGCTGGGTGCTAGTTTGGCTTGTGCTGGAGCTGGCGGGGGTAGAACGCCGGTAGCCCTGCACCAGGCTTGCACCCCAGCCCACCACCCCTGGGCCAAGCCCCACCGGGAATAGCACGGTGCCAGTACCCCGTAGGCCACTGTGCCCTATTCCCACAGCTCACAGCCTCACAAGTGGAGGTGATGGGGTCATCGTGGGGTTTAGGCATGACTGGAACCCCCTGCCAAATACTAGAACTCCCTAACACCTTGTCCCAAAGGTCCCTGACCTGGAGCCTCCCCCCAGAGCCCCCTACTGCCAGGCTCCCATTTCAGTGAGGGTGCCTCCTCCACCTAGCTGCTTGGGGTCATTTATGTCTTGTCTTGAGCTCTCCCCCCACCCTACCCTCCTCTGTCAATCTACCAGCAAATCTGTCAGCAAATACATTGGCTCCACCTTCAAACTAGTCCCAGAATCTGGACACTTGCTACCATCTTCCGGGACAAGCCACCATCAGGCCCCTGGCTGGGGTGTCTGCACGAGGTAGCTGGCTGACCCCACCTCCCACTCCTGTGCTGGCTCGATCTGCTACACGGTGGCCTCTTGACAGTTCCCAAGCTCGCGGGCAATGCCCTGCTCCTCATGCCTCCACCCTGCTACCATTCAGCCCCAGCCTCAGAGGGGACTATGCTGTCCCCAGATGGGCCCATGGAGCTGCCTCCTTCTGGGTCCCAGTCAGGCCCCGACCTCCTGCTGTGTCCACTCATCATCCCAACATGGGAAGAGGATATGTGCCAGGCTCCCTCGGATGACTCCTGGGAAATCTTTCATGGGTTGGATTTCTCCTAGACTATTATGTTTCAGAGATGCTGGAGAAGCTTCTCAAGGATACCCTGCAGCTGGTATAAAACTGACCTTGAAGTTTTCATTCGGTTTTCAGCAAAAGCCTGATGTCTACTTGTTTCAGAGTTCCCCTTCAACATTCTTTCATCTTTTAATCTAACAGCTGCTAAGCAAAAATATGGGAAATTGAGACTGGGGGGCATGGTCTGCTGTTCCAAATTCACTTGGTAACTAATCCTGAAGACCGTAAGTACTGGGTCATCCAACCTGCCCACATCTGGGCCTGGGTGTTCTCCCTCTGCAGGCAAGAAATTCTACATGGCAGGGAACTAGGCTCCTGGGCTGGAGTCCATCTGCGGGGCGGCGAGCAGGGGGCGTGACTGGGCATGCTCACCCGGAGGTAAGTGGTGGCCGGGGTATAGATGTGAATCTTGCCCTCCCTGTCGAGGCCTTGGCCCCTAAAGGCCACGTTCATCACCAGGTTCTTGAGGGTCCAGGCCTTGCCCAGCGTCATCTCCAGGACGGCCTGGAATGTGGGACGGTGGGGCCAGTACAGCCTGTGAGCCACAGAGACCATCAGCCAGGGACTATCCAGGTTCAAAGCACCTGCAAGAGGTAGAGGGGGAGAAGCAGGTACAACTGGTAGGAAAATAACTATTGGCAGGTACCAAGAGGTGGCCGTAGCCTCCTCACAGCTACTCTGGGCATGTCTCAAAACTGGCAATGACTAGGAGGGGACAGGAGGGAACTTTACAGAATGCTGGTAATGTGATAGGGGCAACACAAGTGTGTGCACCTGTCAAAACTCATGGTTTGACCATGGTACCCTGGAAATGTGTGCGTCCCACTCGAGTTACCACCACCCATATTGAAACGCTTAGGGATGACATGTACGAGTGTCTACAGCTTGCCTTGAACTGCACCAACAAATAACATGGATGGATAAGTGGATAGAAACATGCGAGTAAAATGTTAACAGTAGAACCTGGGTATGAGTTGGTTGGTGTGAACGATATAATCCACTGCACTTTTCTGTGGGTTTGGTGATTTTTTGTAGGGACATGATGGACAAAAGAAAGGCACAAAGAAGCCAGGAAGGGAGCACAGGAGTGTGGTAATGAAGAATGTGGCCTTTACTCTCCAAGCTGTGGCCTCTTTGAGCCTGTGCTGCCATCATCTGTAAAATGGGTTCAGTAAGACTGCTCACTGGGTATTGGGACAGAGGAAGCACTGGTTAAGAAGAGTAAATACCATCACCACCACCACCATCATCATCATCAAAAAGGTAACATTCAACATAACCTTTTGCCCTTTCCACGATCAACTAAAAGCAGGTCTCAGAACCCCACTCGTATTTTGTCATGAATACCCCAATTCATTCAAGGACTAATTCAGCCAGTATTGCTTGGGACACTTGGGATATATAGTGAACAAGCCGACACAGTTGCTGCCTTCATATAACTTGCAGCCCAGGGCTGGTGGGTGGCAGGAGGAACAGATCTTGAACAAATAAACAAATAATGAGACCTAAGTAAACAATGCTGAGTGCTATGAAGGAAAATAAAGGGGGAGTTTGATGAGGAGGTCAGTCAAGTTTTCCTTGAAGTACTGACAATTGAGCAAAGGTCAGCCCAGCCAAGGTTTCCATGAGAAAGGGACATTCGAGCAAAGACCCACGTGAAAAGCAGTGGGAGTCTATCAAAGGTGAGGGCAACCTCCCACCTGTTGGAGACGGAAGATTTACTGTCTGAGAAAAGTGGGGCAGAGAGGCCTGGATGCAGGGAGACCAGGCAGGTTGAGGGCAGAGGGTGAGAACAGGGAGATGCTGAATAGAGTAGCCCAGGGCCCTGCCCCTGTGCACCCCTCCCACAGGGGATGGGAAGACTGCTCGAGGAAAGAACAGAATGAAAAAGAAAGGTTCACCGAGGCCCCAGGGGTCCCCATTCAAGTGCTTGACAGGGGAACCCATCAGTCAACAAGTGTACCCCCAAACACTTGGGGAGCTTCTTCCAAATAAGTTCTGAACTGCCGATTCTTAAACATAGCACATACCTAAGTCTTGCCTGGTATTTGAGGAAAGCCACTAATAGGAATTCAGAAAAAAAAGTTAAAAGAAACTCAGGGAGAACAGATCAAAGTCCCCAAATTCTGTAACTTCTACTCTTAGAGAAGTAAGAGAAGGCGTTTTCATGGAGCAGGATACTATAAGAAAAGAACTCTTAGGAACCAAAAAGAGCTATCTTTTTTGGAAATACAAGCTCTCTTTTGGGAATATAAGCTAGCCAAAATTAAAATGTAGTAGAAGGGCTGGCAGATGAAGTTGAGGAAAGAAGTCCTCAAAACAGAACAATGTATGGCTCAGTGGTTGAGCAGCTCAGGTCATGATCCTGGGGTCCTAGGATCGAGTCTCACATCAGGCTCCCCACAGAGAGCCTACCTCTTCCTCTTCTTCTCCCTCTGCCTATGTCTCTGCTTCCTCTTCTCTCTCTCTCTCTCTCGAATAAATAAATAAAAATATAAAAACAAAAACCAGAACAAAAAGATAAGAAGATAGAGCAAAGAAGAGAGAAGAAAAAAAAGTAGAGGTTCAATTTCTGAGGATCAACATCTGACCCACAGGAATTTCAGAACACAGAGGAAACTACAAGAAAATCACCCTGACCCAAATGACGTTTCCAAATTGAAAGGATCTAAGCAAAGTGCCCAGGACAATGGATGAAAGCAGATGCGCACGAGGGCACATCATAAAATTTGAGGGCACTTGGAATACAGAGATGTTCCTAAAAGCTTCCAGAGAGTGAGAAGTTGGGCACATACGAGGACGATGGACCAGAAATAGCATCTTAACTATTTGAAATGACACTGGAGCGATGTCCTCAAAATCCTGAGGGGAAAACTAGAATTCTCTACTCAGGCAAATTACCCAGGCAAATCAAAACAGTTTAAACATTTAGGAGTGCAAAATGTTTACATCCTATTATGAGTTGAATTGTGTCACTCTGAAATATACAAAATCCCAAACCCCCAGTATATCCCAGAATGTGACCTTATTTGGGAATGAGGCTATCACAGATATAAGTAGTTATAATAAGGCCATACTACAGTAGGGTAGATCCTAAAACCAATAGGACTGGTGTCCTTAAAAGAAGAGGGAAGTTTGAACCCAGACACATGTGACAACAGAGACAGAGACGAGAGCAATGTCACTCCAAGTAGCAATGGCCACCATCAGGAGCTAGGAATAAGCAGGGAAGATTTCTACCCAGAGTTACAGAGGGGGCATGGCCCTGACGACAACTTGAACTCAGAATTCTAGTCTCTAGAACTGGTGAGAGAATACATTTCTGTTGTTTCAAGCCACTCAGTTCGTGGTCATTTGTTAAAAACAGTCCTAGGGAACAAATACAGTTCTCTCTCAGGAAGCTACTGGAAGATATGCTCAATCAAAACAAAAGAGTAAACCAAGAAAAAAGATGACGTGAATGCAAGAAACAGGGCTGTGACCCAGAGAAGTGGAAGGAATTCCTGGGATGATGGGAAAGGGATGTGCCAGAACCACAGCTATGCAACTGGTCTACACTGAAGCAGAAAAACAGAAGATCTAGGAAGATGGTCTCCAAGAAAGATATGAGAATTAATTGAAGCTGATACATATTCTGATGTGTTTGATCATCTGGAGAAGAGTTTGAGACTTGTGCTAAACATTCAGGAATAATTATTAAGAGGAAAATAGAAAATTAGTCAAATGGGGGAAAAAGACAATTATAACTCCAGGAAAAATAAAAGGTTAGAATCATAGTATACCATGTATCTCAGCTATGAAGAACATTCATAGAGTCACAATTAAGTAAACATTGAATATTCACAAACGAACTCTTTTAGGGGGACAAAGGGAAATAGGTATTTGAAAAGAACTGGTTTAAGAGTTAAATTTTCATCCTTTATGGTAAGAAATATATGGAGAATGGCCTAAAAAAGAAAAAGAAATAGAATTGTAGTAGTATTTTAAGAGCCAAAGGACTTAGCAAGCAATAGCTAACAGAATTTACAGTACTTCTTGCTATTTTAAGCAAAACTTTGGACAGGAAGACATGAAGCAGAAGATCGCTGTATTTGTTATAGACTAGGTTAAAAAAAACTTTTAAAGAATTATTTCAGGTACACACATGAGAACATAGGATCATAAGCCCCTATTGTAATACCCACCTTCAACAATGATCAACTCATAGTTTCTACTTTATTTTTCAAACAACGTATTGCTAATATAAAAATAAAATTAATTCAAAGATAAACTATGGCAAATCCTTAATTATTTATTTATTGATTTATTGATTTATTGATTGCAAATCCATTTTTTAAAAGTGGAGAGAGTGTTCCAGGGAGAGGATACAGCAACTGCAAAGGCCGTAAGGTATGCTTAGGGGAATAGAAAAGAGGCCAGTGGGGCTGCACGATAATTAGTAACAGGGAAAGTAGGATAAGATAAGACTGGAGAATTAGAGAAGGGGCTGTAATGTAGAGTTCTAACATTAAGCAGTCAAGATATAATTTTAAGTGTCATGGGACACATGGAAGGTCTGAGTCTTGAATGGGAGAAGATATTTATAAATGACACATCAGATACAGTGCTAGTATCCAAGATCTATAAAGAACTTACCAAACTCAACACTCAAAAAAAAAATCCAAACATGAAATGGGCAAAAGACATGAAGAGAAATCTCACAGAGGAAGACATCGACATGGCCAACAAGCACATGAGGAAATGCTCTGCATCACTTGCCATCAGGGAAATACAAATCAAAACCACAATGAGATACCACCTCACACCAGTGAGAATGGGGAAAATTAACAAGGCAGGAAACAACAAATGTTGGAGAGGATGCGGAGAAAGGGCAACCCTCCTGCACTGTTGGTGGGAATGTGAACTGGTGCAACCACTCTGGAAAACTGTGTGGAGGGTCCTCAAGAAGTTAAAAATAGAGCTACCCTACAACCCAGGAATTGCACTGCTGGTGATTTACCCCAAAGATACAGATGCAGTGAAACAGCAGGACACCTGCACCCCGATGTTCACAGCAGCAATATCCACAATAGCCAAACTGTGGAAGGAGCCATGACGTCCTTCGACAGATGATGGATAGAGGAGATGCGGTCTATATATATGATGGAACATTACTCAACCATCAGAAAGGACGAATATCTACCATTTACATCAACATGGATGGACCTGGAGGGTATTACGCTGAGTGAAGTAAGTCAATCAGAGAAGGACAATTATCATATGGTTTCACTCATACACGGAATATAAGAAAGAGTGAAAGGGATCATAAGGGAAAGGAGGGAAACTGAGTGGGGAAAAACAGAGAGGGAGACAAATCATGAGAGATTCCTAACTCTGGGGGGGGCAAAAAGGGTTGCAGAAGGGGAGGTGGGTGGGGAGACGGGGTAACTGGGTGACAGGCATTGAGGAGGGCACATGATGAGATGAGCGCTGGGTGTTATACTATATGTTGGCAGATTGAAAATTTAAACAAAATTTTAAGAATAAAATAAAGGTCTGAGTCCTGACAGCCAGGCAAAAACAAAGGGGGGTATTCCAGGTAATGAGCACAGGTTGAGCAAAGGCCCAGGGGCCAGAAATCTTAACTGCCAGCCAGAGTCTCCCTAGGTGACACTCACCTTCCCACTTCCACAGGGTAGCTCGAGATGTGTCCTTCCACCGCAAGCCTGCCACAAAGGGCAGCCGCCCATTGTACTGCACCTTCAGGTGTGTGCTGCTCTCCATGTGTGGCTGGCGAAGGCTCGAGTGATACATCTGCAGACGGTAATCCACCTGCCTCTCGGTCACCTGTAGCACAAACTGGAGAAGACCCAGCCCAAGGCGCTAATCAGATCATTCCGCTCCCAACCTAGAACGTTCTACTGGCTCACCACAATGACTAGGGGTTGGCCTGAGCTCCCTGCGTTATCAGGAACTGCCCGGCCCACTCCCAATGAATCCCTGGACCCACTAGCAGTTGCTCCCCATTGCCCCTGGAAACCATTAATCTACTTTCTGTTTCTATGGATTTGCCTATTCTGGACACTTTGTATAAGTGGAATCATATACTACGTGGCCTTTTGTGTCTGGCTTCTTTCACTTTGCATGATGATTTCAAGATTCACACACGTTGCATTTTAGCATGTATCAGAACGTCATTCCTTTTTATTGCTGAACAATATTCTATTGTATAGATAAATCATATTTTATCTATTCATTGTTGAAGAGCATTTGTGTTGTTTTCCCTTTGCAGCTTTTATGAATAATACTCTATAAATATTCCACACAGGTTTGTGTGAACATAGGTTTCCAACTCTCTCGAGCACCTAGGAGTAGAATGGTTATGTCATATGGGAACTCTGTTCTTAACATTTTAAAGATATACCAAACTGTATTTCCATATCGTCGCACCATTTTGTGATCCCACCAATATATGAGAGTTCCAACTTCTCCACATCCTCACCAACACTTATTATTGTTGTTTTTGTTTTTAGCCTTGCTAGCGGGTTTGAAGCAGTATCTCCCTGTAATTTTGATTTTTATTTCCCTAATCACATAGAGCATCTTTTCATGTGCTTATTGGCCATTTGTATACCTTTTGTGGAGAAATATCTATTTAAGTCTTTTGTCTGGTTCCTGTTAAGTTGTAAGAGTTGTTTATATACTTAGGGTAAAAATCCCTTATAAGACATGTAATTTGTGCATGTTTCTTTCCACTGTGTGGGCTACTTTGCTTTTTTGATAGAGTCTTTGGAAGCACAAAGCTGATGAACCCCAATTTATCAACTTTTGTGTATGTTAATATACTCTTAGTGTCATATAGCTCAGAAATTCCACCCTAGGGACGCCTGGGTGGCTCAGTGGTTGAGCGTCTGCCTTAGGCTCAGAGCATGATCCCGGGGTCCTGGGATCAAGTCCTGCATCGGGCTCCCCACATGGAGCCTGCTTCTCCCTTGGCCTGTGTCTCTGCCTCTCTCTGTGTGTCTCTCATTATAAATAAATAAAATCTTAAAAAAAAAAAAAACCAACCTATTCTAAGGTCATAGAGATTTACTTTTATGTTTTCTTCCAAGAGTTTTATAGTTCTTAAATTTAGGTCTGTGATCCATTTTGCATTAGTTTTTTTCTAAATGGTATTAGGTAAGGGTCCAAATTCATGATTTTGCACATGGATATCCAGTTGTACCAGCACTAGTTGTCGAAAAGGCTATTCCTTCCCCCTCTTCAATGGTCCCAGCAGCTTTGTCAAAAATCAACTAACTATAAATATCTCTGGATATTTTGGGTTTATCTCTGGACTCGCAATTCTACTCCATTGGTCTGTATGTCTATCCTATGCCACTACCATGCTCTTTGTTAACATAGCTTTGTAGTAAGTTCTGAAATTGGAAATTAGGAGTTCTCCAACTTTGTTCATTTTTTTCAAGGCTGTTTTCTGGGTCCCTTGCAATTCCATAGGAATTTTGGGATCAGCTTGTCACTTTCAGCACAAAGAGAGAGCTTGGGTTTTTATAGGGATAGACAGGGACTATCAATTCTGTAGAAGAATTTTAAAAATGATTCCATCTCAACATTTGTTTTTCAATCCAAGAACATGGGATGTCTTCTTATTTATTCATTCGTCATTCATTCATTCATTTCTTTCAACCATGTTTTGTGGTTTTCAGAGTATTTGTTTTATGTTCTTTTGTTACATTTATGCTGAAGTATTTATCCTTTTTGACACCATTGCCAATGGAATTCTCAATTTCACTTTCAGCATTTTCACTGTTAGTGTAGAGAAATACAACTTGACTTTCATATATTTATCTTGTCTGCTGCAACTTTGAAGAACTCATTTATTGGCTCTAATAGATTTTGTGTGTGTGTGGATGTGTAGATTCATTAGGATAGTCCACATATAATGTCAGCTGTAAACGGAAATAGTTTCACTGCTTCCTTTCCAATCTGGATGCCTTTTATTTCTTTTCTCCTTGACTAATCATTTAGTAAATTATTTGCTAGTAATTTAATTGGGGCACAATCCAGTCCAGGCGAGAGGTTAAGAGCCTAAGGTGTGCAATGAGACTTACTAGAGTGTCCATTCCAATTCAGTCACATAGTAGCTGTGAGACCTCAGATTAGACTGTTTACATAATTTCCGCTCTGCAGAGTGAGGATAGTGGTTACGTCACAGGGGTTATATGAGATAATACAAACAACATATCTGAAACATAGCCTGGCAATAATAAATGGTTCATCACTGCTCTCTCTGCCCTTTCCTCTTCTGTTCACTGTCAACTTCTTAAGGATAAATAGTATCTCATACTCATCTCCTCAGAACCTAGCATGGTGGCTGCCACACTTCAAAAGGCTTGCAGAAACTCTGCCAATCTTTAATCGCTTCACTAAACCTTTGGGATCAGATGCTTTCCAGAAATAAGAAATTTTCCCTATTTAGAATAGTAACATAATGCATGTACTACAATTATATAAAAAAAACTATCAAGTCAAAATTCTAATTTTTATTTTTTTAATATTTTATTTATTTATTCATGAGAGACACAGAGAGGCAGAGACACAGGCAGAGGGGAAGCAGGCTCCCAGCGAGGAGCCAGATGTAGGACTTGATCTCATGATCCTAGAATCATGACCTGAGCCAAAGGCAGATGCCCAACCACTGAGGCATCCAGGTGCCCCAAAATTCTAATTCAAAAAAAAAAAGAAGTCAAACGATACAAAAAAGCTGTCCATGGAAAGGGTAATGCAATGGTAGAAGAAATACAGAAAACATGGTGCTCAGCCTTATTAAGTGATCAGGGTAATGCAAATTCAAATAACGAGATAGCCTTTCCATCCATATCAGCAATGTTTTTCAAATGAGCACTGGGTGTTATTCTATATGTTGGCAATTGAACACCAATAAAAAATAAATTTATAAAAAAAAATTGCAATGGCATTTCCGTGTGTGTGGCAGAAACAGAAAAATCCATCCTAAAATTCTTATGGGATCTCAAGGGACCCCGAACAGCCCAGACAATCTTGAAAAAGCAGCACAAAGTTGGAGGTCTCACAAAGCTACAGTAATCAAAACAGTATGGCAGGGACATAAATATGACATACAGACAAATGGAACAGAACGGTGCCCCAAAATAAACTCTCACATTTGTGATCAAATGATTTTCCACAAGCCCGCCAAACCCACTCCACGGCAGGGGGTGGGGTGGGGAGAGCACAGTCTGTCGGACACATGGGGCTGGGACCACTGGACATCCACAGGCAAGAGACCGCAGCTGGATGCTTCCATATACCACACACAAAAATTAATTCAAAATGGATCAAAAGCCTAAATGTTAAGCACTGAAACTAGAAGATCTTTAGAAGAAAGCAGAGGGGAGAAACTACAACATTGGATTTGGCCAGGATTTCTTAGTTACACCCAAAACACAGGCCACAAAAGTAAAAAGAGCTCGATCAGACCACCTGCATACATAAAACTTTTGCATGTCAAAGGACGTTGTCAACAGATAAAAGGCAATCTGTGGAATGGGAGAGCATATTTGCAAACCATGTATCTGACAAGGAGTTAATATCCAGAGTGTGTAAAGAATCTTGTATCTCAGTAACAACAAAGCAAGCAACCGGATTCAAAAATGGGCCAAGGACTTAAACAGGTATTTCTCCGAAGAAGATAAACCAATGGCAGACAAGGGCATGAAACGATCTCAGCATCACTCTTGAGGGAAATGCCAATCAAAACCCCAATGAGAGGGGAATCCCTGGGTGGCTTAGCGGTTTAGCACCTGCCTTTGGCCCAGGGCTTGATCCTGGAGTCCCAGGATCGAGTCCCAGGATCGAGTCCCATGTCGGACTCCCTGCATGGAGCCTGCTTCTCCCTCTGCCTGTGTCTCTGCCTCTCTCTGTGTGTGTCTTTCATGAATAAATACATAAATAAAATCTTAAAAAAAAAAAAAAAAAACAGTGAGGGGATGCCTGGGTGGCTCAGCAATTGAGCACCTGCCTTCAGTCCAGGGCGTGATCCTGGAGTCCCAGGATCGAGTCCCACATCAGGCTCCCCATACGGAGCCTGCTTCTCCCTCTGCCTATGTCTGTGCCTCTCTCTGTATCTTTCATGAATAAATAAATAAAATCTTTTAAAAAAAACCCACAATGAGGCACCACCTCACATCCATTAGTATGGCTACCATCAAAAACCACAGGTGGGATGCCTGGGTGCCTCAGTAGTTGGACATCTGCCTCTGGCTCTGGGCGTGATCCCAAGATCGAGTCCCACATCGGGCTCCCTGCATGGAGTCTGCTTCTCCCTCTGCCTGTGTCTCTGCCCCCCTCTGTGTGTCTCTCATGAATAAATAAATAAAATCTTAAAAAAAAAAAACCCACAGGAAAGCCCCCTGGCACATAGCCGATGGCAAAGATCCTTGCAGATGAGCCCCACCCCCACCCCCAGCAGTCCTCGACAGGCCAGCAGATGTTGGACCCCCCTGGGACACGAGGACCGGAGGTGGGAGGGGGTAAGGTCACCACGCTGAGTTTTAGCTCCAGCATTCTTGCAACCAAGGCCTCCAGGGACACGTGGGGGGCCGGGCGGGAGGCCCAGCTGCCACCCTGTGAGCTGAAGCTCTGCAGAGGTTGGGCTTACCTCCGTGAAGTAATTGCTCAGGGCCGGGCCCGAGTCGTTCTGGAAGGTCTGGCTGACGCGGAACCGCCTCTTATTGCTGCTCTCATTCCAGTGCTCCCCATAGCTCACCTCCAATTGTGAGTGTAGGTGGCCCAAGCCCTCCTGGTGCCGGAGCTGAGCCTGGGGACACACCCGACCCAGGAGATGCCCGAGAAAGCCTTGTGTGCCCCGTCCCTGGGGGATGCAGGCTTACTTCCCTGGGAAGACAGTACTGGAGGAGGTGACTTTTTTTTTTTTTTGCATGGATTCTGATTTTGTAAAATAGTGCATCAGAATATGGTTCGTCTTCCTGACTGTGTTGTTGGTAGCCCTTAAATCCTGAGCTGGAGGTGAGGGACTCAGGCCCGCCCGTATCCTGCTCCAGGCCTTGATAAGGGGCTGGAGGAGCCAGCAGCTGTGGGGAAATGACTCTTGATCCGCTTCATACAACACAACCCGGCCCCCACGCATACAACCCAATCCCTGCCCCGGCCTCTCCCACAGCAGCCTCTGGCTCCCTGGATAGAATCTAAGTGGGTCAGGGTTTTGCCCCTGCTGTCCTGCTGCCCTCTCCTATCTCCGAACAGCAGGTCAAGGCAACTGCATTCATTCATTTATTCCCAAGTACCAAGCAGTACTATGCCCAGCACTGGACATCAGATACCCAAGGATAAAGAATCAAGAAGACCCCGCACTCATGGGGGTGACAATCCAGCAGGAGAGGCAAACGTGTGATAAGATTCACAAAAGCGCGGCTGCTTGCTTCTCCCTCCTGCTCACCCTGCCAGCCGCTCTGGTGAACTGCTAGCTCCCATCATCCCGTTTCTCCCTCCTGTCCCAGGACCTTTGCACTTGCCATTCCCCCTGCCTGCAGCATGCTTCCGTAGGAAGAGAACTGTTGCGTGCTTTCATTTTCATCTTAAAATCTGTTTTTCCCAAAGGCTTCCCCGTTGCCCCTTCCAAAGTAGACTGCCCGCTGTCACGCTTGCTCAGCCTCTGTCCTGAACCACCCATGTCCCTTACGGCTCCTCTGGTTTGGTCTCTCTCTCTCTCTGTGCCCCCGCCCAGCAACGGGATGGCACAGACCAAGTGCTGCCATTAGCACGGCCCTCTCTGAGATGGCTGGACCTATAGCAGGTGTTCAATAAACACCAAGGGAACCAAAGCACGGAAGCCTGAGACTGAGGCTGCAATTCCAGCTCTGTTCCCACACCCGACCTTGAGCAAACCAGTCTCTGTGAGGATGAGCTCCGGGCTGTCCCCAGATCACCCCCTCCCCTGGCCAGGGCACCCACCTTGTGGCTGAGTGCTGGAATCTGGGTGCAGTGGAGCTCATGGTCCAGCTCCAGCTCATAGGCCCCCTCTGAGCCACTGTGTGCCCGCAGCTTCTGGCTGGTGATGCACTCGTGTGCCAGCTGCCTCGCCTGACCTGTGCGGGGCAACCCAGAGCCACCTGCCAGCCTCTGCCAGCAGCCCTCCATCCCGATTCCAGGGAGGGGAGCATTCCAGCTCGGCACCCCCTCAAACCCCTGCTCTGGATCCCCTCTGCTTAGTGTCACTCATTGGAACCTACTGATGGAGAGTTTTAAAAGACAGGTCTACACACACACACACACACACACACACACACACACACTTTCTTTTTTTTTTTTTAACTGCCCAGCTAAGTGCCCAGTTCTATTCAGAGCCAATGAGATCCCTAAGTGGCTAAGGAACAGTGTGGTGAGGGCAAGACAAGGTGGCACCTCAGCCCGCAGAGCCAGAGCCCCAGGAGATGCTGCGTGTCCTGCTACCCCCCGCCTCGCCCCCAGCCCCACACACCTGCCGTACCCAAGAGGCCGTACTTGATCCTCAGGGAGCTGGTCCAGAGGCGGCTGTGCCGCTGCAGCGAGCCCAGGATGTGCAGTCCCACGGAACCTGGCACGGACAGCTCGCCGCCCAGGGCCACCACCTGCAACCCGTACTCCACCTTCCTCTCTAGCAGCACTGCAGGCGGGGGGGGGGGGGGGGGGAGGTGTTGCAGGGAGTGAGAGGGACAGATGCCACATGGCTGTGGCCCACACCCTAGGGGACACCCCAGCCCCAGCACGAGCAAGGAACCTCCCAGGGGGCCCCGGGGTGGGGGGTTCTGGTGCAACCCATGCCCGAGTCCCTGCTGAGGAACTTTGGTGTCAGAGCACTGATAGCATTATTTGGTGACAACCGTCGGTGGCCCGAAAGGCACTTTTACGGGTCCAGGCCAAAATTTTTAAATCACATAGAAGAAAACACGATAGAACAGATGAGAAAGGACAGTGCCTCGGAGGCCATCTGGTACAGCTCACCTTCTGAAACCTGTGTCTGCTACCCTGACATTTATCCGGATCATATGGGTATCGCTGGGCCCTGACAATGCCCACCGTGCCCATGCCGGGTGGCCTGCAGCCCTGGCCCCTGACATCATTCCTTGGAATCTCCCAGAACAGCCCATGGGGAGCGTAGCCAGGGGGCCGCACCCCAGCTCTGGCGTCGGGGCAGGCATCCATCAGACCAGCCGTGCCCAGGCCAGGCGGTGGGTTCAAGGTTTAAACCGTGTCCTGAGCAATTTGGGTCCCACTGCCACATGCGTATTTTAGTACAGAATCAAAATAGTCTGAAAGTTGCTGTTTGGGGGCTCATGGAGGGCAGTCGGTGTTGGAGGGCACCTCGGGGGTCTGAAGGGTGGTTGTGCGCAGATACGGGGCCTGGATTTTCCTGTGGGTGGGAGGTTAACACTGGCAGGTCGAGGGGATGGGGATCCAATGGGGGGGGGTATCAGCCATCCCCCTCCTACAGCCTGCCCACTTGAAGACAGGGAGTGGCAGGAGGGAGTCCCTCTTCCTTTTTTTAAAAATAATATATATATATTTTTAAGATTTTATTTACTTCCTTTAGAGACACAGAGAAAGAGAGTGAGCACGGGCTGGAGGGAAAGGGAGAGGGAGAAGCAGACTCCTCACTCAGCACAGAGCCCGATGTGGGATGTGGGACTTGAGATTGTGACCTGAGCGGAAGGCAGACGCTGAACCGATGGAGCCACCCAGGTGTCCCAGTGCAGGTGGAGGAGGGACCCCTCTTCCTACCTGACAGGTGGGCCTGGTCGCTCAGCAGGTTGCTCAGCGAGACGGAGAAGGCCAACTTGCTGCCCACCTGCTGGCTGAGGTTCCCAGTGAGGACCACAGGGCTGCCGGCCGTCACCAGTTTCACCTCCAGCTGGGCCTCAAACAGCTGGGCCTCACTGCCAGCTGCTGGCCACAGGTCGCTCCGTCCCTGGAAAGACCCCAGCATCACCTGGGCAGGGTGTGGGGTGGGGGCTCGGCCGGCAGGCCTGGCTCTGCCCACGAGAACTGAGACTAGACACAGGACAGAGCTTAGCTGACGGGCCCTGGGCTGGTCCTTCTCCCACTTCTTACACTTGCTCTTTATCCAGGTAGGTAGTCCAGGGGGTAAGTTCAGGTGTAAATGCAAAGGACTCATCCCCTTCGCCCCTTGCTCTCAGCAGCCAGCTCCAGGCCAGCCCTCCCTGCAGAATATTCTGGAACCTGACCCCTTGGGCCACCCTCACCCCCACCCTGGCTTGAGCCCTGGCCATCAGCACCTGTGTCACTGCAATGTCCTCCTGCCAGCTGTCCAGGCTCCCGCCTTGGCCCTGACGTCTGTTCTCCACCCAGCGACCAGAGTGACCCCTTTGAGACAATGTAGGATCCTACACTCCCGTTTTCCTCGGGTTAAAAGTCCACTCAAAGGACACGCGTACAGTCCAAGACACACTATGTCATGGCACTGGAGATTTTCTGGAGAATCCCTAAGCAACGGCAACTGTCATCCCTCACAGCTGCTCCCAACTGTAGACCAACCCAACAGACCTCTGCTGACCGCCAGCTGATCTCTTTACCCCAAAGACGTAAAAATGACCTCACCGCTCCCCGACTGTCCACTATTTTACACGCTCTCTAAATCCTGTTCTGCCTTTGTTCTTCAATAGTCACAATTTGCTCTCTTCTGACTCCTTGTTGGCAAAGCCTTATGGGATCTGTCCCCTGTCCCCTCTCCTATTCTGCTCCAAACACAGGAGCTGGTGTGCTGTTCTATTAACACTCTGGGCACAACTCACCTCAGGACCTTTGCACATGCTTCACCCTTTACCTAGAATCTCTTCCCCCAGAGAACCACATGGCTCTCTCCTGCACGTCCTTCTCGCCTTGGCTAAGAGTTATCCTCTCAATCAGGCTTCCCTTCTCATCCTATTTAAAATTAAAGCCAACACTATACGTTGGCAAATTGAATTTACGTAAAATTTTAAAAATAAATAAATAAAACTAGAGCCAACCCCCAGACCCTTCTTCTCATATGACTTCAGATCCCTGTGCCCCAGCTCGAGGATTTCCTTTTCCTTTCTCACCCATCAACTGAACAATTTGCTTGATTATTTCACTTATCATCTCCCACTACAACATAAGCTCCAAGAGGAGAAAACTGTGCGTGTCTCTTTCACTGAGCTGCCTTCCAAGTACCTGGCACATTGCAGGTGCTTGATAACTAGTTGTTGGGGGAAAACAAAAATGAAGACACTGAAAAATAACAGGTTTGCATTCCCTCCTTAGGCTCCTCATCTCCCTCAGTGGCAGGTGCTGGGCCCAGCTTTTTGTGCGTCCTCAAGAGAGCTGAGGCTTTAGGAGGAAGGCCCTCTCCCCTGACATTTGGTCTTCTCCCCAGCAAGGGCAGGAAAGACCTGTATGAGTCTGTGTGTGTGTGTGTGTGCGCGCATATGTGCACACGCATGTGCACGAGCCTACGTTTGCAGGCTCCCTCTTGCTTTTCACAAAAATAGATACAGGCTCTCCACTCTGGCCTGCTTCTCTCACTTAAAGGGGGGTCTCGGGGATGGTTTTCTGTTGTTTGTCTCAGAGGCTGCTTGGTGGGAGCAAAGTGCAGCCCGTGAATAGGATGATCGTGGAACATTTCATCCAAACCAGGACACTTAGCAGCAGTTGAAGGGCACACTAGTCACGGTGAGCCAGGTGGATGGTAAACCGGGGCTCCCCAGGGTGGGGGGGCAGCCTGAGACTTCGGGATGCCCTGCCCCCACCCACCGGGGCGGGGGGGGGGGGTGGGGAAGAAGCACAGAAACCCACTGCGCTCCTCTAGACCATTCTTAAACCCCACAAACTCTGAGCTGAGTTGAACCCTGCTCCGCTGCTTTGTCTTCCTGAGCTCCTCTGCCTTGGTCCTCATCTCCTGCAGGCTTGCTGAGAGCCCACGGCCACCCATTGCCTCCTGAGAAGAGGCTTTGGAAGGTTCCAGAACCCTGCTGTTACCATTGCTGTAATGAGTCTGACGCAGCTCAGACTGGAGGTTCTCTGAAAGCAAATGTTTGCGGGCTGCAGACAGCCCTCGGGAGAGGGGAGAGCAGCAGGAAGGTCTGCAGGGAAGTGGAGGCAATTAGCACTTGTGCATTTAGCAAACAACCAGAGGCAGCTGGCAGGCTCCTGGGAGTTTCCGAAATGATTTGTAGCCTCCTCAGAAGCCAGGCAGCTGGGTCCCTAGGAGGAAGGCGCTCTCCCCTGACACTTGGTGCTCTCCTCACTCGGGGAAGGAAGCGGATCTGGGAGTGGACAGTGTGTTTTTGCAGAGAAATCCCAGCCCCCCCACTGCAGACTCCCAGTGCCAGGCCTGAGCAGGCCCTGGAGACCGAGGCCAGACCCACTGCCACGGGTGCCCAGGTGTGCTGCGTGGCAGGTCAAGTCTAAAACCGCTCGTTTTGTGCTTGTGCAAGTCCCAGACCTGGGACTAGACCTGAATGCTAGATGGAAGGTCTAAAGCCTCTCTTCGGCAGGAGGGACAGACAGACACAAAGCTTTCGTACAACCGCAGAGAATTCAATGGCCCTGCTGAGTAGTTTCCAAGAGAAAAACCCATGCGCTCTGGGAATTCCACTGCTAAGAATTTATCTGTGAAGAATCCCACGCAAAAAAACTCTAAGAGTGGCTGGCTCTGGGGAGGGGTGGCAGGGGAGCTTTTCATTTGAGACCCATGCTGACCAACAGAACTTTCTGCAAGGAGGGAAGTGTTCTTGGAAAGTGGTTAGTGCCACTGCAGAAGGGAGGGTTTCTCTTTTTTTTTTTATTTTTTTATTTTTGAGGGTTTCTCTTTAATTTGGATTTATTTAAATAGGCACGTGCGGGGGTGGCTACGGTTTAGGACACTCGGTTCAGTACCTTTTCATATCTTTTGAACCCTGAATTATTTAAATAAGTGTATCATTTTTTTTATAACAAAGGAAAACGTAAATTGTACCAGCATGTGCTGGTACGAAAAGTTTGCCAGGATAGAATTTTAAGTAGAAAAAGAAAGAAAGTGCCAACAAAGAATGGGGTATGATCTTTTCAGGCAACATCAACAGATACAAAAATGAAACTCAAAGTAAAAGGTGTTGTCAAATCTATAACATTATGGGTTGAATTACGTCCCCTCAAAAGGTGCTGAAGACCTAACCATGAGCCTCTGTGCAGGGCACCTCATTTGGAAATAGGGTCTTTGCAAATGGTCAAGTTAACATAAGGTCCCTGAGGGTGGACCCTGGTCCGGTATGACTGGGTCCTTATAAATACAGGAAATTCAGACCCAGAAAGAGGAAGACAACGTGAAGACATGGGAAAAAGACGCTACAAACCAAGGAACGTTTGAGACCACCAGAAGTGAGGAGAAAAGCATGGAAAGTCTCCCTCCCAACCTCCAAAGGAACCACCCCTGCCAATACGTTGATTTGGGATTTCAGGCCTCCAGAGCTGTGCGAGAGAAATTTCTGGTGTTTCAGCCACCCAATTTAGGTCGAGTAGCCCTGAGGAACTAACACAGACTGCCTGGGGCTCACACTGCCATTTCTTCTGGAAATTTGGGGAGTAGCATGTTTTCACTTGCGCCTTTCCCCTGAGTTTCAAGCATGCTCCTGTATTACTGAGATTATCCATTTTTTGACATCTATGGTAGTAAGATTCGAGCCCACTTTTTTCTTCTCTATACGTTTCTGAGCACCAAGAGGTCACAAATGTTATGGCAGGCATAGGGGAAGAACCACGGACACATCAATGGTGATGTCAACTCTCAAGCAGGGCCCGTGGGACTGAGGCCAGAAGAGCCCAGATGGTGGCAGGTGCCAACACGAGAAACCGGAGGATGGGGAGCAAACCTTGATGTAGTAGACGTCCCTGTCATCCAGAATCAGCTCCAGGTGACCGACGCGGGTACTCTGGAGAGTCTCAATCTTTCCTGGGGTCACAAAACAAGAGTTGAGGGACCAAGGTTTAACTTCCACCCCCGAGTTCCCCAGGGGACAACATCCCACCAGATTCCTGATCTCTGAGCCCCATTGATGACCACGGAGGGACCCCTTATTACCATCCAGCTGCACTTTCTTCCTGGGATGCTGAAGCTTGAGCCGGAACTTCCCCTGGGGTGCGCTGTAGCTCACGTCTACCCCGACGTCCCTGGGCACGTCTGACTCGGGCGTGCCCATGAAGAGGTGGGCTGAAGCTTCCAGAGGGAGCCAGCTGTCCTTCTGGAAACATGGGGGACCTCTCAGTCTTGACCTCATCCAGCTCCAAAGGCTCTCCCTCTTCCCGAGAGAAGACCCTCATCCCCACCACCCACAAACATGAGTCCTTAGGCTCCTCCTCGATCTCGCAAGACAAGAACCAAACCGGGAGTATGGAGATTTCAAGCAGCACATGGAGAAAAGCAAAGTCCTGCAGGACAACTGGGGACCGCATAGATAGGGTCTCAGTTTGCCTGGCATGGCACACACCATGGCCACCCTGCACAGACCCCCTCGGATCCCTTAAGCCCTCTATGTGCCTACATCTCAGCCTTTACATGCTTTGCAGGTAACACCTGCTACCCGGGCCTCCAGAAGGTTGCCCTCCTGTATGAACTCAAGGGAGTGAAAAAATACCCAGCACCTCAGCCTCAAGGGGACCTCACTCTGAGATGTAGCCCATGCTCCAGGGCTGCCCCAGGACCAGGCGGGGGACACTTCACCTGACACCCCCCACATCACACCCTCAGTTCTTCCCCTTGCCAGCCTAACTTCTCCACACTCTTACTGGGTCCTCCGGGGGCCATTTCTTAACCAATCACTTTTACCTAAATCCTTGGCTCAGGTCTGCTTCAAGGAAAACACAGCCTAGGACCCAGGCCCCCTTTGAGACCTTGCCCCAATGTACATTCTTACGCAACCAATAAAGGGTCACTACTGTGTATGAGGCTAGTTGAGGCGACAGAGTTTTAGACGCACAAAGACCCACATCTTCGTGACACCTGAATTCTAGACGGAGAGCACAGGGCCACCAGACACAAATATAGATGGTGTGGCAGCTGGGGATGGGTACTCTGCTGACCAACTCAGGGGGATAAGGGGTCAGACAGGGTGGTCAGGGAAGGCTGCCTCTGAGGGGGTGGTGTTTCAGATAATGAAGGAAATGAGAGAGAGAGCCAAGTGGTTGTCTGGGAAAGAGTGTTCCAGGTAGAGGAAACAGCCAGTGCAAAGGTCCTGGGGCATTAAAAAAGGAGAAAAAAAAGGTCAGTGTATGGATGCTGGTAAGACGGGTAGAGAATCAGAGAGACAGGGCAGAAAGCCCAGCAGGTCAGGGTATCCTCAGAGTGATAGGAGCCACTGAAGAGCAGAGGAGGGACAAGATCCTTTTGGGATTCCAGTAGACCCATCTGGCTGCTGGGTGGCTCAGCTGGCTATGCATCCAACTCTTGATTTTGGCTCAGGTCGTGCGTGATCTCGGGGTTGTGAGGTGGGGCCCCAAGTTGGGCTCTGCACGGGGCATGGAGCCTGCTCAACATTCTCTCTCTCTCCCTCGGCTCCCATTACCCCTCCCTCTCTGAACAAGCAAACAAACAAAAAACACAAACCAATAAACCCAAACAGAACGCAAAAAAACAAAAAACCATAAAAGTGACCTAAAGGGAATAAACATGGTGCTATTAGAGCAGGTAACAAAAGAACATGACCACTTTGGGGTAATGAAGGCAGGCTTCATTGAGCAGGCGACCCCTGAACGGACAGGTGAAGACTGATTCAGAGTTAACAAGCCACAGGGCCACAGACAGAGGATCAGCATGTGCAAGGGTCCTGAGGCAGGAGGGAGACTGCGGCTGGACCAACCCAGCCCAACTGCCCCAGAGAGGAACAACAATGTCCTCACGAACCTGATCCCAGGGTAGACGACCTAAGGAGACCCACCCCTTGGCTGGGAAAGAGGGGGCCATTCCTGGGGGTGGAAGATAAGCCTACCTGGGGGTGGAAGGTATAGGCAGCTTCCAGAAGGTATCGCTGGAGGCCCCGATCCTGCTTCTTCAGTGTCACAGCCGCAGACACAGGCCCTGAGAGCAGGTAGGGCTGGCCAGCTTCCAGCCAGGTGACTTCTGTGCACAGTTGCCAGCCCCAGGTGTGGGACGCTGTGGAGAAAGGTGAGCAGATGGCCCTGGTCAGCTGCCAGAGAATGCCAGGCGGTCACCCAGGGCCACTCACCCAGCAAAGAAAACACTTCTGCATTTCCTTCTGAGAACCAGTACCGTGTAGACCAGGGTCCCGCAACCCCAGATGCCCCTGCCCTACTGGGCTGGGCAGGTCTGTGTGCTGGGAGCCGTCCCGGAGGATGCTGGCCAGCAGGGCGGGGCTGCACTTGCTGCACATCAGTGGCAACCCCAGCAACAGTGGTGACAACCCAGATGGCTCCAGACATTGCTGAAGGGCCCCAAGGGGGGCAAAACCGCCTCCGCTGGAGGACCCCTGGTGTAGACCGTAAGAGTGAGAGGCAGCGGTGCGCAGAAGGCAGGCTCCAGGGCAAGACCGCCTGGTTCCTAATTCCAGGTCTGCCACTTTCCAGCTGTGTGGCCTTGGGCTGATTACTCAACTGCTCTGTGCCTCAGTGTTCTCACCTGTAAACCGGGACCGGTAACAGTTCCTGCCTCACGGTGCAGCTGGGAGGACCGGCAGGTCTGTTTAGGACAGCACCCCGCCTAAAGGAGTCAACTCATGGGGCGCCTGGGAGGCTCAGCAGTTGAGTGTCTGCATGATCCCGGGGTCCTGGGATCGAGTCCCACATCGGGCTCCCCGCAGGGAGCCTGCTTCTCCTTCTGCCTGTGTCTCTGCTTTTCTCTGTATCTCTCATGAATAAATAAAATCTTAAAAAAAAAAGGAGCCAATTCATTTAGATGGGCCCCTCCCCCCACCTTACTCAAAAAAAGTGACACCTGCAAGATCCACTACTGTTCAGTGCATTTCCTTCCCATCTTTTTTTCATTTTTTAAAAGATTTATTTATTTATTCATGATAGACATAGAAAGAGAGAGAGAGAGAGAGAGAGAGAGAGAGGCAGTGACACAGGAGGAGGGAGAAGCAGGCTCCATGCCGGGAGCCTGACATGGGACTCGATCCTGGGACTCCAGGATCGCGCCCTGGGCCAAAGGCAAGCGCCAAACCGCTGAGCCACCCAGGGATCCCCTTTTTTTCCAATTTTTGTTGCCCCTTCACAGATGTTATTATCAAAGAATTTTCTAGTATTATTAAAATATCTCCTTCATTACAGGGTTTTAAAGTTACAGGATATCTCAGGTGGTTCACGAAACCAGAAGTTGGAGAATTTTTTTTTCCTAGAAATGGCCAAATAGGAAATACCTGGGGCGTTGCTGATCGCAGGGTCTGTCACAACTACTCAGCTCTGCAGCGCGTGGATTGACCAAAGCAGCCAAAGATGATCAGTAAGCAAATGGGCGTGGCCATGTACCAATAAAACTTTATTGCTGGCTGATGCAACATGAATTTCACCAATTTTTCACATGTGAAATATTCTTTGATTACTTTTCAACCATTGGAAAAGGTTACAACCTAGGCACAGCTTGCAAGCCCTTGTAATGAGCCGTTCACCGACACCGGATAACTGAGCCGCTTCGTGGGGTTTTTTGCCCTTGCAGATAATGATGCAGTGGACATCTCTGCACACAGCACATTTTTTTATTTTTAATTTTTTTAAGATTTTATTTCTTTATTCATAGACACAGAGAGAGAGGCAGAGACACAGGCGGAGGGAGAAGCAGGCTCCATGCAGGGAGCCCGACGTGGGACTTGATCCCGGGTCTCCAGGATCACACCCCAGGCTGCAGGCAGCGCCAAACCGCTGCACCACCAGGGCTGCCCCACAATGCATTTTAAAGTGATTTTGGTTTATTTTCATAGGATAGAGTTCTAGAAGCAGAATCAAAGGAGGAGTATAAATACTTTTAGGCAGAAGAGCTACTCTAGCATCTGGAGCTGGCATGGCCCCCACATGCCCAACTTGGGAGAGCATGGCAAGGACCCCCCCTCGCCCCACCTACCTTTCTTGTCAGTACAGGACTGGGCCCCAGAAGGGCTGTGGACATCACTGAGGCTCCTCACGCCATCCCCAGTGACGAGATACAGCTTGGAGCTGGGTGGGGAAAGAGCAAAGTCCCAGACAAGTCATTTCCATCCATTCGCTGGACAAATGTGCCTTGAAACATGAACAGAACAGGCCTTGGGGGGACTCGCCCATAGCACTCAGTGACAAGTGCCACAAGAAACCTGAATGGGGGTGGCACAGGGTCTGTCTCGGGGAAAGGCCTCCCTTAGCTGGCAGGGTAGACGGGGAGTCTCTGCAGAGGTGAATAGGTGAGCAGAGACTCAAAGAATGAGAAGGAGCCAGCATTCTAGACAGAGGGAACAGCAGGTGCAAAGGTCCTTGGGTGGGAATGAAGTGGCTACTTTTGGAGAACGAAAAAGAAGGGTAGTTCGAGGAGGTCAGGGTGGAGGGAGAGGGAATGAGTGGAGGGCAGGAGGTAGGAGAAGCAAACAGGTGAGAGGTGACAGGAGCCCCATGGAAGGACGATCATGTAGACCTGGGTTATCCTAGAACCAATAGAGGGTTTTAAACAGGTGGGAGGGGACTGGGGTGACATGACTTGACATCTTAAAGGACCCCACTCATAGGCACAAACACAGGCTCATGCTCACCCACACATGGGCAATCATGCACACGTGCTCACAGGTGCTCACAGACACCCACACTCACAGATGCATGTGTGCAAGCCCTCAAGCCACGCCCATGCCCACACCCACCCCTGCTGCACCTGCTCCCTCTCGCTGGTGCAGGATGCCCACCTGAAGCTGAGCAGCTCCACAGCCTCCTCAGGGGTGTTCAGGTGCACGTGGAGGTCCCGGCCCTTCCTCGCCTCAATCCCACCATCCAGGCTGGCAGTGCCACGGACGCTGGTCACCCACCGCAGCCCAGCCTGCCCTAGGGCGCCCACTGTGCCCATCTGCGCTGAGATCTGGAGCAGGGCACTGTTGGGGTGGGGGGAGGGAGATACATGCCGTCTGTATCCTGCAGGCCCCAGGTGACCGCAAACACAGCGCCCACTTGCTCCCCACCCCAGCGCTTCTCGGCGGTCCTGAGCCAGAGCAGCGCCTGCACCGTGGTCATCACCGACCATGTACTCCACGTGCACCTGGCACTTCATGCATGGTCCATCCGGGCCTTGCCATCATTGGCCTTGACTCACAGATGCAGACCCAGGCACACCTGCTTGGGTCCCAAGGCTGGGATCGGGGCAGCAGGACTGGGCCCCAGGCTGTCTGACCCCAGCTGGGGACCTTCATGCCAAAGAGCGGCCAGCACAGGAGGCCCACACTTCCCGTCAGATCCAGAAACCACAGACAGGCCGGCTGAGTGGGGACAGTCACCCAGCAGGCCCTGGGCCCGCTCCAGAATCAAACCGAGCACCAAACAGATGCTGCCCATACCATGTGGCCTGGACCTGCAGCGCACCTGCCTGGAGCCTGTTCTCTGAACCATCAGTGGGAATGAGAAGAGTGTCCCTCTCATGGGTAGTTACATGGGTTCACTAGAGTTGGAGCCCATAGATCTTAAATGGTCTCCCCTCTCCTCTCCCCTCCCCTCGGAGGCAGAGTGAAGCAGAGGGAAGCATGGGCCGTGGCCGAACACTAGAATGTTCTTGGGCACATGGTGTTGCCTCACTGAGCCTTGGTCTTCTCAGAGCTGCCCAGCATCTTCTCAGTCTCTTGGCACAGAAAACAATCACAGGAGCTGGTACAATGGGTGGTCTGCAGGGCAGGGATCCCCTCTAGCCCATGCTGACAGCCCTGCTCTCTGCAGCCCTCTGTAGGGGGAGGCCCCTGCCCACCCACCTCCCTCCTCCAGCTCTGAGAAGCCAGCTAACCTGGGCTTGACATAACCATTCACGGAGAAATCCAGATGCTGCTGGAAGTCGGCAGTCCCCCGGACTCGGACGCTGATGGCAGCCGAGGCATTTAGGGTCAGCCGGGCTGGAAGGCCAGACATGGTGGGGAAGGTGAGCTCCTGCATGGCCAGGTTCAGCCTCCGGTTCACCTGTACTTCCTGCCCCTGCAGCCACAGAACCGTAATGATGCAGGTGACAGCCCCAGGCATGGATCCTCACACAAGGGTGGGGCGGGGGGAGGAAGGGACATGAACATCATCCCCTGTTTCCAGCTGAGAAAACTGAGCCCACAAACAGATGAGATCACCTGGCCAAACCTACATAGGTAGAAACAGGTGGAGCTGAGTTCAAGTTCAGTTAGTTTACTGTGGAAAAGGGTCAGTGGTCCGGGATCCAGGGTGAGTCAGGTAAGGAGGAATGTGAGCCCTGCGCACGATGCAGAGCACTTAGCACGTGCCAGGTGCATTCTAAACATTTGGTTGCATTTTTCTTTTCTTTTTTCTTTTTTCTTTTTCTTTTCTTTTTTTTTTTTTTTTTTTTTTTTTTTACTGCATTAGGTCATTTAGAACAACCTCCCCAGAAAGTAGCTGCTGCTTTTGTTACTATCGCTATTGTCATGCTATGGTGCCCATTTCACAGATGCACAAACCGAGGCCATGACAAGCATTGGCTCCCCCGCAGGTGAGAGGCGGGGCTGTGATTTGAACTTGGGCAGCCTGGCCCGAAATACCACGGTCATAAGTCTGGAAAGTACTTTAGTACTTTCTCCCCAAAGCATTGAAGGAAACCCCACAGGGCTGGCAGGGTGGGCCGGGGCTGAGCCCAGCCGGAGGTACCTTCAGGAGTTTGGCTGCCAGCTCGGCCAGGTGCAAGGACTGGCGTTTCATCATCACCCCGCAGTTCACATAGCTCAGCTCGTGCCCGAACACCTTCACACTCAGCTCACATTGCAGCGCCCGCCGCTCCGCGCGCCTCCGGGCCACCTGAGGGGGGGACCAGGCTGGTGACAGGAGCAGGTCTGGTGCCTGGACACAGGTGGGGGACCAGGGGGATCAGAAGGGCAAAGGGCAAGGGCTTTCAGCATCTGGAATGTGACTTGCAAAACTCATGGCCCGCAAGCAGAACCACAGATGTGTCTTCCCTGATCCGCGCTACTACCCAATGCCCAGGGCAGCGTGTCGAGGGGTGAGTGTTCTCAAGATCTTTTTATTTTAGAATAATCTTAGATTTACGGAAAAGTTGCAAAGATGGTACAGAGAGCTCCCCCACATCCCTCACACTGTCTCCACTGGTGGCGACTTCCACGGCCAGGACACGGGCAAGGCAGAGAAGCCAACACGGACATACAAAACTGCAGACATTCAGATTTCACCGGTGTTTCCATTCCGGGTCTCACTCAGGTTCCAGGACCCAATTCAGGCAGCACATGCCATGAGCTTGCCCCATCTCTCCTGTCTCCTCAGTCTAACCATTTGTCTATCTTCAGATTTTTCACGGTGCATATTTTTTAAAAAATTGGATTTGTTTCCAATATTTAAAAATTAGGAGACTGGGGCAGCCTGGGTGGCTCAGCGGTTTAGCACCGCTTTCAGCCCAGGGTATGACCCTGGAGACCCGGGATCGAGTCCCACGTCGGGCTCCCTGCATAGAACCTGCTTCTCCCTCTGCCTGTGTCTCTCTGCCTCTCTGTGTGTGTGTGTCTCTCTCATGGATAAATAAATAAAATCTTTTTTAAAAAATAAATAAATAAAAATTAGGAGACTACATATGAAACCCGAGTCCTCTGGCTTCTTGAAAAAGAGAAGTATTGGCCTTCCCCCCGCCACCCCACATCACCACCACAAGGGCCAATAAGAAACCAGAGCTGAACGGTGGCCACCACTTCTAACTAAGTCATGCGTTTCTCCCACCCGCCACAGCCTCCACCGCTCCCTATCGGCTCCCCAACACTGAGGCCAAGTACTGTTGCCACTATCACTGTGCTTCCGCTAAATAGATCTTGCAATATGAGTCTCCATCCCAAGTGTGAAAGTAACAAAAAGGATGTAGATTAAGATTTTATTTATTTATTGAGAGAGAGTAAAAAGGTGCCAGCCATCTTGGTGTCATGTCTATCCATGGGAGAAAAGTCACGTAAAATATAATTCCCCACCCACAGAATGGGTATTAAAGGATCCCACAGCCCATCAACTCTATTCCTGGGCATGTGCCCAGCAGAAAGGCACACGTGCATTCACCAAAAAGACACGTGCAAGAATGTTGGTAGCGCTATGGGCAATAAGGCAGAAACTGGAAACTATCCAAAAGTTTACCAAAAGTAGGATGGATAAGGACATTCTAGCAGGTTCAGATCATGGAACGCTACACAGCAAGGAGCATGAGCAAAGTGTGAAAATAAAGAACCATGTAGATGGATCTCATTCAAGCAAGAGAGAAGCTAGACACACACACACACACACACACACACACAATGTCACAAGCAGCATTATTCACACTCGCCAAAGGGTGGCAACAACTTGCAACAGAATGTCCCCCAGCAGGTGGATGGATGAACACAGTGTAGCCTATCCAGCCTTCAAGAGGGATGCAGCACTGATCTGTGCTACACCAGCGAGTCTCCAAACAGGAGGCTCAGTGAGAGAAGCCAGACACCATAGGTCACATGTGTCTGATTCCGTGTCTGTGAAATGTCCAGGGCAGGAAAATCCATAGAGACCCAAAGCAGATCAGTGGTTGCCAGGGGCTGGGGGGAATACGGGATGGGGAGTGACTGTTACTGGGGATGGGGTCTCCCTTGGGGCCATGACAATGTTTGGGAGCTAGATAGAAGTGATGGTTGCACGTCACTAGGAATGTGCACTTATAGGTCAAAATTTATCAAATTGTATAATTAAACACATGCTACTCATTACTAGACCTGGGACAGAGCTGATTTTTTAAAAAGTAGAACTAGCCAGGGCAGTTAGGAGGCCGATTCATGATCACCCTTGGTTGGGGTGGGTAGACCAGAATGGGGAGGGCAGGGGGCCTCTGGGGTGCCGATAATGCTCTGGGCACTGATTCTAAGAATGCGTTCTGGTGGTGGAAACACGCTTAGGGCTTGCACGATTTTCTAATTGTAGGTGATGCTTTGATCAAGACTTTTTCACGATAAGGCAGGCTAACAGCTGACTACTCGGCTCTGGACCAGTACTTGTGTCTGGGGAGGGAGGGCAGGGTCAGAACTCATTGACACCTGAGTCCGCAGGCCAAAAGCTCAGGCTGGTGAGGGGTGGGAGCAGGGTGGGTGCAGGTACCTCCCTCCAACCCCCGCCTTACCTTCTGCTGCAGGTCTCTCATCTTTCTGGACCTTTCTTCTGGACAGTCAGGTTTGGCTGCCTGTGCTGAGGGCCCTGGGTCTGGCTCTGAGGACTTCTCCGGCTGGCCCTCTCTCTCCTCTTCCTGCCCCCAGAATGACTTCCCGCCCAACAGCCTGTGAATGATTTTCTCTGCATTTTCCAGGCGGAGGCCAAGCTGGGAAGAGATGCCAGGGCTCATGGAGGAGCAGCTCGGTCACATGGGTGATCCAGAGCTGCAGAGCAGGGGGCTCAAATGGGGGAAATGGGGGCAGCAGCCTTGGGCAGGGTACTCTGGGCTCCCCAAGGTCCACCTGGACCCAAGCAAAGGGGTACCACCTTTTCAAATTGTCAAGTTCCACATTTGCTGGGCAGATTTCCCACAGCAAAAATTCTTACTGATTCTTTAGGGCCTTGTTCACCTGTCACCACCTCTGGGAAGTCTTTCCTCAATTCCCACATCACTGCCTTCCCACATTCTCCTTCCTCTGAGAGTCCAGCACAGAACTTCTAGGTCACACTCAGATGCTGTCATCTGTGTGTCTCCCTTGCAAGATGCTGAGCTCCATGGGAGCAGGGACCCATGTCTCATTCACTAGGTATGCTGAAGGCCTCAGTGATGGGTTAACTTTGTGTTTATTTGACGAGGCCATGGGGTGCTGAGATATTTGGCTACACATAATTGTGGGTGTTTCTATGAGACTGTTTCTAGATAAATGTAACATTTTTTTTATTTGAGAGAGAGAGTATGCATGTGCAGTGGGGAGGAGTAGAGAGAGAGAAAGAAAGAGAGAATTTTAAGCAGACTCCATGCTGAGCACAGAGCCTGACACAGGGCTCCATCTCAACACCCTGGGATCACGTCCTGAGCCAAAACCAAGAGTTGAATGCTTAACCGATTGAGTCACCTGGACTCTCCTGAATTCAACATTTAAATCAATAAACTGAGTCAAGCAGAGTGTCTTCCATAATGCATGTGGACCACATCCAATCAGTCGAAGGCATGAGTCAAACAAAAGTCAGACTCTCCCCCCAACTACAGGGTAATTCCTCCTGACTGCCTCTGAGCTGGGAGATCATTTTTCTTTTCCTACCTTCAGCTAAAACTGAAACATCAGCTCTCTCCAGCTCTCAAACCTCCAGGCTGAAACTATACTACTGGCTCTTAGGTCTTCAGAGTCAGACTAGAACTACACCATCGACTTTTCTGGGTCTCCAGCTTGCTGACCACAGATATTGGGACCTGTTAGCCTCCATAATCGTGTGAGCCAATTCCTTACAATAAATCTCTTTCTAGATATAATACACGCTGCTGGTTCTATTTCTCTGGAGAACCCTAATACAGCTGGCCTGGTTTGTTCTCAAAATTTGATGGATGAATGAGTGAGTCCTTCTTTCTGTCCCTCCTTCCTTCCATCTGTCCATCCATCCACCCATCTGTTCAGTCACTCTTTAATCCTTCCCATCTATCCATCCATCCATCCATCCATCCATCCATCCATCCATCCTTTTATCCTTCCAGCCACCTTCCCTTCTTCCCTTCTTCTTTACATCTACTGTGCTTCCATCATTCCACCCAGATGTCTCCAAGAGCATTTGTCCAGAAGTCACCAGAAGGTCAGCCATTGGCAGATCTAAGCTCATGCCCCTAGCTGGCAATATTTGGACAAACTCCCTGTTCTCCATAAATTAGAAGGGGTCAGGACAGGGCACAGAGAGCACCCTCCCTCGGACAAGTCTCGGGGGCCCGGGAAATGGAAGGAAATGGAAGGGCCCCAAGATAATCCATTACACTTAAGTTTGCTGGACATAGAACCTCAGAGATACCCCTTTTTCTGTTGCTGCACCCCCACAATCCATTCTTCATGCAACAGCAAGAATGTTCAAATCATGGGCAGCTCCAGTGGCACAGCGGTTTAGTGCTGCCTGCAGCCCAGGGTGTGATCCTGGGGGCCCAGGATCCAGTCCACGTCAGGCTCCCTGCATGGAGCCTGCTTCTCCCTCTGCCTGTGTCTCTCCCTCTCTATCGCTCATGAATAAATAAATAAATTTTTAAAAAAAGAATGTTCAAATCATGTCACATCACTCTCCAGCTTAAAACTTTCCTATGACGTGGTCCTGATCCTCTCTGCCCTCCCATCTTACCTCTCTCCTCACTCCCTGGTCTACTTCTGCTTCTTGGGACACATCAAGTCCTTTCTTGTCACAGGAACTTTGCACATCCTGGTGCCCCTGCCTGGAAGGTTCTTACCTCAGCTCTTCACTAGGTTGCTCATGCTCCTTCTTTCCTTCTTCAGATCACAGCTCAAACTTCACCTTCCTGAACGCAACACTTAATGTTGCTGTTGTTTTCTCAATATGTACTCGTTTCTTATCTACCTTTCTGGACAGGGATCAGGTCTTTCTTGTTGACTGTCATATTCTCAGAACCTAGCACAGCACCTGGCACATGTCAGGTTAGAAGACAGATATTTGTACAATGGTGAGTGGGTGGATAAGTGTGGGTGGATGGATGGATGGGTGGGGAAGAGGGTAGGTGGAGAGAGGGTATAATGGCACATTCATGAATAGATGGAGAAGGATGACAGATGGATGGATGGATGGATAGATGGATGGATGGATGGGGAGTTGTATGTATGTGTAGATATATGTAGGGATGGATATGTGGATAGATACATGAGTACATGGGTGCACAGCGGTGTGTGTGGATTACTAGAATAGATGAATAGATGCAGGGGTGAGAGGTTGATGGGGAAATGGGTGGGGAGCTACATAAATGGATGAATGGGGGTGGGTAGATGATGCATGAAGGTAGATGGATATACAGCTATATTGATGGCTGGGTGATGGATGGACAAATGGCTGGGTAGGCAGCTGGCTGGCTGGGAGAATAGGTGAATGGATGGGTAGGTGAGATGGCAGATAGAGAGATGGGTGGGAAGGTACAGAGATTAGTGAGATAAAAGAGATGGATGAGAGGAAGGGATGGGATGGAGAGATGGATGGATGGATGGATGAGTGGGTAGATGGATGGAGGAGTGGATCAATACAGACAAGAGGTGGATGGGATCATTTCTGGCCCCGAGTCTAGAAGAGACTATGGCAGGCCCTCTCTTACCTCCAGGAGGTTGAAGCCATGACCTAGGGCATGGATGGTCAGGTTAGTCATGGCAAAACGGGGGAGAAAGGATGCTGGAGAAAAGAGAAGGGTCCGCTCCAGGTTCATTCCCAGGCTGCCAGACACTAGGAGAAGAGAGGGGATCAGTACCCTCCCTACCCCTCACCACCAGGATCTGACCACTGAGGGGCTATAGATTGAGACAGGGCAAGACATGGTGTGTCCTCTCCAGCAGGACACGTGTCTCAGCCTTAAGCCTCATCAAGGGCAAAGGGAAGGCCAGGAGGGTCACGGATGTACCCACACCTGCTGGCAGGCAGAGAGGGGGCAGCCAGAGAACCCCACTTTCTACCCCCAGACTTCCGGAGTGGCTGAGGTTGTTTAGGTGCCTAGGCTAGAACACGGTTTCCTTCTGGATGCTCTGTTTCATCCTGATAAAGGAGGTGACAGCCTCAGCTGGGTGCTAATCTCCTTGTAACACAGGGAAGAAAGTTCTCCAATTCACAGGCAGGCAATGGAATTGATGCCGATTTACATATGAACAGGTGACATTTGGGAAAGAGCATCTCTAATCCACATGTCCTCAAGAGTTAGAGCTCCCAGGTCCCCAAGGCTTCCTGGCCCCAGAGCAAGACAGAGGCCACCCAGGAAGGCCATACCTGAGCGGAAGGTGACATCAGAATAGGATGAGTGTTTCCAGGTCTCCGGCTGGAACTCCTGGCTCAGGATGTCCTCAGGGAGGGCCTCCTGGAGAGCTCTCTTCAGAGGGTCATCAGTTTCCAGCAGCTGCATCAGGTGACTCCACACAAAGGAGCCCACTGGAGTTCAGTCATGGCCAGCAGGGAGGGGAGGGAAGAGGAAGTGGGGGACAGATGGATCTGGAGCTGGCACAGCCCAGAGAAAACAGCCCCCCTGAGCCCTTCTCCTGAGTCCTGCTATTTCTACACACCAGGGGCTTCTCTGGAGCTTAGTTATCCATATTTTCTTCCAGAAACAGTGGCCCCAGCACTGACTTAATGGGACTTAGGAATCTAGCCTGTGCACAGCTTTCTGATGTGCCTTCCTGAAGGGAAAAGAGTCACCGTAGGGAAAGCTCTGGCTTCACAGACCCAAGTCTGAATCTCAGTTCCACCACTCAGGAGCTGTGTGACCTCTGGATGGTTACTCTACTTCTCTGAGGATTAGTTTCCTCATCTGTAAAATAAAATAGCAACCCATCTTCCAGGCCTGTTTGTGCAGACCAATCAAGACAAAGCCTGGACCCAAAGACCTGAGTATCTTTCAGGGTTGGGAAAATGGTGACATGCAATTCGTCAAGGGGACCCTCTCAGGCTCTCTGGAGGGGTAAAAAATCAAATGAGAGCACTGACAGGAAAGAGTCCAATAAGGGATATTAGAGTCTAACTGGGAACCCCCAAACCTCTCAGGCTCTCAGGATGCCCAACAGAAAGATTCTAGAGCAACTCACCAAGGAACAAAGTGGAGTCTGTCTTTCGTTCCTATTGGGCAACACACAGGCCTGTTATACCCAGGGCCTCCATCGAGGCTGAGCCCTTTGGCTGGTTCCCTAGTGATGGGGCTTGGCTCAGTGGCCTGTTTGATGCAAAACAGCCCCCTCTCCTCCTATCTCACACACATCTCACCCCATCCCTGAAACAGCCAAAAAACAGTTGCATCTTCAAGCAGTACCAGTTCTTTAGAAGGTAATTCAGCAGCATCACTTTGACATGTGTACACCTTTAAATTGGCTGTCTGTCCTCTGGGGAGATTATCCTATGGCTAGATTAGCACAAGGGTCCAAAGGCGGATATGCAGGGAAGTTCCATCTTGCCGGTTGTTTCTCATAGCAAAAACCCAGAAATGACTGAAATGCCCATCAGTGGGGACTGGTAAAATGGATTATGGTACAAGGTCCTAGTAGCATATCATGCAGCAGTACATAAGGGTCCACATGCTCTGATGTGGAAAGAGCCCCCAGAAACACCAAAGACAAAAGCAAGGAGCACAATAGCAAGTATAACATGATCCTGAGATGCTGTTGTTTAGGAGCTACATGGACAAGCTCGTCTATGCACTACAAGTTCGGTTGGGATATACAAGAGAACTATTCTCAGTGAATGCCCTCAGGAAATGGGACTTAAGGGCCAGGGGAAGAAGAAGGTGGGCTTTCATTTTCCATTTCTACTTTCCTGTCTGCTCTGAAACTTGCGTTTCTAAATGCAATGCGTATTCTAAACAGCCACGCATGCAACACTTAAGATGCTCTCAATATCTGTGTGTATTAACTCATTTTATGCTCCCTGTATGAGGGAGGTGGTATTATCATCTCCATTTCACAGATGTAGAAACAGAGGCTCAGAAAGGTTTAGTAACCTGTTCAAAGGCATGCATACTTCAACAAAGAAGTAGTTGAGCTGGGATTTGAACCCAGGCTGTCAGGCTCCAGACACTCAACTCACTGAGCATGGAAAAGATTTTTGAAAAATCAGTTGATCTTATTTTCTAAAGTTTTGCTTTTAAGTTCAGGAAAACTATGGCCAGAGGCCCCTGTTTAAATGAAACTCCTTGACCCCAGAAAGGATCTGAGATTCGCAGATACTATCCTTCCTCTGTCTCTGGTCTCCCAGGTACTAGGTCAGGAAGTGGCCAGAGCTACCAGGGAAGCCAGTGACATCCAGTCCTTTTTACAGATGAGGAAACAGAGGAGCAGAGAGGAGAAGCAATTGGTCTGAGGTCATCCAACTGACATACACATGAGGTGGGGGGCACAGAAGGCCACTTGTTCAGGTGGTATGGCAATAAAAGGAGAACAGGAACAGGTTAGGAGAGCATCTGGGAGACAGAGCAAGAGCATGCTCCCAAACCCCTGCACCCACCAGGAGGCTCCGGGCCAGCCCCACACCCCTTCCTCCAGCTGCCACTGCTCACCCTGGGTGGACTGCTCGCTTGCCTGGGTGCGCCGCACCTGGGCAAACACCTCTTCACCAGGGCATCTCATCAGGGCCAGGTAGGCATTGATGCGGATCTCAGCATCCTCCTCCGGATTTTGGTAGAGACGGGAAAGCACAGATCGCTGGCTTGGGCAGAGAGAAGGCCATCACCTGGAGCCCATCCACCTCCACCCGCCTCTACCCTGGAGCATGACATCCCCCAAGCTGCTCTGGCTCCAGCGGATGGCCCTGCTGCCTTGTCCCAGCTCTCACAAAATTCCACCCCAGGAGGCCTCTCCAACCCTCTCACCTGTAGGCAGGTTATGGGAGATGGTAGGGTCACCACTAAACCCCTCCTCCCCCAGCCCCAGCCCAGGGGCTCACCAATCTCCACAGGTAACAACAGGTAAATAGACGGGTATGGCTGCATTCCAACCCAACTTTATTTATAAAAACAGCTCGGTGCCTGACACACAGGAGGTATTCTCCAGAGGGCTTGGCTTGCCCTGGCCCCTTCCTAAACAAGCCACCTCCCTCCCCCTGTGACTTTCTCCCTCAGCACCTGCTGCTTTCCTTCATAGCACAGCCACCCACCCATCTACTCTTGCGGAGATATTTACTGAGCACCTACTATGTGCTGGCACTGTGCTAGGTGACAGGAGCAAAACAAGCCCAGCTCCTGTCCACCTGAAGCTCACCTTCTCGTGTCAGGAGACTGATAGCAAACAAGGTTAAGATGTGAAATATAGATCCCATTAGGTGATAAATACTAAAAGAGGAAAGGATTATGTGGAAAAGCCCAGGGGGACCCCAGAGTGAAAGTGATTTTTAAACAAAAACCTGCAGAAGGTAAAGAAGTGAAGCCTGGGGATGCCCAGGGGAAGCACATCCCAGGAAGAGAGAATAGCATGTTCAAAGGGCCTGTGGCAGAAGTGGGCCTGAAGTGTTTGAGGAACTAGAGGCAGCCTGGTGTGGCTGGAGAGCCGGGGTGGGGTGAGGGAAGTAGGAGATGGAGCCAAGAGGTGCTAAGTGGGCCCGTGGTCAGAGCACACGGGACTGCTCTGTCACTCTAAGGACTTTGGCTTTGACCTACAGTCATAGGGGAGCAACTAGTCCAGTGATCAGCAACCTTTTTGGCAAAGGGACACATGGTAAATTTTTCTGGCTTTGTGAGCCATGCACTCTCCTGCCACTGCTCAGTTCTGCAGTTGTAGCAAGACAGCAGCCACAGGCAACACATAAATGAGCGGGAGCAGCTGCATTCTAGCAAAGTGCTGTGTACAAAACAGCCAGCGAGGATGTGGCCTGTGGTCCAAAGCCTGCAAACCCCTGAACTAGAGCGTTTGCAGCACAGGACGGCTTCTATACGGTTTGCAACCATAGGTTTGTTTGTGCGTTTGGTCGCTAAGTAACTGCCTCCCACCAGAGACAGGCTCCGTGACATCAGAGACCTGACACCTATTCACACGAGGGCCCAGCGCATAGTAGGAGCTCAGTATACCTATGATGAATGAATGAACAAAGAAGTGAATTAGCAAACGGTGGTTCGAGAGCCACGGCCACCCAATCGTAACCCCAGCGAACGACAAGCAGGAGCTCACGTTTGCAGAGCAGGGGACCCTCCGGAAGGCCTGGATGGCCCCCAGGCGGACCTCGGGGGGGCAGCCCCTCTGAGACGCGCAGGTGCTCAGTGAGGGGCTGAGAGCTGTGGCCGCCAGGCCCGCGTTGCCAATCGCCTTCAGCACAAGCCGGAGCTGGAACGAGATGGCAAAAGGGCTTCAGGCCTGGGGAGGAGGGTGCTCCCCTGCATGGCTCGGGCCCCACCATGGGACTGCACCTGGGATGCCGCTCATCCTCACCTGGTCAGCGTCCGAGGGCTCCTGGAAGGTGCAGTTGGCACCCAAGGCCTGTCCCAGGGTCCTCACGAGGGAGCCGACACCAGGCAGCTGTCCACAGGGCCCGTCCAGGGAGGCACAGAGGTTGTGCACCAGGGCCGAGATACCAAGGAAGGCGGTGGGGCTGGCCCCCAAGGTGTGCAGGAGCGGCTGGGAACAGAAACCGGCCCCCACCTGAGCCACCCTTCAGAGGCTTTGCCATGTACAGATGGGCCCGTACCCTGGTGCACACAGATTCCTAAAAAATCCAGAGGCCTGGGCTGGGCCCCCCACCCTGAGAGTCTGTAGGAACTGGTGTGTGGTGGGATCTGTCCACTGGGCACGCTCGAAAGCACCCAGGTGGCCCTCTCTGTGTATCCAGGAGGGAGGACTGTGCCATTGGGCTGACACGTGCCAAGCGCAGGACACCTGATGATGTCTGAAGACAGTCTGGGCTGTCACAACGGAGAAACAGACCTGCTGGCATCCAGCAGGCCAAGAATAGGGACACTGCTGACGGCGCTCTAATAACACAGGACAGCCCCAGGTGTCAACAGCGCCGAGGATGAGAACCCCTGGGCTCACCAGTTTGGAGGAGCAAGGTGGGGGTGGTGAGGTCCTCTGAGCAGAACACGGCGGAGTGGCCAGAGGTGTTAGAGTTAAATGGTTAGCAACCACCCCCCCACCCACCCGGGGGGGAAGCAAAAGTCCTCACGGGTAACATTTGCCAAGTTCTGCGGTGCAAATGCTCCCACGCAGTGCTTGCCACTCGCTCGCTGCAGGAAGAGCCCCCGTGAGCGGGGCGTGGCTGTCATGTGGCAGGTGCACGTCCACCGTAAAATAAGCCCAAGGGCAGGGATGCGGCGCTGCAGCAGAATTAGGCAGTAGGTCTCCTTGGCTTTTAATGTTATTTCTCTACCTGCAGGCTTAGATAATCTTTCATAATAGCTGTGTTCTATGGCCAGCTCCAAAACTGCCTGAAAAGTCAACTCTCCTTACACCTGCCCCGCCTTCGGGCACATGCTGGGGTCCGCTGGGTCTGTCCCTGAGGAGCAGGAGACCCCGGCCCTCCTTTGGGGGCCAGACTGCGCTCCCCATCCGGCTCAGGTGGCAGCGGCAGCAGCAGCTGGGCCCAGGCTGAGTCAGACCAGGGGCCCATTCCAGGTGCTCGTGCTCAACAGGGCGCCGCCCCGATCCTCAGCCACTCCTACACCAGGGCGCAGGAGCCTTCTCCTCTCCCACTCCCCACCCCTTCCAGGCTGCAAAAAAGCAACCTGCATCCCCAGCACATGCCCGGCACATGCCTGGCACACGCCTGGCACACCCCCAGCACTCATGCATCCTTGTGGACTGGACAAGAGAATGAGCGAACCAGTCCAGACAGGTGCAAGCCCTGGTCTGGAGGGCAAGTGAGGCAGTTGAAGGAGATCCTGGCCTCTGTGAGCCAAGGGACCCCACTGGCTGTGCTCACCCCATCTCTCTGACATAGTCACAGCAGCAACACCAGCCTCATGCATGTCACTTGGCACACATCCCAACAACGCATGAATCCACAGAGTCTCCCTATGTGTTACCCCTACCACATAGATGGAGAAACTGAGGCACAGAAAATCAAGTGGTTGGCTGGAGGTCAAAGGGGCAGAGCTGGGATCGAATCTGGGAGTCTAGAACTGGAGTCTGCACACTTAGTCACCTCTCTTGTACAGAACAAACAAAGGGGGGGCAGGGAGGGAGGGCCGGTCTCCAGGAGACTGAGCCTGCCAGCCCTGACTCAGCCCTGAGGGTCCCGGAGAGGCTAGCATTGCAGGTAGCCAGAGTATCACCTGCCAGGCCATGAAGCGTGGGCAATGCCCCTGGCAACCCAGCCCAGGCCCCACTCTGGGTCAGTGCCTGCTGAGCCGAGCCAACCACACAGCCAACCCCAGAGTCAGGGGTCGGGGGTCAGGGGTGAGCGCTCCCTACCCTCTGCCTGCCCAGAGAGTGAGCCCCAGCCTGACCAGCACAAGAGACCCAAAGATCCTGCTGGCGAGGCAGGGGTCTCTGCTGCTCCTGGGGACCCTGACTGGCCCATCACCGGCATGCTCACCCCTGTTCCCTGCGATATCCTCTGAATCCCCACCCGCTGCCAGCCTGGCACAGCAGGGTGAGGAGCGACAAGTGACAGTGCCCCCAGAGCGAGTGAGGACACAGCCCGTGGAGGAGGAGGGAGCACCCACCTTTCCCCAGGCGAGCTGCCCAGCCTCTGTGGGCCTCAGTTTCCTGCAACACGGATGCCTCAAAGCCCCTCAGTCCCAGAGGCAGGGTCACGGTTACCCAGGACCGCCGGGTTGTTAGAAACCCTTGGCCCACCGTCACACACGGTTCTTGGCCTCAAGACTCGGTAGACGTATTTGTTTCCGATAACGGGAACAGCTCTCACTTACGAGGCTCAGACTCAGTGCCAGACCCCAGGAGAATCGGTTTACACACATCCTCCTGCATCTTACCACCAGCCCAGGAGGGAGGCACTGGTTCCCTTCCCGTCAATCAGATCAGAAAACGGGCCCAGAGAGGTTAGGTCACTTGCTCAGAATCACACTGCTGAGACTCGAACCCAAGACCTCTCTGTGCTGGTGCAAAGCCCCGATCAAAGCAGGTCACCCCCAGTGTGCAATCAGCAGCCAAGTGGGGAAGGGATGACAGGGGCCCAGGTGGGGAGCAGGGGGCTCACCAGCAGCATGTGGACCATGGCATCCGTGGGCTGCGGGATGAAGGCCAGTGACCAGAGCCAGGCTTCCGTCTGGTCCACCTCCACCTCCCCGGACACGATGAGGTCCTTCATGAGGCCCACACAGGGCTCGGTGCCACAGGAGGGCAGGGCGTCCACCAGCGGCTGCCTGAGGTGGAGGGACACCGAGGGACGTCACGGAGGCGGCCCGCGCGTCCTGAGCACCTTCCAGGCCTCACCTGGAGGCCGACTCAAGTCATCCCGGGGACGCCAGGAGGCTCCAGGCAGCACGACCGGGCACGTGTTCAACAACACACGCCTCGGAAGGGGCTGGGCCTGGGACCCGGGCAGCCTGGCTTTTAGGGTCCACGGGGACAACGGCAGCCCAGTCCAAACCCTGCCAGGTCCACCCGCTCAGGAAACCCGCAGCTTTGGGCAACAGGAGCCCTGTCCACTGTTCTGCTAAAACCTGCCACGGTCACGAAGGAGGGGCAAGGACCCTGGCACCGAACCAGAGCCACCCACTGGCAGGTTGCTGCTTGTGCCCTCAGCCCCAGGTCAACATCAGGCCTCTGCTTTTCTTTTCTTTTTCAAGATTCCAGAAAGGTTCAGAAGCTCAGAAGATGTTCTCAACCTTTATACAACAGTGGCTCTGAGTGGGGACAGAACCGAAGGGGAGGTGGGTTCCCGGGTCACAGCAGAAATGAGACACCATGAGCCAGCAGGGTGCACAGCTGTGGGTGCACGGGGCCACCCCCACCCTGGTGAGGGATACCCGTGACTGCAGATGGTCAGACCCCCACCCCGACCCACATACATACCCTCTGCCCATAAACAGTCTCTGGCCTCAGCTTGCTCATCTGGGGAATGGGAATGCCGATGAACAAGCCCCCCTCACCACCAACATGCCCGAGAGTCCTTGGGAACACAGAGGTCACTTCGTCTCAGCAGCATCCTACCCGTTCTTTCCACCCCTCACCCTCGCATCTCCTCTTTTCCCTATAGTTTTGGGCCCTGGGGACCACTGTCTGGCCAGAAGCAGAGGCGGCAGCAGGGGCAAGAGAACTCGAAGAGCATGTGTCTTCTCAGAAACTCCTGGGCTTGGGATGAGTCTCCCCACCTCCCTGACTCCCAACATCTATTTGGACAGGGGAGACACGGGCTTGTAGGAAAGCTTAGGGTAGCAGGCAGGGTATGTCCCCGGGAAACAGGCAGTTCCCCCTGAAGACTCCAGGCCCTTTTCTACAGGAGACATAATTAAACTGTGCCTAAGTCAAACATCACATATTTAAGCCCAGAGGTACTGGATGGAGAAGCAGAGACCACTGGGGTTCAAATCCCAACTCTGCTGCGTCACTTTGGGCCAGTTTCCTAACTGCTCTGTGCTTTGACTTCCTGCCACAAATGTAAAGTAGGAACATGATAAAGCCACCTACCCCACGGGGTCCTTGTGGGGGTTAAACGGGGGAATACAGGGGCACCAGGGTGGCTCAGTTGGTTAAGCATCCGACTCCTGATTTCAGCTCAGGTCCTGATCTCAGGGTTGTGAGATCGAGTCCCATGTCGGGCTCCGTGCTCAGCGTGGAACCTGCCTGAGGTTCTCGCCCTCTGCCCCTCGCCCTCCCCATGCACTGTCTGTCTGTCTGTCTCTCTCTAATAATCAGTCTTTAAAAAATAAAAGTAAAAGAGAGGGTTTCAGAAGATGACGAAGCATCTTAGCCATTAGGTTTTGCAGTCAGTCAATTAGACATTTGGTAATGCTGATTTTGCACGGCTTTTTTTTTTTTTTTCCTTTCGTATTTTGGAGCTGATAACCTTTTGGAGACCTTTTCAGGAGCCTTTGAGAAAGTCACGGGTCCGGATCTCAGGGGCCTGGAAGAGCGGCTAGATTTTGGGAAGGAACTGCAAGCTTCCCCTCTGCACAGCCCTGAGCTCATGGAGCTCCTTGGAGACACCCCCTACCCCCCCGCCCCCCCAGTGGACCCCGGGGTCTCTATATACACCCCCCCTTGCTGGCCTCACATCAGCAGGGTCCAGGTGGTGGGATCCCAGCCTGGCCGACACCCCCACCTATGGTTAGAGGGGTACCCAAGGCACATTGGAATGCTAATTCCAGCTCTCCGCAAGAGGGTCCCAGTCGGGGAGGGAACAATGCCTGTATTTATACTGCGGGGCCTTTCAGCTTTAGTCCCAAGAGGGCTCGGTCCGTGGGAACCTCCGAGCTCCCCGCTTAATCACCTTCTTGGCAGCCATCCCCAGACTGAAAGACAAGTCAATATCCCAGGGATGAGAGGAGATGCGATATCACCATCCACCCCCAGTGGGGACCTGGGACACTGTCAAGACCACCCAGCCCCACCAGGACCTCCAACCAGCTCCTGGTCCCCTCCCCACCTCCCACGTCCCCGCAGGAAGGTCCTTACCAGTTGTCCCGGCATTTAAAGGAAGATTGTCGCCACAGGGCCAACAGCTCATCTGGGGAGAGGCCCTGGAGCTCAGACACCAGTGTCAGGAACAGTTCTGCAGCCTGGGAGTCAGAGGGAGTCAGCATGAGAGACTAGGCAACCTGGCGGGGGGGGGCACGGGGGGACCTCAGGGTTATCTCAACCATTTCCCTGCCTTCAGACAGGACTGCAAACAGAATGCATTAGCATTTTCCACTTAAGGTAGCTCTTTTTTTTTTAAGTTTATCTATCTATCTATCTATCTATCTATCTATCTATCTATCTATCTATCACACAGAGGCAGAGACATAGGGCAGAGGGAGAAGCAGGCTCCCTGCAGGGAGCCCAATGTGGGACTCGATCCCAGGACCCCGGGATCATGCCCTGAGCCAAAGGCAGACGCTCAACCCCTGAGCCACCCAGGCGCCCCTCCACCTAAGGTATCCTAAGACCCGACGAAATGAGGCCATGTATCTGGACTTCTCTCCACGGAATCCCTGGCACACAGTCCACCCCCTTTTTAAATTCTTTATCAAGTATTCATTGAGCACCAACTACGTGCTGGGCTCTGTGCTCGGAGCCAGACAGGATACCTGCACTTGTGGGCTTTACGCTCTAGTAAAAGCTCAGTAAGTGTTCATGTGGCCACGACCTAGATATTACAGGGGTCTTAGCATATTTCATACAGTTAGTGAGGTGACCATCTTTTTTGTTATTTTTAATGCACAAATAGGTAAATGAGAGAAAAAAGAAAAAAGTAAATGTTCTTCAGAAGTATGAGCAGCGATGGCTAATAATGGGTGGTTTGCAGGCTCCGAACCTTGTCTGCAGGCCTGACCAGCACAGCCTCTGAGTGTCCAAATATGCACAAGGACATGAAGGACTGTATTCAAGAGCACGCACTCCTTAGGCTTCAGCAGATACTTGGTTTGGTCCAGGCTCCCTGCTGGCAGCCCCCACGCTGCCCCTAGGCTTGGGCCAAGGCCAGGACTGGGCCTTGCACCCACACCTGGCTGGCCAGGGGTCCTCTGGTGCTGGGAGCACCCTGCCTACCCTTGGGCTACCCTTGGCCTGCTGTTACTTCTTCACACAGGGCCCACAGGCCAGGCCCCTGTGTTTGGGGGCGGGGGTGGGGGTGACTGCCACTGTCATGACTGGCCCCAACTGCCATCAGTCATAAAGACTCTCTGTCACCCCAGCTTGGGGCAGCCATCCCGGGGCCCCTCCATTCCAGGATTGCTGCCTGCCTTCTGGATGGGCTCAGATCTGTTTCCCTCCATCTGGGGGCTACCTTTCCCCAGCAACACCCACAATTCTCTGGGCCTAGACACGCACACTTTTGAGCCCCCCAGCAAGTATGCACACTGCTGTGCCTGGCCGGGCATCTTCCCCCCTGGGGAAGGCCGGTGTCCACCCTGGAGAACTTTTCCTCCTCCGGGGAGGCCTCCAGCCCCAAGCATCGGGCATCGGGACTAGCTTTCCAGAGCCAGGCACAGCAGAATGGATCTCGGCAGGTCATCCCGGTTTCCCCTCCAGCAGGGAGAGAAGCGAGAAGCCTACCCGCTAATAACAAGAACACAGTAACAGCACCACCAGCACCAGCACCCACCACTTCGTACGGAGCCCCTACTGTATGCAGGCACCATCCTAGGCCGTGTGCCTGCATCATCCCATCTGACCATCGTGATGCACTACGGGGAGCAGCTATCACCAGCCCCACTTAACAGAGAAGATTCGAGACACTCTGAGCGCTTAAGTCTGGTGCCCATGGCCTCAGCACTCCTAAGTGGCAGAGTCAGGAGATGAACCCAGGCCACTTAGCTCCTAAACCCACACTCTTAACCAGTGTCCTCCGGGCCAGTGGGCTGGGGGAAGGATGGGGAGAATGACAAAACAAACAAAAACAAAAACAAAAATGCAAGAATAAGGAAAGCCTGCTGTAGCATTTTCTGGCTTCCTTGGTGCCGATTCTCACACCGCGGCCTCTCCGCTGCCCCTGCGCTGGCCCTGGACGCGGGCTTGGGAAGAGCAGCGTGACAGCGCCAGAGCATGTGCTATTTCCACATGTGGTGAGGTGACAGCAGGTGCAAAGGACCTGGAGGTCACGGGCAAGCAACGGCCTTGAGTACTCATTACTTTTATTTCTAACACGACTTCTTTTTTTTTTTTAAGATTTTATATATTTATTCATGATAGAAAGAGAGAGAGAGGCAGAGACACAGGCAGAGGGAGAAGCGGGCTCCATGCAGGGAGCCCGGCGCAGGACTCGAACCCAGGTCTCCAGGATCACACCCTAGGCCAAAGGTGGCGCTAAACCACTGAGCCACTGGGGCTGCCCTAACACGACTTATTTTTGACCCACCCGTGAATAATGACTGTTTAACAAGCAGCCCGCAGGATTCCTACCATCAGCCCTGATGCACCACGGTCTGTCTACACGGTCTCTCCAACACTTGGCTATACACAGTAGGCACTTAATAAAGGCCGGTGACTCGGGCTTCCGATGCTTAGGAGGCCGGATGGTAACCGCGAGCCGTGCCCTCCCCCTGGCATCCTCCCTGGAGGGGGGTGACCCCTACCCCATCCCAGACTGATGCTCCTGGCTACACGGCCCGCTGCCCCCCATGATGAAGCTCCGGGGCCTCTCCGCGGGAGGGTCAGGCTGGGGAATTTGCTCTCTATTGAACACGGAGTCCCTGGTTTTGTTTCCAGACTGAAAAACCAATCTTGTCTCCTGCCCAGCAACAATGGGGACGGGCAAGGGCATTCCAAGCTCAAGCCCTGGAGGTCGGTCCCCCGGGCAACCAGGCGGGTCCCCTCAGCCCTGGGAGGGACGGTGGCAAAGAACTGCTTGGTGTGCAATGAGGCATCCCTGAAAAAGGTCCTCAGCAACCACCCCCAGCCCGGGGGACCTTCCCAGTGGGAACAACTGACTTCCTTTCTCGAGCTGTAAATCCAGAACAGCCGCCCTGTGGCCTCTGCTGCCTGCGTGCCAGTCTCCAGGAGGGGATGCCTCGCCCTGAGCCCCCTCTGCCAGGGAAAATGCCCGGTCAGGGGGTCAGAGGGTGCTCTGGGGGCCAGAGGAGAGGAAGTGGGCCTGTCCTGTGGCTTCCCAGAGCACCACAAGGTTCAGCAGCACGACAGCTGGCACGTAGGCCACAAGGAGGCCCTTCTCAAAGGGGGTGACTGTGCTCCCAGGGGAGACACCAGGCAACACCTGGACACACTTTGGGTTGTCACCACCAGGGAAGGGGTGACGCTGGCATCTGGTGGGTAGAGGCCAGGGGTGCTGCTCAACAGCCTGCAAGGCACAGGATATCCCCCGCCATACAGGATGATCTGGTCCAAGCTGACAGTAGCACCCAGGTAAGAACCTGTGGGGCCAGGGTTGACAGCTGGCCTGGTGACTTAGCAGGTGGTGGCCTGGAGCACCACCTAGGGAGGCAGATGGCCCTTCTCTTTGGGCTGTTCTGACTCCCAGGAAACCCCCAGTGGGGGAGAGCCACTCATCAACAAGCTGGGAGCCTGCCTCCCAGCTCACAAAACAGTGAAAAGCCAGCTGCAGGTGTATCTCTGCTATATACCCAGAGGTACACAAACTATATCATGTGTGTGTGGGTGTTCAAGACACACCCAGTATACACACACACGTATACACATGTATTTCTTCAATACATTCTACTATATGCTTAATATGTAGCCAATAAATACAATCAATAGATAGTGTCTCTACGTACTCAAAATACTATAAAAATATGTATTTTCTCAGTGTCTGTCTGAATCTGACCCTGCCCGCCCCACCTCCCACTGCCACCCCAGACCATCCTCCCTCATGTCCCCCCGCGTTACTGCAGGAGCCCCCTGAGCTGGGCTCCCAGCATCCCACCTGCCCTCAGTCTGTTCTCCAGCCTTGGCCAGAGCACCAGTGTTAAAATGTCCATCAGATCGTGACCTCCGTCCTCTGTACAACACCCTCCAAGGCTCCCCACTACCCCAAGGAAAAATGATCTGTGTGCTCCTCCAAGGGGCTGACCTGGTCCCCCTCTGGCCCTCGGCACCAGGCCCCAGCCACACCGCCCCCCTTCCCACCCTGCTGCTCAGACTAACTCCCCCAGCAGCAGGTCCTGCCCTGGAGTGTCTGCGCTGTTGCCCTCCCTCCACCACCACCACATCCTGCCACTCCTTCACACCTCTCCTGAAGGTCACCTCCCCAGGGAGGCCTCCTGGACCATCCATCATTTAAAATTGCACCCCACTCCAGAGCTTCCTTGGCCCCCTACTTCTGTCCCTGCCCTACTTGTCCCTCCAGGGCCCAGGACACTGGTTTATAGGTGTTTGTGGGTCCTGACTCAAACACCCCAGGCACCCCTGAAGCTGAGCAAGACACAGGGGCCTAGGTCATCTCAGCCCAGCCCCCAGGGATGGAGGCAAATTAACCCCCACCTAATGCCTCTGGCCCACTCTAAGCTCCTGAACAAATGCTTCACCTCACAAAGGCACAGCACCCAGAGGGGCCCTTGATGCAAAGAATTCCAGCCTAAGGGCACTCCTGGATCTGAGGGCAATGGCTGGATGGGCACAGCCTCACAACATCCTCCTGCATCCTGACTTTACATGAGAAACACCAAGACCCCCAAAGCTGTGCCCTCAGATGCTTGTTCCCAGCCCACACCTGCCAGGTCAGAATACCAAGGCTTGGGGTCTGGGCATCTGTATATCCCAGAAGCCCCCACACCTAAATGATGCCAGGAAAGCTGAGCTTTGGGAAGCGAGGGGTGCCTGGAACACTTGGCACCGTGCCTACAACTGGAGATGGTGCCCAGCTCTGCACATCCCCTAAACAACCTATTTCTGTTCCCCAAATCCCGGGTCCTGTGTAAGCAGCCAGTGAGGCAGGTATTATCCAGAATAAACAAACAACTATAATGTGAACCCTCCTAGGCTGTTACGGGATCAGAGGCAAAACACCCCATTGTGCTCTTCTCAGCACACAGGCGCTGGGGCCTGAATCAGAAAACCCCCCACATCTCTCATGCCTTCCCAGAGAGGCCCTGGCTCACACGCTAAGTCAGGAGCAGCACCGAGACGGGGCAGAAATAGTGGCTGCACTGAACATCTCCAAAATCACTGGTGGTGGCCCCCAGAGCTGTGAAAGACAGGGCTGGTGGGACAAAGATCACTGTGTGCCTAGAATGTTCTGGAAATCACCCTGACCATGAGACCCTGCAGGAGCCGGTCCCACTGGTCCTCACTGTCCGGCTCCAGTGAGGCTGGGCAGGGTGCTCCCCAGACACATCTCCAGGGCTCAGACTCTGGACTCTGGTCCTTTCCAAGCTCTTCAGAGCTTTCCCCTAGATTCTAAAGCAACCACGCCAGGTCTCAACTCTAGTATCTTCTGCTTTAGACTCCCAGTTCCAAAGTGGTCACTAAGCCACCTGGCTACCATGTTCAGAAAGCTAGCCTGAGGGCTCAACAGGACTGTTTGTCTATAGACAGATGAAAGAAAGGCCTCATCTTTGCTCATACCCCACCTATACGGGGGTACAAGGCTTCACACACACCAGCTAGATCTCTTCCCCTTCTTTTGCAACCAGGCACAGCCTTGTAGAGCACAACCTGTGCAACTGTACATAGTAGCCCTGATCCTGAACATGTAGGAGGAGGACCATAAAGGATTTAGAAAAAAAAAAAAAAAGGTGTTCCAGGGATCCAGGCCAGATTCTAGCCCAGGGCTGGAGAAAGCGCTTACCTCAAAACTCGTGGTCTGAGCCAGGCACAGCTTCCTCACCAACGTGGCCGCTGTGACCACTGTAGCCTGAGACTGTGTTTCCTCCCATTCGTACAACAGGCTGCTTGGAGTCACATCTCCATCGACTGGATCTGATATGGGAAGCGCTGGATGGGGATGACCATATGGGGGAATGCCAGCGTGAGAAGATGTTCCCCTGAGGGCCAGCCTCAGCCCTACCAATGCTTCCTTCTGCATGCTCCTGACAAGGGGTGTGGCGGGGTGGAGACATGCACTAGGAAAATCATGGCAGTGTTGCTGCTACCAGCAAAAGATGGGAAACGACTTTTATACCCATCTGTGGGGGACAGTCAAATAGGCTAACTCCAAAGCCCTCTTGGGACTGATAGAGAAAACATGAAATCAAAGATTATTCAGAAATAAAAAGGTCGGACACCTCCTACAATGTGGACAAACACTGAAACATACTAAGTGAAAGAAGCTAGTCACAGGAGGTCACAAGCTATAGGATTCTCTCTACATGGTATGTCCAGATTGGGCAAATCCAGAGAGGCAGAGCAGTTGCCAGGGGCTGGGAGGACACGGGGATGATGGCAGATGGGCCGGAAATTTGCAGAGAGATGAAAATGTTGCAAAGTTGACTTCCATGGTAGGCGTACCACTCTGACTATACCAGAGGCCATCGAATTGTCCATTTTATTTTTTAAATTTATTTATTAATGAGAGATGCAGAGAGAGAGAGGCAGAGACACAGGCGGAGGGAGAAGCAGGCTCCATGCAGGGAGCCCAACGTGGGACTCTATCCTGGAACTCCAGGATCACGCCCTGGGCTGAAGGCAGGCGCCAAACCGCTGAGCCACCTGGGCTGCCCTGAATTGTTCACTTTAAATGGGTTAAATGTACAGCAGGCAAACTAACATTTTTTTTTAATTTAAAAATAAGAAACCAAAAACACTTAGGAGGCGCCTGGGAGGCTCAATCGGTTGAGCATCCAACTCTTGGTTTCAGCTCAGGTCACGATCTTAGGGTGATAAGATCGAGCCCCGTGTTGGGCTCTGCACTCAACATAGGGTCTGCTTGAAATTCTCTCTCCCCCTTTCTGTCTCCCCCTGCTCACTCACTCTCTTTCTTAAAGTAAATAAATAAATCTTTAAGAGTAGATAAATAAAACCAGGACACCTGGGTGGCTCAGTCAGGTAAGGGTCTGCCTTCAGCTCAGTCATGATCCTGGGGCCCTAGGATCGAGTCCCGCACTGGGCTCTCTGCTCAGCAGGGAGCCTGCTTCTCCCTTTCCCTGTGCCATTCCCCCTGTCATGCTTTCTGGTTCTAGCTCTCTGTCAGATAAATAAATAAAATCTTTAGATAACAAATAAATAAATAAAACCACTTATATCTTAGTGAAAGAAGAAAAAAAGATGAAAGGTTCATTCAATTCAGTGGGGAGCCAGAAAGTCTTGACACAACTAGCTAGATGCCCAGTCCCTGCTAGCATGGTGCCCAGAGCTCGGGAGGCAGGTCAGCCTGGGCCTTAGCCAGTGTTCCATGTACCAGAGAGGATGCTGGGAAGCCCCAGGGCTTCGGTCCTACCTGCCAGGTTCTCTCCCTCGGGTGGTACAGTGAGCCCGGGCTCAGAAACACAAGAGCCACCTGCCAGAGCTACAGAGCAGAGCTGGGGGTTCGAGTCTCGGTTCTGGCTCTCACTAGCTGTGTGACTTCAAGCCCTTTTACCCCTCAGAGGCACAGTTTCTGTATTTGAAAATGTGACTAATAACAGTACCTTCCTAATGGGCTCATAATAAAAACTGAATTACATAATCTACCTAAAACACTCGGCACAGCCCCTGGCCCACAGTAAATCCTTCCCAAGTGTCAGCAATAAGAATCATTTTTATTACCCAGAGAAATAGTTTTTCAATCATGAAAAATTATCTTTTTCCCTCAGATGCATGCCTTGCTTCTCTCTTTCCAGGCAAAATTAGAGGAGAGAGCCAAGCCCCAGGGAATGCTATGCGTCGGCAGAGACTTCCCAGCAAATCAGAAGACCTGAGTCAGCTTGCCCCCCAAAATGATCAGGTCCTCAGATGGAAGATAATATTCTCCCACAAGATCAGGGAACCAGAATATTTTTTTTCTAAGATTTTATTTATTTATTCATGAGAGACACAGAGAAAGGCAGAGACACAGGCAGAGGGAGAAGCAGGCTCCCCGCGGGGAGCTCAATGCTGAACTCGATCCCAGGACCCCGGAATCACACCCTGAGCCAAAGGCAGATGCTTAACCACTGAGCCGCCCAGGCGTCCCAAACCAGAAGATTCTATCTCCACTGAAGATGACCCAGGGAGAAGGTCAGACCAAGCCTGAGCCATCTGAGCCAGCAGAAACTTCTAGAAAAAGAGGCTGACTCTTCTGAAGATAGCCATTTTCAGAAACAGTTCAAGACAGACAGGGACAGAGCTTAGGCCTGCTTGAGCCCCTCTACCAAGGAAGTCTCGGGGCTCCTTTGAGGGGTCCCCACATCCACCCTCGGTCACCTGTGACGGCTGGATCCAGGGACATCTCACGCAGCAGGGTGAGCGAGGAAAGCGTCCGCATCTGCACAGCACTTGCCTTCTCAGAGAGGGGCCCCAGGGTGTGCAGCTCCGTGCAGGAGGCCTCCCTCAGCACGCCAGCCTGGAAACTCTGGAGGCAGGTCAGGCGGGAGGCCAGACCAGCCTGCTGGACCATGGAGGGTGGGGAGAGACAGGGGCTCAGGGGAGGCCCAGGCAGTGAAAGAACCCAGCTGATGGGGCCCTTGGGGGGCTGGAGGGAGCGAGCTGGGGTACCCTGGGGGCTTCAACACTGGACCTCAGCTTCCCCTCCAACCTGGGCTGTGGTACCAGCAGGGCAAGCAAAGACTGATGGGGGTGTGTGGGGGGGAGAGCACAAGGGAAGCAAGAAAGTCCCAGGAACAGGAACTCCAGGGCAAGTCAGAAAACCTGTGTTTGAAAATGAGAAACAGCAGCAGCAGCTGCATGGGATTCCAGACACCAAGACTTTGTATAGAACTAGTTCACCGCCCCAAGGATCACCTCTTATCCTTCCCTAGAAATGTGCTATTAACAAAACCCGTTCTCTGCAAGGGGCTGGGGGCGGGGGGGGGGGCAGGAAGAGGGGGGTTCCAGGCTATAGAGAGGAGCAGTGGGGAAAAGAAGAGGGAGAGGAGGAGGGAGATGGGAGGGGAGGAGGGAGATGGGAGGGGAGGGGAGGAGGGAGCAGAAGGCTTTGGAGGGAAGGAGAAAGAGGGGGAGGGGAGGGAAAGCAGGGGGCTGGCTGGGGGCTGACAGTGTAGACCCTCCAGGGGGGCGAGTTGAAGAGGTAGGAGGGGAAGGCAGGCTGGCCCAGGACACTTACCTCCTCCCCAGGCAGGGCCTGGGCAAGCAGGGAGGAGCGCACTCGGCGAAGGGAGCAGCGCGCCAGGTCCTTGGTCTTGCGCAGCTGGTCACCCTGTGGCCGATACGTGGTGGGACACCTGCCCAGGACATCCACCTGGGAGAGTGCGGGGACCCCGTCAGCCCCCTGTGGGCCCCCTGCTCCCACCCCCACACCCCCTTACCCCTCTACCTCCCTACCCCTGCAGGCTCCAGGCCTCACCTCCTCAAGGATCTGGGGGTCACTGGCTCCAGGGAGCCCCTGCAGGAGGCTCAGCACCCCACGCTTCACATTCAGCGCCCAGCGGGGCTCTGTGCGGCGGGGACACAGGTGGGCCACGCGCCCAGCCCGCAGGACAAAGGGCAGGGGGCTCTGGCTCAGGATGGCGCTGGGGACAGGTGGGGGCCAGTCAGATGGGGGCCCTCCCAGGAGCCAGGCCACCTGTTCCTAGCTGGGGCCGCGGAATCCCTGCTCCTCCTGCTATAGGTCAGTCCACGTAGGAACAACCCTTCCCCCCCCAGGGTACCCCCACATCTCCCACATAGCCTTGCTTCCCTCCAGCTGGGTTCCCCAATAACTTTTGAATCGACCATAAGGGCTGCCAATTCCTTGCTCAAAACTGCTCCCCACCCCGAGGACTTATTAACCCCTAGACCAAAGGTGCCTGGGTGTGCCCAACCTCAAAGAATAGATAACTGTGCTTCCAAGAGCTCTCTGAATTCTGAAGATTCTCATTTTCCCAGCCATCTGGGGAGGTACCTAGCATCGCCCCCACCCCACTATAGAGGAGGAAACTGAGGCTCAGGGCCAGAAAGTAATGTGTTTGGGGCGGCAGCTGGGATTCAAACCCAGGAAGTCTGGCTCCAGTGTCCTGGGTCTCAGAACCCCCCCCCCCACCAGCTCCCTGCAGGGAGTGACCTGAGATCCCATCGCTGTGCAGAGGAGGAAAAGAGGCCCAGAGAGGGGAAGCTCCTGGAGAGGATCATACAGCAAGTCAGGGAGGAGCTGGGACCAGAATTCAGCCCGATGCTTGTCTTGCCACCCCTCACCTGGCTGAAAGAAGCCTGTGTCCTGCATCTGCCAGGTGAGAGGATGGGAGGGCCAGGGGACAGGCAGCCAAGTCCCCACTGTCGTGTGTGGGGGTGGAATAGAGCTAAATTCCGGCAGCTAGCCAGCAAAGCAGAATTTGGAGGGACAGAAGTGGCTCTTCCTGTACCTCCCTGAAGGTCACTGCCCCCTCTCCAGCTCCACCTGAAATCTGGGGGCCTTCTGGATAGGTAGCCCCCCCCCCCCCCCCCCCCGTCAGGCCTGGCGCCAGAGCAATGCAAATGGTGCCCGCCCCTTCCAGAATAGCAAATGTCAGTGTGGCCTCAAGATGCTGACAAGCCCCAGCCCTCTGACTTAGCATTTCTGATGAGGAGCCCAGGGACAATAGGCCGCACTGCCCCCATGGAGGGGACCACCCGAAGCCTTTCAGCGGAATCCATCTGCCCCTTGGCCGCATCCCCCCCCCTCCCTGCACCCCAGCACAAAGGCTTTATTTTTTTAACAAATGAATTTGCAATAAAAAAGGAAGAGGAATCTGCAGAGATGGGCTTGTCTTCAGTCTGGCAGCTGGACTGAGCTTTGAGGCCACAGAGGCCACTGTCAGGGAGTCCTGGGAAACCAGCCGGAGAGAGATTCCAGGCTTGGCCAGGTCACAAAAGTGAGGCTTAGCATGGGAAGAGAAAGGCCATGGGTCTCCAAGAATCCAAGAAAAGCCCCATCTCAGCAGACACGGGGAGGAGAGAGGGGTGGGCTTGAATGAGTACCCAGTGTCTTCCAGAATGTACTCAAGGACAATGCCCAGAGGATGCTTGACAAACAAAATCTGGGCATGCTGGGGGTGACGGGCAGGGAAAGAGGAGGTGAGTTCGGTCCACCAGTAAGGGAAGGCCATCTGAGACTTCTCAGGAGCAAGGCCTCGTGTCTTACCTTAAATTATCCGATGCCTTCAGAGCTGCCACCTTGGGCCCCAGGACGGATGTCGCCTGGAAGTCTTGGAGCTGAAGCAGAAAGCCCCATGAGCCAGTGACCTCTCCTAGGACACCCCAGGATCTCACCAGCACCCCAATCCACGAAGCAGTTCTGGGGCCCAGCACAATATACAGCCCCATGCTGGGGGCTAGGCAGAGAGATCCCTCCCTTGAGCAGAAGGTTCTAGATCCTAGGTGGTGGATGCCAAATACCTTCAAAGGATAAATCATTGAAATCGCCAGGACCTATCACTCCCTGATAAATGTTCAGAAAGGTCCCACTAGTTTCTCATTTTGCCCCCAAGGCCGTGGAGGTTTGGGTCAGAGATTCATATGGCTACACAGTATAAATAAAATAGGTTAGGATTGTAAAGCAAACAAAAAAAAGACTTTGCCCACCATGAATAAAAAACTTGGATGTCCCAATAGCACTATGGGTATATATGTACATGTGTGTACGTGTACTTATTGCCAAAGACAACAGTCTTTCTAAAGATGAAAAAGAAAACCATCCCCAAAAATTGCCTCTTAAGAGATATCTCTTATCTTAAGAGATAACTAATATCACTTTAAAAAAACAAAAAGACTCTTTCTCTAGAGCAGTATTAGGTTTATAGCCATATTGAGAACAACATAGGGAGATTTCCCATATACCCCATATATACCCGTATCCTTCTCTATTACCAACATCCCCACCAGGGAGGCACATTTATTACAATCAATGAACCTGAAGACACATCATCATCACCCAAAGCCCAGAGTTAACACCAGGGTTCACTCTTGGCAGTGTCCCTTCTATGGGTTCAGACACATGGATAAGGACACGTGTCCACTATTATGGTATCATACAGAGCGGTTTCACTGCCCTAGGATTTCACTTCTCCAAAGTGACTAATCTTCACTCATCTGGCCTAAAACCCATTTCCAATCTCTCCTGAAAACCAGCTCTCCTCCCCCAACAGAGGGTCCGTCATCTCCCCAGTCACCCAGGCTTGGCACGTCGGGGTGAAGACCCACTTGGTACCTGGGGGTTGTCCTGAACAATGAATCCCTCAGCCACGGAACTGATACCACTTATTGTCTGACCACTTGATTGAATGCTACCCATTGTAACTGTACTCCATATGCTCACAATTTTACATGGAGACATGGAAGATATTTTTTGAAAACCTACTGAACTGTATATCTAAAAACGGGGCACCCGGGTGGCTCAGTCGGTTAAGTGTCTGCCTTCGGCTCAGGTCATGATCCCAGGGTCCTGGGATGGAGCCCCACATCAGGCTCCCCGCTCAGCGGGGAGTCTGCTGCTCCCCCTGCCCTCACCCTGCTCATTCTCTCTCTAATAAATAAATAAATAAAATCTTTTTTTAAAATGAGTTAAAAGGGTCACCTAGGTGGCTCAGCAGTTGAGCATCTGCCTTCGGCTCAGGGCATGATCCTGGGTCTGGGATCGAGTCCCACCTTGAGCTCCCTGCGTGGAGCCTGCTTCTCCCTCTGCCTGTGCCCCCCTCTCTCTCTTTCTCTCTGTCTTTCATGAAAAATAAATAAATCTCAAAGATTTTATTTATTTATTTTAGAGGGGAGGAGGGGCAGAGGGAGTGGGGTGGGGAGAGAGAGAGAAGCAGACTCCCTGCCGATTGGGGAGCCCAATGTGGGCCTCAACTCAAAACCCTGAGATAATGACATGAACCATCATCATCAAGAGTTGGATGCTTAACTGACTGAGCCACCCAGGCACCCTCTTTTTAACCATTTTTAAATTAAATTAAAAATTTTAAAAGATTTATTTATTCACGAGAGACACAGAGGCAGACACTTAACTGCTGAGCCACCCAGGCATCCCTAAAAAAACACATTTTTAAAAAATGAAGATCCAATACATACTAGGATGTGGATGAACCTTGAAAACATTATCCTAAGTGAAAGAACCCAGACACAGAGGTTTACATATTGATTGTGATAAGTGATTGATAAGTGATTCCACTTCTTGGGCATACCTCATGAGCCCTATCATTCCTATAGGCAGGAAGTAGACTAGAGATCCAGGGGGCTAGTGGGGAAGAGAAAGGGGGTGTTATCGTGTAATGGGTGTAGTGCTTCTGTTTGGGATGATGAAGAATCATCTGGAGTCGTGTAGCGGTGATGGTCACACACACCACTGTAAATGGCGTTTGTTGCCAATAATTACACCCTTAAAATGGTTAATAAAATAATATGGGCACATGGGTGGCTCAGTCAGTTAAGTGTCCAATTCTTGAATCTCAGCTCAGGTCTTGATCTCTGGATCGTGAGGTCAAGCCCCACACTGGGCTCCATGCTGGGTGTGGAGCCTACTTTAAAATTTTAATTAATTAATTAATTAACTAAATTTTGTGATATATATTTTAACACACACACACACACACACAAAGAATAAGAAGAAGCCAGACCCAAAAGGAAAAGAACATCCTGCATAATGCCATTAGAAAAAAAGTCCAAAGACAGACAAAACTAATCCATGGTGGTTAGAACTCAGGGAGGCCTTTGGAAAAGTGACCATGAAGGCAGCTGGGGGTAGGGGGTTATATTTTGTTTCTTGATCTGGTGGTGAGTACACACACATGTTCTGTTTGTGAAAATTCATTGTTCTGAAAACTTATTTTCACACTCTGTACACAAAAATCTATATAGCTGATTACCTCCTGAGTGGCTGTAAAATTTTCATTTTTACCAAAAATCTTTGATATAAGCTATTTTTTTTTCTATTCTTGACAACACTGTATGTTATCCTTTTTTAAATTGTTTTCTAAAGAGTGCAGGTAGGGGGAGGAGAAGAAGGAAACAGAGAATCTTAAGCGGCCTCCACAAGCAGCGTGGAGCCTGACACCAGGCTCGATCTCACAACCCTGAGATGACAACCTGAGCCAAAATCAAGAGTCAGATGTTCAACTGACCAAGCCACCCACAGTCCCATCAGTTTTTTTTTTAATACTAAAAACAAAACAAACAAATGAGTCAGCAGCAGCACACAATTTGCTTTGTGAAAACTGGTCCTGCAAGTAAAAAAAAAAAACAAAACCTAGCTTCGGCTGGTATTTTGATGGACATGAGTGGACAATAAAGACACCAATGAAGTGGCAGGTCTGAGTAGGACAGACATTTTGGATAGTTTAAGAATTCAGAGGCATCTCAGAGCCACCCCATGAAAACCCCATCCTGTGATCTACATGAAGACATTAAAAAAAAAAAAAAAAAAAGTTTTGAGAAACTCTCATCAGCAAGCACTCCAGGCAGTTCAAAAATGCTTCTCAAGCATGGAAGATTCCAGTGAAACTAAGAGGCATTTATGCAGAGTGGGAGGGTCTGTCCAGGAAACACATGAGAATCATTAGAAAGGAGACAGGAAAGAATGGGCAGGCACTTCCACTTGCAAGAACACGAGGGAGCTTTGGGAAAAATCTTGATAAATAGAAACCTAAGACCACCAAGTCTAGCCCATAATTCTGCCTCCGCTGAACCCAGAACCACCACCACCACTCTGCCTTACTATTTGCCTTTAACCTGAGCCATGGACCCAGGCACTGTAAGGAACAGTGTCCAGTATAAGGCCACCCAGGGCAGGCCTGGGGGTGCCAGGAACTCCAGGATCACACACTGAGCCGAAAGGCAGACACCCGACTGCTGAGCCACCCAGGCGTCCCTTCATTGGTGTCTTTATTGTCCACTCACGCCCATCAAATTAGCAGCAGCAGCTAGGGTTTTGTGTTTTTTGTTTTTTGTTTTTTGTTTTTTTCCTGCAGGACCAGTTTTCACAAAGCAAATTGTGTGCTGCTACTGACTCATTTGTTTGTTTTTAGCATTAAAAAAACAAACAAACAAACAAACAAACAAAAAAACAGACATTGGGTATGTCTCCAGTCTGTTCATTTGCCTACAAGGCTGTGACTTGGTTTGGCTCTGTTCACACTTGGGACCTACAGGTTCCCCAGCTTTGACATTCATTCCTACCAAGGACACAGCTTGTCCCCATCCCATGGTTCTACTTGCTCCAAGGAATACCCTCACTCTCTTTTTTTTAAACCATTGCTATTCCCCCACTGGGCACGTCCTATAACCAAAATGGCACCACATTCCCACATTATCCTCTGGAGTCCCGACTAGTTGATTTTGAGATTCCTCAGAAATCTCCTCTCCATTGGAAAGTCCGGGAGGGGAGGGCGGGTCTGTGGCTCCCCCTTGCCCCCCACCCCCACCCCAGTATCACTGTGACCTCTTGGTTGCCCAGAGACACTCACCCATAAGGCCATCTGGCACGGGCCAAGCACATCGACCATGACAAAGCCTTGGAGGCCAAGGCCACCCCTCTCCACTGGGTCCCCCTGCAGGCCAGTACTAGTGTTGGTGGAAAAGTGATAGGTGTATCTGGTGCCCACAGGGAGGTGGGGATCAGCTGACCCTGGAGAGCAGATAGAGGGCGCAGTGTCACCTTGATGACCCATCACCCTCTGGGACCCAACTCCACTGAGACTGTTTAGACATCCTCGTTGCCACCTCCCTCCCTCCATCTGGACCTCCCAGTGCAGGGGAAGGCCGGGGGGTGCTGCACACTCCTAAGAGGGTGAAAAAGAAAGTTGAAATAGTAAGAGCAAGCGCTTAGTAACCGTTAACCGTGTTCTCAGATGCTAAGACCCCCTCCTAAGGGGGTTACATGTCATCTTTGGCCTCTCCCTACTCAATGTGACACCCAGTCATGATCACCAAAACTATCTCTAGACATTGCAAAGATCCCTGAGGGGGCAATCGTCCTGATTCAGAACCACCGAGTTACACTTACGTGAACCCGTCCAGGCTCCTTCACCAACTCTGAAGTGGGTGCTCTTACTGTCCCCATTTCACAGAGGTAGGGACGGAGGCTCAGAGAGGTTACCTAACTCATCCAAGGTCACAGCTGGGATGCCAGCCTTGGAAGCTCGATTCCTCTCCCACTGCCTTGAGGACAGTAGCGTGTGTAGGAGAGGGTAGCCCTGGTCCTTTACGGGGTGACCTGCCTCCAGGGCAGTGGGATGGCAGGAAGGGCTGATTTAGGGAGCAGACATCTCTATGCCTTTCTAAGCTTCTATGTAGGCCAGGGGTCTGATTGTAAAATCCAACTCACTATGACA